GGCGAAGCCAGAATTTCAATTTTATCAGTTTTGAATTATAGAACAATGACTTTTAGCATTATAACATGATTCTAAATTTGATACTTTTTTACATATTAAATAAATCTCGTAAACATAAAATACATAATTTGAGCAAACACTAGAGTATCTGAGCTTCTATCTCCGCCCTCTGCGGCTATCAACATTTGAAAAGAGAAAGTGTAAGTAAAATGTGAGACTTACTATTGAAGGTAAAACAAAATAAAACCAGAGATCCACTGATTTCTCCACCAAATATGTGTTGAGGTGAATATGCAGAGACACAAATTTAAAAAAAAAAATGAAAGAAGAGAAGAAGTTATTTTAGTGTTTTTTTTTTTTTGCAGCAAAAGAGCAGAGGGCGCAGAAAATGGATGAGATTGTTGATGACTTGGAGATTACATTTGGCTCACTATTTTTAACTGAATGGCTGTGCTTGTTTCTACCTACGTGTCATTTCTTTTTCCTTTTCATTTTTTATATTTTAAAATAATTATATTTCAACAATGTAATTTTTAGAAAAAATGCACGAGTAAACCCCCTACTTTAGACTATGACCGAAATTTCAGAGACATACCTTAACTAAACTAAGGTTTTATTATTCCTTGAACCTATTGTGTTACGTGGCACATTCCATGACTTAACGCAATTGAGCCCTTGAAGGTTGTCAAAACGGTCGATTTACATTTATAATGTTTGTAATTGTATGAATTCGTTATTGTCGAGTATATGAAAATAAGCGAATTATACAAATGTATCCGCGAATCATGGAAATCTGCAAATTATACAAATAAAAACAACTTAAAGTGTAGCTACAACCTGTAAATATGCAAACTATAGCAATACGGAACAATTAAGTTTATTATAGTGGCAATTTGTGAATGTTATTATCTACATTTTAAAATTATAATTACATCAATAATAAATTTTCAAAAATATGTGCATAATACTTCCTCCATTCGTATTTACTTGTCAAATTTTGATTTGAGTATAATTATTTAGAAAATAATGATTGATACTTCAAGTTTACTATTTTATCCATATTAATTGATATATTTTTAAATATATTAACTTGTTATATCACCGGATTTTCAACTATACATCTATTTTTCGCGGGATTTCTATTACCCTCGGACTACTTTAAAATGGAATAAATAAATCCACAAGTGTTGAGTTGACGTAAAGAGTGTATTTCACTTTCTTTGAGGGTGAATTGCCTATTTTTTTGGGAAAATGCACAAGTATCCTCCAATCTATGCCCGAAATTTCAACACATGTATATTATACTAAAGTCTTATTACCCCTGAATTTATTTTATAAATAATTTTCTATTTTTTTCGGCCTACGTGACACTATCTTGTGAGTTCAACACATGTTGACATTTTTTTTCAAACTAGTGTCATGTAGGCCGCAAAGGGGTAGAAAATTTTTATAAATTAAGTTCAGGGGGTAATAGGACCTTAGTATAGTATAAGCGTGTCTTTGAAAATTGGAGCATAGGTTGAAGGGGTACTTATGCATTTTCCCCAAATTTTTTTTAATTTATGTTTTGATCTAATTTGCTTTTTTGTGCTCTTTCTTTCTTCTTATTTATCTATGCAACTATACATTTTCACCATTATCATTGTTGAATCATTTCCAAAGGATGTTTAGTATAAAAATTATCAAATTTTCCCCAATTTTTTTTTAATTTATGTTTTGATCTAATTTGCTTTTTTGTGCTCTTTCTTTCTTCTTATTTATCTATGCAACTATACATTTTCACCATTATCATTGTTGAATCATTTCCAAAGTATGTTTAGTATAAAAATTATCAACAACTGATGCATTTTATGAATAAATAATTTTTTAATAAACTTATTTAGACCATATATAACAAATTAAATTTATTTTTTTAAAAAAAAACATACCCATTAATCATTATTTTTTAAGTCATGGACTCGAGAGTAACAATTGTATATTTAAAAAGTATTTTCAAACTTATTAAACAGAACTAAAACAAAACAATCTCTTCTACATTTTAAAAGAAGGATCCTACATGTTCTCGCAAAATCCATGAAGAATCAAAATCAAAAACTCAAATTATAAATTAATCATGAAAATTTTAGAGGGAGAAAGAATAAAGAATGGGAAGAGAGATGTTTCTCATATTGATGTTACAAATTGGTCTAAAATTGATCTTCTCATCGCGATGATTTTGAGTTGTCGACGAAATCTTTAGGAGATAAATTTGATATCGGATGTTCATGACCCGTTTAATGCATATCTATGATTGTCTAAGGACGAAATTGAAAGAAATGTAAAAAAAATTATTGAATTTGGTTGGATGAAATATTTGATTAGGATTGCTATCTCATAGGCTCTATAGATTTGGAGTAGATGAAAAGACGACTTGAATTTTTGGTTTTATAAATTGTAGAGATATAAATTTTATGAAGGTAAAAAATGGTGTTTATTATAGTTAGGGTTGAAGAAATAATTGGGGAAAAAAAGAAGATCAAGGAGGAAAACTCTTTTTTTATTAAATGGTAAAATACATGTGTAAATGTGTGGTCGTGTATTTCACCACAAGACACATGTTTGATAATAACATTTTAGGAAGGAAATAATTCCACTTTAAAATAGTTCGAGAGTAATAAAATCTTGTGAAGTATAAGTATATAGTTAAAAATCAGGTAATAGATTGAAGATCATTTGACCAGTTTTTCTTTTAGACATTACTCAATATTAAAAAATATAGAGTATATTAAACAAAAAAAAATCTGTCCTTTCTTAATTTGTCAAAATCATATCATATCATGTATTTATATAAAATAGAATTCTAGGCTTGCCTATGTGTCGCCACCACAAACACGAATTTTCTTTTAAATTTATTTATTTTCAAAACTAGCCTTCCTTTTTCATTGAAATGTGTGATTTTTTTAATGAAAAATTGTGACTTTAATAAAGAGTTGCGACTTTTATTAAAAGTTGTGATTTTTATGAAAAGTTGTAATTTTAATGAAGAGTTGCAAATTTTATCACAAGTTACGACTTTTACAAAAAGTTGTGACTTAATGAAGAGTTACAACTTTAATGAAAAATTGCGACTTTATGAAAAGTTGTGAACTCTCCGAAGGGTTGCAACTTTTCTAAATAGTTGTAACCTTCCTGATAAGACACAATAAACATTTGTTCACATTATCCTTTGTTGTTTATAAATAGAGAGATTTTCTTTCATTTTAAAATAACAAATTTCTGATCTTCTTTTATTACTTTCGCAAAATTAAATATTTGTGTATTTTGCTCCTGTTGAGTAACTTACTAACACCACTGTTTTTGTATCCATAAGTTAATGAATAAAATCGTTTCATCATGAGAGGATGTAATTCTATAAACCTCTGGTATTTGAGGAAATAGTTTTTTTAAGGAGACATTGTAAATTTAGTGGACTTGATTTTTTCCTTTCTATTTCATTCTGTTTTCACATATCCTGGTATGTCTTTTTACACTCATTAATTTATGCTTATAATATTAATTATTTATTAAAATTTTGTTGATTATATTTCTGCAAAGTTATTGTCTCCGATTGTATTGAACATATGCACATATAGTACGTATGTTGACTGTGCAGAAAATAATTATTGTAATTAATTCCAAGAATTCATGTTTTGATATTTTATATTAAATTCTATAACTTACAAGTACTATTTATAAACTTACATATTATATATTTTTACATGAATATGAAATTTCTCACTAATCAACTGAAGAAATTAATTATGCAAGTTCAAAAGTTATAATTGCTTTTATGTTCAAGCGTAATTTCTTTTTTTTGAATATGTTAACAAATTTTTGAATTTTCTCCTAAGACATATATCACAATTGTATAATCTATGCAATTTAAATGTTTCTTTTTATTATGAAAAGTCTTTGCATATATATTCTTATTTTCTTCTATATTTTCCTTTTAATGTTGATTAAAGAACCAATGATTTTTTATTTCGTGAATACTTTATTCATTAGAGGTTCTTCAGTTATGTGATAATGACAAATAATCAAATTAATGTTGGAATATTATTTTTTAAGAAACTATTTTTTTTTATTATTGTTAATGTATGAGTATTAGGAAAAAATTATTTGTAAGTTCAATGCAATTATTATTTATGACCGTGCGAAGCGCGAAAAAATTACCTAGTATTTATATAAAAGAGAACCTTACACCTGTCTACGTGGCGCCACCACAATCCAGAATTTCCTTTTAATTTTTCATTTTCAAAACTAGTCTTTTCTTTTTCTGAAAAGTTGTGATTTTTATAAAGTGTTGCGACTTTAATGAAGAGTTGTGACTTTAATGAAGAGTTGAGACTTGTATGAAAAGTTGTGACTTTAATGAAGAGTTGCTAATTCTCCGAAAAGTTATGAGTTTTATGAAAGGTTGTGACTTTTCGAAGGTTGCAACTTTTTCAAAAAGTTGTAACCTTTCCGATAAAGCACAATAAATATTTGTTCACACTATCTTTTGTTGTCTATAAATAGAGAGATTTTCTTCTCATTTTAAAACAATGAAAATTTTGAACCTTCTCCTCCTCCTCCTCCTCTTATTCTTCACAATTAATTATTTGTGTACTTAGCTCATGTTGAGTGACTCATTGACACAATTGCTTATGTTACATATCCTAGTATGTATTTTTATAATGACATAAATATTTATGTCATTAAAAATAAATGATAAGTTGTAAAAATTTTCATTTTCCTTTACATAAATTAATGTTTGTTACTACATAATCTTATATGTAAGATAATATAGTGTTTTAATTTTATTGACGGTAGAAATATATTTGAAGTATTATTTTATAAATTTCGTGATATTACAAAGCGCGAATAATTTTACTAGTTAGAAGAAGTAAATAAAAATGAGAAAATAATTAGTAAGTGATTTAGCACCAAACTAGAAAATTTTAAATTAATATCGATAATAAATAAATATTTGTTTTCTTTTTTTATATTTTATGCATATTTAGTTTCTTCCCAAGTGTGTGCTAATGGTTAATACGGTGCTTTCTCTTAATTAAAATAATTACCTCGCCTTCATCAGATCTGGTTGTTGTATGTAAATCTCCTTAATCTGTTCTTCGTTTAATCTTGCCCTCTTGGTTGAATTCATTTTATTTTGTGCATCTTCGGTATGTTTTCGTATTTGAATGAACTGAATTTGTTGTTTTCTGTTTTTGTTTCTGTTCTTCTTTTGTGGATTTAGGGTTGAGCCGCCTTTGCTTGTGTGCATCTCGATTAATTTATGGGGTAGCTTATCGTCTAGCTCACAGGTACAGGTTCAGTTTAGTGTTGCTGCTGATACTCGAACTGGGGATTTTTCAGTTTTTTTTTCAACTCACTAGGTCATTCCCTTGGGCGGGGTGAATTTTATAGGGCAATTTATGGTGTTCGTGAACCTATGGTATATCTATCAACTTAGATATTTTGGGTAGATACTCCGTTGAATTAATCTAATATTATCTGTTGACATTGATGCTACAAAAAAAGAAGCTTAAATGGTGCACTTGATGCTAAAAAAAAGTTCGTTGTTTTAATGGTGCAGCGATGTTATAAAAATTCTATATCTTCATCTGCCATTGTGGACTCATGATAGAACTCAATTTTCGAGTCATTTACTAAATGATACTGATGATATCTGTGCTGTAGATGTTGATTTCTAGGATAACTTTTTTATTAAGTTGCTTTTATCTCAATTAGTTCGTTAAAGAATGTGATAGTTAAATAGTTAATAACTTGTTATTTTTCATGATTTAGTGATGGGAGTGTTAAATCACAAGTTATCAAGTGTAGTGAAAATGTGCCTGAATCCGGTTAGTTTGGATAGGTGTTATGTTGATTGATTGATTTTTACTTTATTAGAGAGTCCAATATCTAAAAGCTCTGTATTGACCCCAAAATCCCATTGATAATGTTTGAAGAAGAACCGTGAGAGCTAAGGGATCACTATGATATCTAAGCTTACGTAGAGTAAGAGATTGTATAAACTGATATTGGAGACGAACTGAAAATGATCTTGTGTATAATGCACGTATAGAATCTAAGTTCTGTTATGTGATGTCTTTGTTCCTGAATGGTGCTTGCATAAATTTGCAGGGAAATGTCATTCTTAAAGGATAGTTTCATTGATTCTGAAGCCCATTTTGTGGTGCTAATTGTACAGAGCTCATCAACATTTTCAGGTTTGGAGTTGAAATTTGAAACATAGCGTATCATATTTTCAAGCCTTTGATGACTCAGACTGAGACCTCATTTTAGTAACTTTAACGAGAGGTTTTGTTTGACTTATTCGCGTGAAATGGCAGAGCTTTTTGGATATACAGCATGCAGACAATTATTGCAAATGTTCATTTCAATTATATTCTTCCATGTTTCCGAGTACATTCTGGCACTTGTCTTTCATGGGAAGTCGAATGTATCTTTTAAGTCGCTTTTGATAAGCAAACATTATGTACTAGCAATGTTTTGCTCCTTGATAGAATACCTTATTGAAATCTATTTCTTTCCCGGCTTAAAGGAATATTGGTGGATAAGTAATTTTGGCCTCGCAATGGTTGTCCTCGGAGAAATCATAAGGAAGTTGGCAATTGTGACAGCAGGCCAAGCCTTCACTCATCTAATAAAGGTTTATCATGAGGAAAATCATCAGTTGGTTACGAATGGGATCTATAGATTTGTCCGGCATCCCGGTTACTGTGGTTTCTTCATCTGGTCTGTTGGTACACAAATAATGCTATGTAATCCAATATCAACCATTGCATTCACAGTTGTTGTGTGGAAATTCTTCTCGGGAAGGATACCTTACGAGGAGTTTTTCCTCAAGCAGTTCTTTGGTTCTGACTACGAAGATTATATGAGAAAAGTTCCTTCTGGTATTCCACTTGTGAGGTGATTATATCCTCTTCAGTGCTCTATATATTCATGCCTAACGTCATCTGCTCATCGGTGCTGAGATAACACTGTTTATGAATTTTATCTTCTTAGACACTCTTTACAGTTTTCATAACATGAAGTTCGCCAGAAAAAGGTTCCTCCTAGATATAACTTCTGAGGTGATGCTTCTATTAACCCTTGTATAGCGCGTTTATCTTATTTGTATCATCATGTTTTCGTCGTATCATGTCTTTGTTAAGACTTAGGTAAACTGTTCTTGTGGGGAGCTGTAAGTTATAACTGTATTTGTATTTATGGCTTGATGGGACAGTGTTTTTATCATACTCTTAAGGAGAAGAAAGGCTTTGTAACATTTTCTTTATTTGTCAATTCATTACCACATTTATGAACATTCATATTTCTATTACGATTATCGTCCTTTATAACAATATTTCATTATAATAGCCTAGTTTTTTGGCCTGATAAATTGGACCATCTAATATGAACCTAATAGATTTCCAGAACTATAAGCCAGGAGGTACATGTCATGAGAAAACAGTAAAAAAAAAGCCATAATGTCTTCACTTTTTTTTTATTTTAGATTTTCATATTTGATATTCGTATTAAAGCTTGATTAATTCGAATTTACGTTGGTATGACTCATTTGAAAAAAACGCTTCCCAACAACGACTTTTTGTTTAACAGTAATAAAGCCACAATGTCCATTTGATTTTCTACTATGACTTGAAGAAATCACTTGGACCAAGATTTCTGTATGTTTTTACTTTGCATCGATTGGATTCGTTAAAAATATTGTTGGATTCGTAGAATTCTTTTTTTTTAATAAATATACTATCTTTGAAAGATCTGATAACACCCTCAACAAAATCCGATCAATCTATCAACTGAGTTGCTACTTAAGTTGAGTTTCGAATCAATTGAGCAACTGAGATTCCCGATCTAACTCAATTGGCTGTGTCTTCTTCTTAAGCATAGGACTGAAATTTGTGCTTAATTTCTGTTCCATCTGATGTTTTAACAACATGCCCATCAATCAAACTTCCTTAAAATCTATGTCAAATGACAAAAGACACTTCTTTATTCAAAAAACTCATCACTTGGGACCTTTTCACCCTCTCAAACTCAACTCCCTTTGCCAAGATTCTAGATTCTTACATCAATACCAAGTCCCAGTATGTCATACAAACTGTCCATTGCCGAGTTCTCAAGACCCATTTTAGCTCCGAGGTTTTCATAAACAACAAGCTAATAGATACTTACGGTAAATCCGGGGTGTTAAAGTATGCCAAGAATGTGTTTGATAAAATGCCTGAGAGAAATACCTTTACTTGGAATTCCATGATGAATGCATATACAGCATCAAGATTGGTTTTTGAGGCTGAGGAACTGTTTTACATGATGCCTGAGCCTGATCAGTGTTCGTGGAACTTGATGGTGTCGAGCTTTGCTCAATGTGAATTGTTTGATTCGTCGATAGAGTTTCTTGTGAGAATGCACAAAGAAGATTTTGTTTTGAATGAGTACGGTTATGGAAGTGGTTTAAGTGCTTGTGCAGGCTTAAGGGACTCGAGAATGGGAACTCAACTTCATGCCTCGGTTGCTAAATCGAGATATTCGAGAAGTGTTTACATGGGTTCTGCGCTTATTGACATGTACTCGAAAACGGGTGATGTGGATTGTGCAGCAAAGGTGTTTAATGGGATGTGTGAACGTAATGTGGTGTCGTGGAATAGTTTACTTTCTTGTTATGAGCAAAATGGGCCAGTGAAGGAGGCACTTGTGGTATTCGCTAGGATGATGGAGTTTGGGTTTAAACCAGATGAGAAGACATTGGCAAGTGTAGTAAGTGCTTGTGCAAGTTTGTGTGCGATAAGAGAAGGTAAGGAAATTCATGCCCAAATTGTGAAGTCGGATAAGCTTAGGGATGATCTTATTATATGCAATGCGTTGGTTGATATGTACGCAAAGTCTGGGAGAATTGCTGAAGCTAGATGGATTTTTGATAGGATGCCAGTTAGAAGTGTGGTGTCCGACACCTGTTTGGTAAGTGGTTATGCGAGAGTTGCAAGTGTGAAGACTGCAAGAGCTGTGTTTTCGGGGATGATTGAAAGGAATGTTGTGTCTTGGAATGCTCTTATTGCTGGATATACACAGAACGGGAACAATGAAGAGGCACTAAATCTCTTTCTTATGCTAAAGCGGGAATCTGTTTGGCCAACACACTATACGTTTGGGAATCTACTTAACGCTTGTGCAAATTTAGCTGATCTGAAACTTGGTAGGCAGGCTCATACACATATTTTGAAGCATGGATTTCGTTTCCAGAATGGACCTGAGCCTGATGTTTTCGTGGGAAATGCTCTCATAGACATGTATATGAAATGTGGATCAGTTGAAGATGGTAGTTGTGTTTTCACAAAAATGCTGGACAGGGACTGGGTTTCGTGGAATGCCGTTATAGTTGGATATGCACAAAATGGCCATGCTATGGAAGCTCTTGAAACTTTCAACGCTATGTTAGTATACGGAGAGAAGCCAGATCACGTGACTATGATTGGAGTTCTATGTGCATGTAGTCATGCAGGATTGGTTGAGGAGGGGCGTCGATATTTCTATTCCATGGACAGAGACTATGGGTTGACACCTTTTAAAGACCACTATACATGCATGGTCGATTTACTTGGCAAGGCTGGTTGCTTAGAAGAGGCAAAGGATTTGATTGAATCTATGCCGATGCCACCAGATAGTGTGGTATGGGGGTCTTTGCTCGCTGCATGTAAAATTCACAGGGAAATTGAGCTGGGTAAGTATGTAGCTGAGAAGCTTTTGGAGATTGATCCTACAAATTCTGGCCCTTATGTTCTTCTATCAAACATGTATGCTGAACAAGGGAGATGGCAAGATGTCAAAATGATCCGAAAACTTATGAGACAACGAGGCGTTGTTAAACAGCCTGGTTGTAGTTGGATTGAAATACAAAGCCAGGTTCATGTTTTCATGGTAAAAGACAAGAGACACACGCAGAAAAAAGAGATATATTTGATATTGAATACACTAACTAAATTGATGAAGCTTTCTGGCTATGTCCCAAATGCTGGTCATTTGGATGGTGATGAGGAGCAAACCATGCTGGATTTTAACTCATCTGAAGAGTTTGAAGAACCTGTAACAGCTGCCATTGCATGCTAAGTTTGAGCGGATTCGTCACTTTCGATGGCGCACCTATGTTGGATTCTCTCAAAGTACGTTATTTCTGGAGGATCCAACACGCACCCTTTGACATTTTTTGAAGAGCCCAAGCAACATAGGTTGCATGATGATAGAGGTGGCTTGTGGAAATTGCAAGCTCTATGTACTTGTCTAGAAAGAGTTGGTCAATATCTTTTATACATAATATATAAACAGTCACTTTAACTTACTCTTCACTGACAGTTGAACGCTCCAACTTTCATTGTGTAACTTACTCTTCACTGACAGTTGAATGCTCCAACTTTCATTGTGACCATCTAGACACTTTCAACCGGACATGAGTGCATTTCGCAAAGCACCTTAACTTTGAAAATGCACTTTTAGATACTTTTAATAAATATATTATTTGAATAAATTATTTATCCATAATTTGAATGATAAATCTAAAAAAAAAGAAGTAAAGTACATGATAGAGCTACTATAAAAAGGTAGATTGTACGATGAAAGAGGAATTTGAATATAAGTAAATATATATGTTATATGTGACGTCCTACCTGATCAATTTACATCCTATGTATATTATATCATCTAAGACGTACAAAGTTCAGTTCGAAGTACAAAAATATTTGCATAAGGTATAATCATACTATATTTCTCCGATAAAGAAGATATAATATATAAATATATTCATTAAACTCGATTTTAATAATATTTATGTCTTTTAATCTTGAAAACATACTTTATATAAAATAAGACTTATTCGCCATTAATGAAATATAAATTATAAAGTTAGAAAAACCAAAACTATCGATCCAAATACGCCCACGCCAATCGCAGATAGGCTTTTTTTTTTTTCTATAAACAAACCAAAATGTTATTGCAACAATAGGCCGAATCCATCTCAATTTTCTTTTCTTCTGATGAAAATTAAGAATGTTGAGTGGGTCTCGGTGTAATTTTCATTGCAGTGCTCACCAATTTGCCACCATTTTAGCTGCTTCTACACTGACCTCAGAATCTTCTTTCAAAAATTTTAGAATCAGATTGAGGAGCAGGAACAGTAATAGTTCTTGTTTGAGCAATAAAGTTTGTGATTTTGGGGTCAATTGTGTTCAACCCAAATCTTCAGATACCCAAAGCTCTTTGCTTTCTGAAACTTTGAGGTAATTTGTTGTAATTTTAATCGTAAATTTAGTGATTTTGGGTAATTTTGAGGTATTTATAGTAGATTCTTGTTTGAGCAGTGCAATTAGGGATTTGTTGAACCCAAATGTTCATATAACCAAAGCTCTTTATTTTCTGAAACTTTGAGGTAATTTATTGTAATCTGAGCAGTAAATTTAGTGATTTTTGGGGTAATTTTGAGGTTTCTATTGTAGATTCTTGTTTGAGGTAATGAAATTAGTGATTTTCGGCTAATTTTGAAATATTTATCGCAGATTCTTGTTTGAGCAATAAAAATTAGTGATTTATTGAACCCAACTGTTCATATAACCAAAGCTCTTTATTTTCTGGAACTTTGAGGTAATTTATTGTAATCTGAACAGTAAATTTAGTGATTTTTGGGGGTTATTTTGAGGTTTTTATTGTAAATTCTTGTTTGAGTAATGAAATTAGTGATTTTTGGGTAATTTTGATTTATTTATCATAGATCCTTGTTTGACCAATTTAGGGTCAATTGTGTTTGACCCAAATCTTTAGAGAGTTAAAGTTGTTCACTTTCTGGAAGTTTGATGTAATTTATCATACTCTTAGCAGTAAGTGGTAATTTATTGTAACTTATCTTCTTTGAACGGTGACTATAGTGATTTGTGGGGTAATTTGAGGTATTTATCATAATGTTCTTGCTTGAGTGGTAAAATGTTGTTATTTTGGGATTTGTTTTCATCAATGGTGTACAACCTAAAGCTCTTAACTTTCTGAAAGTTTGAGGTAATTCAACATATCTGTTATTGTTTGAGCATGAAATTGAGTGATTTATGCCCTCAGGGCTTTAGTCAAAGTGGTAAGAGCCCAATACGTGACGTTGGGTTAGGCGCACAACACGGGTTAGAACAGTGACACAGTCAAAAGCCTGGTATTTAAGTGTGGTTAGGGTAGAGGGGCGGGCCTGTCATTGGGCGAGTTTTGAACTGTGCACCGCTAGCCGTTGGGGATTTTTCGGTTATCAAAAGAATAAAAAATTGAGTGGTTCTGGGGGCTGTATTATCAGTTGTGTTCAACCTGAATATTTAGATTCCCAATGTTTATTGCATTTTAATAGTTTGAGGTAAATCTTTTATTTCCCCCTTAAAACCTTTTGTCATTGAAAAAACAAATATAGAAAAGGAAGCTCTTTTGTTAATCCTTGATTTGTAGGCTGTAATTGCGGAAAATGGAATGGGTGAATGGAAGGTTGGAAGCAGACCTTTATAAATGCAATAAGATGAAAGGGGAAAGTAAGTTAAAACTATAAGTTTGGATCACACTTTTGACGTCAACAATATTTAAAGTTTATTGGAATATCATATAAATATGGGCAGGTATGCCTTTCTGCTTACTAAACTATGGTGTGTTGACTTTTTATTGTAGATCTAAAATAAATAGATAATGTTATTTATCTCTTAAGTGTTTAAAGTTTTAGATGAGATGATTCACACACTTTAACTGGGCAACAGAGTAGAGAGTAGAAGGCCCCATGTTCGAGTCTTGTTTCCAATCATCTAACAAAATTGTTACGCATGCTTGGCTCAATAGAAAGAATCAGGTGCTGCACAAGAGAGCATGTTGTGACCTAAAATAAATAAATAAATAAGAGTGGCTTCCCTTTAATAATATGAGTTCTTAGATGAGACGGTTACACATTTAAATAGTTTCATCTGGACAGAGTATTTGGGATAGTTTTTGTTTTATGTTTAAATGAAGCTTACAAAGGTCTAAGAGCTTTTCATCCATTGCATTGACATTGTAATGCCATTTTGTATTCAAGTATGACTCTCCTTAGAATCTCAATGCTAAATCTGTGTTCTATTTCATGTAAAGCCAATCTGGAACAGATGAGGAGCCTCCATCAGAAAGATTGCCAATTCTTACAGGTTTGCTCGTATCCATATACTACTAAGTGATAAAATTATCAAACAATATTTCATGTATGCTGAATTTATATTAATACCCATTTTCATTTATTCTAACTCATGAAGTTTTTTCAATGATTAAATGCTACGTAGATGCCTTGGTAGTTGTTGTCAGCCATTCTTTATGTCATAATCTTTGTTGCATTGCTATATGGCTCTTATGCCTATTCTTTCCTTTTGTAATTTCTTTTATTTTTCTCTTCCTGGTTACTAAAGAAAATTTAGGAAATAGGTGTCAAGATTTGGCCATTTCTTTTAGTGTACATATTTATATGTCTGTGTACGTCAGTCTTCAGTTATACTGCAAGGTCAAAGAACAGCCCTTAGTATCACAGCTTAAAAACCCTGTAAAAACTGTTGAAATATGTTCCAATACATGAGTCATCACAAAGAGAAATATTGTCCATTCACTCATCAATTTGTTTTGTTAATACTTCAGACCTGATCTTTCAACATACTTTTTACTTTATTTTTGTATAAGAAATAAAGTTTTGATGGGACTTCAACTCCTATCTCTTCTCTCTCTTATTTTTTTTATTTTTTTTTAAAGAAAAACTCCTATCTCTTCTCTGAAGTTCAAGTGTTTGATCCTTCTTTTCAACTGGAGCAATTTAGCCCCTGTAAGTGATGTTATTCCTCTTGTAGATTTCATTAGCTCCTTGTCTTTGGCTTAACAGCCTTGGTCATTTAGAGAAATGGCTCAATGCTCTATCAGTAGTTTTTTTTGTATCTAGGAGCTTTCCCTTTTTCTCCTTTGTTCTCATTCAGCATCTTCTTGATGCCAGTCAATATGACAATTAATTCATAAAAAAAAAACTTTACTTTGTATAAGAAGATCAGGGGTAATCTAGCCGTGAATAGTTGAATGGTCAATCTGCAAGTTTGTTCTAAATTTACTTAGGACCTACAATTACTTTCTTCAAAGTTTTACTTCTAATTGTTGCTTATCATAAAAGAAATAAAGAGAGTTTCAATTCCACTTGTTACAATTGCATTGTAAATGAGAAGCAAATAGAGGATTCTCAATTATTATTTTTCGTTTCAATAGGCGGGATAGTAGCTCTGGGGAAATTTGATGCACTCCATATTGGTCACCGCGAGCTTGCAATTCAAGCAGCAAAGAGAGGAATTCCATTTCTTCTTTCATTTGTTGGGATGGCGGAAGTACTTGGATGGGAACCAAGGTATAACTTCTGTTGTCTCTTATGTTTTACGCTGCTGTCATAGAATGTTAAATAGAGAAATATTATCTCCTCGAAATACCAGAAAAGGACAGAAGGATGAACTTTGTCATGACTCGACTCTCACTGCTTCACCCAATCCTGTAATAGTACCTAGGATCAACTTTGAATTCTGAAAATACAAAAGGAAAGAGGATCATCACATCAGAGAGTTTTATCTTGCATTCTCTTAGTGTATGCAAGTCTTAACTTGTAGCAATATTCCACCCTAGCTCCTCTGATTTAGCATAACTCTATGGACCCGGTTGACACTCTTTCTCCAAAGCACTAGATAGTAACATTCTTGAGTTTAGGAATTTCTGTTAATAGGATGATCAATCAGAATATGTACAAAGAAGGAAGAAAATATATCCATATATTTTAGTTCATTTAAGTTTTAACGAAAAGCATAAAATAAAGAAATCAATCTCCACATCAGTATATTTTCCGACAGGAAAACTTAAGTTAATGTCCTCTATTCTTTTCTTCACTGCTTTTTGCGACAAGTGAAAGTTTGTGATGATTCCTTATAGCTTTTTGCTGTATCTTGTCCTTCATCTAAAATTCAAAGGATGTCCTTATCAACATGTTATACAATCTTGATTTGCTCCTTGGAAATAAAATATTTTCAAACGTTATTCTACTCAAGTAGTATATAGGATTAGTCATGGTTTAGAAAATTTGGTGTTTGAAGCTGGAAGGTGTTTACATCTGTTGAGTGTATCCTCCTAACCTTACTCAAGCTTACTGAGAAGTTCCTTTTTTGGTTAGTAGTCTTTATGAAATGCCATATCATGAAATGAGAAATAATATTTGTGAGCATGTGCATATTTTCAACCCAGGGCTCCCATTGTTGCTGAATGTGATCGCAAAAGGATTCTTTCGTCTTGGGCTCCTTATTGCGGTAGTATAATGCCAAGGGAACTCCAGATAGATTTTTCGAAAGTTCGATATCTTACGCCTTGTCAGTTTGTGGAGAAGCTTTCCAAAGAGCTGGGAGTACGAGGAGTTGTTGCTGGTATGTTGTAACATCCTAACTTGATATAGAGATTCCAATATAAACTAATAAAAGATAAAAAAGATGATGATGTCTTGATGACCTCAGGCGAGAATTATCGTTTTGGATATAGAGCTGCTGGTGATGCATCAGACCTTGTGAAGCTCTGTGAGGAGTATGGATTAGAGGCTTATATAATCAATTCTGTCATGGACACAAATCAAATTTCTGGAGACTTGAACTCTAAAGACGGTAAAGAGAGAGGGCAAGTATCATCTACTCGTGTTAGGTATGCCCTTCACAAGGGAGACATGAAATATGTGTCAGAGCTATTAGGTCGGAACCATCGTCTTATTTTAATGATGGAAGACCAAGAAAGGTTTACTAGTGAGAGAAATAGGCTGTCTGCTCCAAAGTCTTGTTTGTTGAATCTTGCACCTAAGGAAGGTCTTTATGAGAATTGTTCAGTTTTGATTGACAAGAGTGTTATTCCCTGCAGAGTAATAGTTGATACAACATATATTCATTTGGAATCCTATGAGGTAGCTAGTTTTTCCTGTGTTACTTCTCAAGACTTAAAGATATTGGGTATTGACTTTGGCAGTCCAAAGTTAGAAGGGGTTCAAATTTTGTAATTCATTCCCGATAATTTGTTAGTGCAACCATTTCTGAATGTCCTTCAGTGTTTAAGTATGAGTATGATTTTTTAAGCGGTACCTTTCTGCTAAATTCACATTCTTTTTACCGGAACATAGCTGAATTTACTGATATTCTAATTTCTAAGAATCTGATAGTGTGAATAGAATTGAGATGATAAAAGTGCAACAAAATAGCAAATATCATTATGTAATGACTTTTGACCATTACCATACATAATGGATTTTGTTCTATCACTACAAGTAGATTGGTTAACAACTTGGTTACTATTACTCTTTCATTGTTTGAGTGTTCTTGTATTTGTCCTAATTAGTGAAAATCCTTTGATTATAATCCTGTCGTACTTGATTGAATATTATCCTTTCCACCAATATCTTTAGTGCTTGAAGTCTATTTCCTTCAATTCATTTGTAATTGTTGAAATGTGTGAACCATCTTATCATCTATAACTTTGAACTGTCGAAGGGGAGGTGCATATTGCCTTAAAAAGATGTTTTGTCTCATCTAAAATCTTAAAATAAAAAGGTAACACTTTTGTTTAAAGTTTAAACAGTACTACAGTAGTGAATGCAATATGTCTATAACTACTGTTGGTGTCTGCTTACTTTGAGCATGTTTGAATCCTTATAAGGAGTGCTTCTTGTAGACTTCTGCTCTCTCATTCCTGTTACAGTGGTTTTACCTGATTTAATTATCATTCCCTCACTGCTTATGAAAATCTTGTTCATCATCATCAAGTAGGTGGTTGTCTGGAATGTTTTGTTTCACGGATAAGGAAATCTTGCTGTGATCTTTAAGAGTGTTGTTTGACAACTTTAGAGGACCAAACTAATGTCTGGATTCAGACGTGTATAAAGTGGAACCAATGTCTTATATTAGGCTGTGGCACGTAACTTAGAGAGAGAGAGAGAGAGAGAGTTATTAATTTGAAGGGATTGTAGAACATGATGAATGTTGCTTGGAAGTCTACAGATCTTCATATATTAAATTCAGGAAAGTATAGTTTCAAATTTTTCATTGGAAGCAGGGATAATTTTGTTATTCAAAGGCTCTTGGTATTTGGGTTCCTGCAGTTTTGTGGGTCTCCCAAGGCATTGTCTACTAAGCTATTGCCATTGAAGCTGGTTAAATTGTTAGCAGAATGTCACCATGATGAGACAAGGGAGAAGCTCAGTAGTGGACCGCTGTTTCTTCAATGATCTTTGTCCACTTTGTCGGTGCATCAAGTTGTATGGTACAGAAGGAGAAGTGGAGTTCTCCTTCTCAAGTACGAACAGTTTCCTGCTGTGTTTCGTGTACCTTTTCTGTTTAAAAAAATGTGTTTTATATGTGGTCTTATTGACCATATACTAGAAGCTGCACATTGAAGGATGATCCTCGACCTACTTGATGCAAAAGGATCTTGCTTTGTGGGGCTTGGTTCAGTGTCTTGATAAATTTAGATTGGAGGTGTTGTGCTGCCATTGTTGGAGATGTATTTCTGGCTTATGCTTTGGTTTGAAGCATATGTAGGAAGTTTTGATGGGCCTAAAGAGGTCATGAAAGGAAACTCAGCTGCAAATCTTGGGACGATGCAACCCTGAATCTACATACTCGTCGCCTGGGTCCTGTCATCTCGTTGCTTCAATCTAGAGATCTTGCAAGCAGGTATGACCGTATGAACAATAACTGAATCCAAAGTTTAAATCAGTACATAGAGATTATAGAGTATTAGACTTAGAGACATTTAGTAGATTCTGGCATAGCTAAGAATCCTATTTTACATACTACCATGCTACTAATGTACTGGAAGCCTATCAGTTATAACTGTTTATTCATGTAACCTTGTGTTGGAGGGATGCAACATTCTGTAAGGTCAGAGGGCCTGAGGCTGTGATCCTATTGTGCTATATATCGAACTCTACATAATTTGAATGTCATTGAGATCTTATTGAAAGACTGCTCCCAGGGATTTGGTCTAGTGGTAAGATTGCAACAGGTAATGGGTAGGTTAGGCACACGTTACAGATTTGGTATTTAAGTGGAGAAGGGCAAGGGGCCCGGCCCCTTGTCCATCGACTTCCGAACTGTGTGCCACTGGCCTTCAGAGATTTCTCAGTTCTTTCTAAAAAAAGATTGTGGAATACTGATGCTAGCTCAACTTATTACTTCTATTCCTCTTTGTCCCTTATGAATTATGATCCAGTGACAAGCCTATGAAGTATTTCAGAGAAGAATGATATTTAAAGGTCCATCCTGAAGTGAAGTTCTTTCTGAAAGATCGGAAGATATCCTACACACTCGGCTGTATCTAGTAAAGCCATGGTGCTGTGGCTAATTCTATATGTGAATGGGATTGTGTTCTCCTGCCCTGTTCCTTCAGGTCTTCTCCACTAAAGCTATGATTCTCGTGTCGGCCTTCAAGTTGTTCCTGACAAATTTGTTCAATAGGAAGGGGCTGTTCTTTCTTCTTCTTTATGATCCTTTTGGTGTATAAGGACTCCACTGATCTTTCATGGATCTTCTTATAAAGTCCTGAATTTGCTTGATCGTTGTCTATTCACATCTGGTGTTTTTTTGCTGCTTGAATCAAGATTTCTGGTATTCCAGCTAATGTTATTAGTTAGATTGAGGAACTTCTTCTACTGCCCAGTTTTAGGTAAATCTACATGGTGTTTTGATATCCTTAGAGCTGGAATTTGTTGTTCCTAGACAGCAGCATGAGGAATCCTCCAAATCTCTTTACTTCAAAACTTGCATTTTGCTCTATGGGTCATTTCTGCGTCACCCTTAACTAGAGGTCTCGGGTTCGAACCCTAGGTTCATCTTGGGAGCATCGCCCCTGAATGGGCCCTGCAGTCCATGATATGGACTCAAACCCTGAGTATGGAGTACCACCCACGTACGGGTCATGCAGTGCGCGGTTTGAATTTAGTCGGGGTTCCAATGTGGACTCCGGGCGCTGGAAGGAAAAAAAAAACATATCTGCAAATGAGAATCACTCTGAAATACTTTGCAGACATGAAAAGTCTGCAAAAGAGAATAAGATTATGACTATTTGCAAGCAATTATTTGGTGGTAAATTTATGATGTTTACATCAAATTATGATTATTAAATGTATTAATTTGTTATTAAGTGACAAGAAGATATGTAAATGATACATATTATTGAATTGGCCTAAACATTGAGTATGGGACCCTTGTGTCAATTAGTGCCAATAATGTAATTGAGAGTCATTAATCTTTCCTTATCTTAGGATACCAAAGGACAAATAATGAATAATAAGATAGTACATAGAATAAAATGTGTTTAATGCGAATATACTATAGGTTAGTTGGAGTTTAACTATTTAATCTTGTAGGAGTTGTTTGGTAAGATGTATCGTAACAAAGGTTGAATACAGTGCATTACTAGTAATACTGAGATTAATATTTTGTCATTAGTTATGTTGATATTATTTTTTTATGAATAATTTGATTTACGATATAAAATCAATAAGATGTATTACGATAAAAATAGTATCGAATAAAATGTATTATGATTAGAATATAAATAATATCTCGTATTGTTATTTCCTTTATTATGCTTCATATGTTGGTAACCACCATATTTCAACTACTTTTAAATAATCAATCTAATGAATCTTCAAAATTAGGTTAGATTACATTAATATAATATTTTAAATTAAAAATTAGATAGTAATTTTTTTAATAATATCATAAAAATATATATTGTTCAATCTTCTTATTCAAAATGCTTACACTAAATTAAAAATATTTAATACATAATTTTATTTTGCTAAATCATAGTATAATTATTATAATTACTTATATAGTCCAAAGTATTATAAACAGCAAAAACAATCACAAAATGAAAAGATAACTTCTCTTTCTTTCCAGTATAAGATCAGAACCATAAACTTCTCCGATGGCCGGCGCCGGCGACGATTCTCATCTGCAGAACGACGTCGTTTCAGTCCACTGTATAAACGACAGTCTCGGCGACGATGAGCTTCGGGCCGTACTGTCGAGACTTGGAGACGACAAAGACAAGGAAGTTTTCGGGCTGGTATGTAAGCGGTGGCTTCGTATTCAAAGTACTGAAAGGAAGAAGCTTTGTGCTCGGGCCGGGCCTCACATGCTCAGAAGAATCGCGTCCCGATTCACTCGATTACATGAGCTTGATCTATCTCAATCGGTTTCTAGATCTTTCTATCCTGGTGTTACTGATTCTGATCTTTCAGTTATTGCTACTGCTTTCTCTTGCTTGCGAATTCTCAATCTGCAGAACTGTAAAGGTTCGTTTTTGTATTTTTTTCTGAAGTTTTATAGTTTGAAATTTGTTGAATTTGAATGGTCATTGCTGAAGTGAACCTGAGCTACTGCAGGAGAGGCCAAATGCACCAATCAGTAGTCGTACTCGTATATGTAGTGATACTTCACATCTAGTACCGATTTAAAATCTTGAATTTGTTTCTCTGTGGGATGGTTGAGCGGGCTTTTCATTAAGATAAACACACAAAGCAGTTGAAGGGGTCAACATTTATTATATATATACACATAAAACATAATTTTATCCATGTATAACCTGTTCGGATGAACCCCTGGCCCCTTACTAGCTCTGCCCCTGTCTGTGTGAGGTGTTGGATGTATTGTTCCCAACTTGGACATAAAGGTTTTGACCTGATGTGGCGAAGACTGCCTCTTCCTCTTTTCTATCTTGTAAATAATGGGTTATTATGATGAAAATGGAGTAATGGGGTTTGTGGAGGATTTTAGGGGATTTATGGTTGTTTTTTTTAGGACAATTAATTGCAAATTTGTAGGATTTTGTGTTTCTGCCTAAAGATTATGTCTTTTTTTCTATGTGGTTTTTGTTGTGGTAGGAACAGGCTATTATATCATATGTATTCCATTTTTCAAGAGTGTAACTTTATTGTGAATCTAAGGCTCAGATGCTTCCTTGACTTAACTTGCACGGTTTTATGGTCCAAACATACAGGCATAACAGACAAAGGATTGGCTGCTATTGGATCAAGTCTGTCTTCTTTACAGTCCTTAGATGTATCCTACTGCAGAAAGATCACTGACAAGGGGCTTTCAGCTGTTGCTGAGGGGTGTCATGACTTGAGAATATTGCATCTTTCTGGCTGTAGATTTGTCTCAGATTCATTAATGAAAGCTCTCTCCGAGAATTGCCATAATGTGGAAGAGATAGGTTTGCAAGGATGCACCAACATTACCAACTCAGGTCTCTCTGTTATGGTTGAAGGTTGCCGGAGGATAAAGCATTTGGACATTAACAAATGCATCAATATTGGTGATATTGGGATATCTAGTGTGTCTGAAGCTTGTTCATTGACACTCATGACATTGAAGTTGTTGGATTGCTATAAAGTTGGTGATGACTCTATCTTATCCTTGGCCAACCACTGCAAAAATCTTGAGACACTCGTTATTGGTGGTTGCCGTAACATATCAGATGAGTCCATGAAGTCACTGGCAGCTTCTTGTAGTAATAGTCTGAGGAAACTGAGGATGGATTGGTGCTTGAATATTACAGACTCTTCATTGGACTGCATCCTTTCCAAATGCAGAGAGCTTGAGGTTCTCGACATTGGCTGCTGTGAGGAGTTAACTGATGCTGCATTTCAACAATTAGGAAGTGACAACTTTATGTTGGGGATGAAGATTTTGAAGGTCAGTAACTGTCCAAAGATCACTGTTGAAGGAATTAAGAAGCTTATGAAGTCATGCAAATTTCTTGAATATCTAGACGTACGATCTTGTCCCCTTATCACTAAAGCAGGGTGTGAGGAGGCTGGAATTCAGTTTCCTGAATCCTGCAAAATAAACTTCACTGGAAGCTTAGCAGAGCCAGATGTGTTACTTTGAGCAGTACTTGTTTTAGCAATGTCTTTGAAGGCCTGATGGGGATCATACAGTGTAATTATCACCTTCTTTGCCTAAGACCTAAAATATGACTTTGGAAGCTCCTGATGTCAGTCCCTTGTTCCCATTAATTTGCCTTTTGTTAAGCATCAAGTTTTTCTGTTGTAGATTATTCCCTGCTTTTCAGTCATTTGATATCAAACTCCTGTATATCATCCTTGTAAACTACTAGTTAGCCCCAATGTTTGCTGTAGGTGTTTTCAGATTGTGAATGAAATGAATCCATTGCTGCTAGTTTGAATGTGAACTTATACCAATCATGATGGTTTAATTGATTACACATCTCGTACAACCTGTCCAATGATTCTGTTGGAATAGTTCAATCACAACTGCCTGCATTTATATTTGCTGTATTAGCTGGATGCCACAACCAATCTGATGAACAATTTAAACTGCAGATTTTATATCTTATTTCATTTTACCCAAAAGATAAAATAATTTGAAGACGCTATATACCATACTAATAAAAACTTGAAGGCAGCAAAGTCTGTGAATGCAGTATTAAATTTGCATATAAACAATCTAAAATGCTAATCCTGAAACTAGCATATTGTTCTTGTTTTCATATCTATCACTTGGGTCATAAAGTCTTCTCTAAGGACAAGTAGAAAGCTAAATGAATCAAAAAAAAAAAATAATCAATCTATCTCCACAAGTTTTATAATAAATTTGTACATTCGTATCTCTTGCTATCTCAAAAAACAAAATAAGTCTATACAAAAGCTACCAGTTTTAGAGAAAAAAAAGTCTATACATTCCCATTAACTCTTAAGGGCACAAAGGTTAAACCTTAAGCCTCCTTTGAGCAATGGATCTAGTTACAAAGTTTTAACAGATCCCTGAATTCGTTTTTGCATGAACGTTTTACATTGAAGAACGAGCTCATTAGAAAAAAAAATGTGTCTTCATAACTTGCTTGAGCTGGAGATTGCCTGCTGCAGATATCTCAGTGTCTTTTGATGATTGAGGAATCCCATAAACCAGAACTCAAAATCATCCTCTGTAATTACTTGTATATACTTCTGTGATGGCTTTTGCATATTTTTGCTCTCTTTTGCTTTCATTATCTTACTTATTGGGATGGTTACCTGCCATTGTGAACCAGTTAGATTATGCTTTACGTGGTTAGAAAATGAAAAGTTGGAAGAAAAATGGAGCAGAGTTATACCTTATAGTAGATTCTAAGCAACTTTCCAGTTGGAGATAAGAGCTTTATTGATCTCTCGCTGCAGAAAGCAATCTTATCGGTAGAGATGAAGAGAAGGCCTGCTATTGGACCAGCTGTCGTTGATAAATAGCATTGAGAAACATTCAATAGCTTTTCATCATCTCTAACACTGAACTTCTGCCTGAATATTTTCTCCAACCCTCCTACTTGAAGGATTTTTGCTCCAAGGCTCAATTTTCCCTTTAAAGTTTCTGTTAGTTTCGGGCTTAGGCTCACTGCACAATCAGAGTACATTTAGAATCAATATTTTCTGTCATGTTTACATGAATTTTGTACTTATTACTCACTTCTCTGAGTTCTTTAGATTTACACTAGTGTTTGGTCATGACTTCACTTGCAAATACTTAAAGGTGAAGTTTGTCCATCAGTATTCGCAATTGGTGAACATTTTAGCATTTGAAAGGCTGGTATAGTATGGAATTAACTTGTCTGAGTAGCATTTTTGAGTGAGATAATTGTTTTCGCTTTAACCTTCTTTTTTTTTTCAAATGGAGTTCATGTCCAGACACAAACTTTAAGTTCAAATACTTATTTTTCGACTTAAAACAAACTATTATCTCAGTAATATTTTCAATAGATATATTTAAGTCTTTTATAGAGAATTTTAAGCGCTTACCATGCTCGCGGATGCTTTTTACTAGACAATCCACCCTTTCTCCCAATTTGTTCATCTTACCAATGACATATCTTCCTGCATATTCAAGAATATTGTTATTTTTATGATCTCTTCATTCAAGGTTTAGATCAAGTTGATTCTTCATCAAGGGACCAGGGAAATACTCACTCTGCTTAATTTGAGACAAGTTCTTTGAAGTTGCATATGGAACGATATGGTCTTCGCAAGCAGGTAAGGCAAGTAGTCTTTTCGGCTGGCTTTCAAGTGAACCTACTGATGAACTCATGGGAATACCCACCGAATTTCCACGGAGTAAGTCCATTGTGATTCTGGTTTGAGGTGGAGTATTACTGTATTTTGAAGGTATGTGGGAAGTATTTAAGTTCGGTTGATGGTTTAAAAGCATTGCATTATAGCATTATATATAGGTGCTTGCAGAGGAGTTGGTGAATCCTTTAACTGATTGTTGCATGAGTCAGCTATGAGTCATCTGAGATAACCAAAAAAGGTCATGTATATGCTTTTTCAGAATTTTCTGTTGTATCAAGAAGAAACAGTAAGATGGGAGTGTCTTCAATGATCTTTTTGTTGATTGAAATTTGAAATATTCTACAAAACAATCAAAGTGCAGTGCATGTTCAACCACTCCCTTTATTTTCTAAATTCATTTTATATCTTTTTCTCTTTGCTCTTAAAGGTATTGAAAGTGTCTTCTTTTAGCTGTCTGGTCAATTACAGTAAACTAAATCTCAAGCTGACTCATTTTGTCATTAAGATTTGTGTGCACATGTGTTCTTTTCTTAAAGTTTTTAATCAGTTGACAGATTTGCTTTATGATGCTGCCTTCTTTTGTAAGTTGAGCCAACCTATTGAAGTCATCTCTTCATAATAAGGTAATTTAATTACGCTTAATTGACTCAATTTCTTTCCCGTGATTCTTTATGATTAAGCATTTGTTTAAACTAAAAGGGAAAGGGTCTGATATACCCCTCAACTTTGTCATTTGGAGCTGATATACCCTTTGTTATGAAAGTGACTCATATATACCCCTACTTATAAACAAATGACTCACATATACCATTTTCCTCTAATGTAAATGAAAAAAGAAGAAGATAATTTTAATCTAACTTTTTATTATTTCTTTTCTACAATATATAATCTCATATGAGTAAATTTAATCATCGTAAACATATTTTTTTGACTTTTTTTTTTGTTTCAATGACTAATTTAGAATTATTATTTTGATAATCAAATTTATTTATGTTTCAATAATATTCTTGTAAAACTTATTGTAGATGACCAAATTTTTTTCTTCGAATACAAAAATCAAATTACAATATAGACAAAAAAAATTGTTTAAATTTTTTTTCTTTAAAGAATGAAAGAAAAAAAACAAAATAAGAATAAGAAACTCAAATAACTATAATAAAAGAAGTCCAAAAATAATTTATGTATTAATAAAATTAAAATATACCTTGAACTTTGTTAGAAGAATCATATATATACCCCTAAATAATCTGTTTTTTTTTTTAAATAATAAATATAAATTTAAAACTAATTTTTTAACTTCCGTCAAAAGAAGGGTATATGTGAGCCATTTTGTAACGGCAGGGGTATATGTGAGCCGTTTGTATAACGATAAGGGCATATATGAGCCACTTTCATAACGAGGGTTATATCAGCTCCAAATAATAAAGTTTGAGGGGTATACAGACCCTTTTCTCAAACTAAATAGAAAAGGGACATTGTTTAGAATCATATTGCTACTTTTAGACTAGCTGTCATATGCTTTTGAATTGATCTCAAGTTAGTTTTTAGCAGTCTTGTATGTTAAAGTTGACAAGATGAAAAATTCGAATTTATGACTGTTGTAGTACAGTAGTGATGATTCATAGCCACCGCTAGCCTGTCCCGTTAGGAACATGCGTGGGTCATCGTTGAAGTGTTGCTTAACTAATTAGGCAATGGAAAATAGTCATTCTAAGATCTCAATCCGACATGTAAGATCTATATTACATGTGCTTGTCTGGATTGTATGTATACACGCCTTCTCCTACAAGGCAGCTATTCTGATCTTGCTTTATTTTTCTCTCCATCTTATCCTGATGTGTATGGGCAGGTTATGTAGTCATTCATGCTGATCCTATGTGGAACACAACACACAGACATATGATTTAGAAGTTTCTGGTAAACTAACTTATCTTTTCCCTAGTTTGACCATATATCTTTTATCTTTGGACATCAATCCTATGAAGATTCTAAAAGAAATAAAAGTATTTAACAATGAAGCATAAAAAGATAATAACATTTTTTGATTCATTTTTCATGTGTATCATACAAACTACTTATCTAATTATTAATAAATTATTGGGAAAAGGGTTTGATATACCCTTCAACTTTGTCATTTGGAGCTGATATACCCCTCGTTATAAAAGTGGCTCATATATACCCTTACCGTTATACAAACGGCTTACATATACCCCTGCCGTTACAAAATGGCACACATATACCCTTCATTTAACGGAATTTTAAATAATTAGTTTTAAATTTATATTTGTTACTTATAATTTTTTTAAAAAAATTATTTAGTGATATATATGATTCTTCTATAAAAGTTCAAGGTATATTTTAATTTTTTTCATACATAAATTATTTTTTGACTTCTTTTATTATAATGATGTAACGAACTCAGGGACCTTGTGAAGGTACCAGGTTCTCAACATGAACAACTCGTTGACTGCCAACTAGAGAAGGTACAGGAAGTTGGTGCATATTTCCCAACTGTGTCAGAAAAGTCAGATCTTTCCAACCAATGGCATGAGCTTAAGGAAAGGGACTTGTCTTACAATGCACTTCTCTTAACATTGTTTTTTAGTTTTTGCAACTTGAAAAAGCACTCTCAAGAACTCTTGCAAAAGCTATAGAAAATCAAAGTGAAGAATTATTATAGAACAACCAAAAACCCAGGCGTATATTGTGTAGTTGTTTGAGAATATATTCTTTTGGTCTTACATTGTAAACTGATCTTAAATCTATAAAGGAATCAGTGTGGTGGGTGTTGAAATTCTAAGTTGTCCAGAGTGATAGCTTAGTGGGTAGTATAACTTCTACTTAAGCTTATCAAGCAATAGAAGTTATTGCTTGTTGGTGAGATTAAAATTTTTTTCTAACATTTGTGTAACTAGTTTTACTTTTGCTTGTGAAGATTAGTGAAACAGTTGTGTAAATCCTGTGAGACAGGTCGTGGTTTTACTCCCTTGAGCAAGGAGGTTTCCACGTAAAATTCTTGTGTTGTTAAACTGCATTTACTTTCTGTTATATAATCTTGTTTGTGTGTCAAGGACCTGGTCCATTGACTGATAGTGGACGCATAGATTCTAACAATTTCATTCATATTTTTTCATTTTACCCTCAGTGTCGTGCTTTTTTAGTCACAAGAATCTCATGGTAGGTTCAACGCCACAAGTCCAAACGTTCTTTTCTTAAACTTTGTGTTGAGTCAAATTCCACCACATAGATTGGCTAGGGGAGAATACTATAATATGTTTAGAATTCTGTAACGTGTTTCCATTCTTTTTCAATTATATTAAACTAGCAAGCTAGTTGTTCAATTTTTGTTGGAAAATTAGTTTAGTTACGCAAAGCTTAAATAAAATGAGCACCAAAGGGTGTGGCGTTGTGATCAATGAAGTGGACTTGAGAACCATAAGGTCTGAGGTTCAAATTCCAGCTGATGTTTTTCCATTTGTCTAAGCCATGTTGGATTGAGTTACCTGACACTTGTGTTGGTAGGAGGTAACAAGAATTCTTATGGAATTAAGCGAGGTGCACAAAGTGGTCAGACATCACAATTATATAAAAAAATCAAAATGAATTAATCCTCTATCATATGCAAAACGAGAAGAGCAATTAGTGTTACCGAAAATATCTCAAGAAAGTTAGTTATAACTAAATCAAGATATGAGAAGTTTTGTGCCTTCTTTTGGATTGTATACCCTACTATCATGGTTTATCTATGGTACTGAGACTCTTCGAAATTCCTACCACACACGCGTGGTGTGAGATAAACACCGGATTTTTATCACTTGGGGTAATTTGACCACATCTATGATCAAGAAGTATAGATTGATTGTATTTGGTTTGTTTTTTGGGTTTATGTCATAAAGATGTAGTTATATGAAGTTTGAGAATGCTTTGCTATTACACGAGATATCAACAGCAAACCAACTGTAATCCCTCAAGTAGGGTTCGGGGAGGGTAGAGTGTACACAAACCTTGTATATGTTGGAGGCATGTCGGAAGCATGCGTAGGACTAAATTGAGTTAGTTGTATGGTGTGGGTATTTGCTTATTTTCTACGAGGATCAAAATGGATTGTGGTTTAGAGAAGGGAAACACCTGTTATTATGAACTGGTGCTTTGATAGCAATAAAGGGGTCATGATCACAACATTAGTGATTTTCTGCATGGTAACAAAAGAGGTTGCAAGCACAACACATGCCTCGCCTCAACAAGGCACGGTCCGGGAGGCAGTAAGCCCAAGCTCAGAAATCGCTATTGTGAGCCCTCTGGCTTCAATCGCCACTCTGTGGGGCTGCTGAGGTACTATGGAACATGTTATAATAACACATGATTTACCTCTCAAATCTTAGATTTTTGGTTTGGTTACCTATTTGATCATATTTCACTCAAGAACCAGGGCTTGAACTATTGAGGTAGTTTGAGATATTTGACACTACCGTAGACTCTATATAGCCTATGGGTGTGTGATTACGCTATGGGGATATGAATCAAGGCTCACTATCGATGTCATGAAAATGGATGGATAGTCCAAAAGATGAATTAGCCTCCTGTTTGATTAGTTTTACAATAAGTCTATACATTCGTATTAACAACTTAGGCTTAAAGCCTAAAAAATCTAAAACCTCCTTTGAGCAATGGAGCTAGTTACAAGTTTGAACATATCTGCATCTTGCATCAACATTTTACATTGATGAATGGGTGTATTAGGAAACAAAATAAAATTAAAAAACTATCGTCTTAGCTGATTGAAGTTTGTGAAAGTTGAAATTGCCTGCTGCAGATATCTTAGAGTTTTTTGATTATTAAAGAACCCCATAAACCAGAACTCGTAATCGTCCTCTGTAACTAACTGTATATACTTCTGTGATGGCTTTTCCATATTTCCACACTCTTTTGCTTTGTTGATCTTACTTATTGGGATCGATACCTTATATCGAATTCTAAGTGACTTCCCGGTTGGAGATGAGAGCTTTATTGATCTCTTACTGCAGAAAGCAATCTTATCAGTAGAGATAAAGAGAAGTCCTGCTATTGGCCCTGCTGTCGTCGATAAATAGCATTGAGAAACCTTCAATAGCTTTTCGTCATCTCTAACGCTAAATTTCTGCTTGAATATCTTCTCCAACCCTCCTACTTGAAGAATTTTTGCTCCAAGGCTCAATTTTCCCTTCACAGTTTCTGTTAGCTTCGGGCTTATGCTCACTGCATTATTAGAAGTGGCGACGTTAATGACATAAGAATCAATACTTTGTTATTGTATATACACATAATTACTGCTTCTTTGCATGAGTTTTAGTACTTCATGACTCACTTATATGTGTTCTTTAGGTTTACAATTGTGTTTGGCCGCGGCTTCACTTTCAAATACTAAATTCAATATTTGCAAGTTGAAGTTTAGCCACCGGTATCATTAAGTTATACTCTTTAGAACTACTACAGTATCGAGTTGATTATTCATTAAGAGACGGAAAAAATACTCACGTTGCTTTAATTTAGATAAGATCTTTGATGTTGCAGATGGAATATGGTCTTGACAAGAAGATAGGGATAGTAGTCTTTTAGGCTGCCTTTCAAATGAACATACTGCTGAGCTCATGGGAACACTCACCATATTTCCACCGATTAAGTCCTTCATTTCGACTTCTGATCTTGAAGAGGATTGCTATATTGTTAAGATAACTGAGATATTATTATGGTTTGGTTGATGGTTTTAAAGAACATTGCTTGTAGCACTATATATATAAGTTGATGATGACTGTTTCATGAGTCAGCTATTGGTCATCAAAAATAAGCAAAAAAAGATCTTGCTTTTTTTTTTTTTTAGAGTTTTCTTTATCAAAGTGCAGTGCATGTTCAACCACTGCTTTTTCTTCTTTGTTTCTTTCCTTTTGCTTTCAGTCTATTAATTTATGTTGGTGGGTGTAAATCATGGGAAAGCGGAGTACGAAGCTAGGAATTTCTTCCTATCTACCTAAGCCATGATGGACAGAGTTACCTAATACTTGATAGATTCACATAGACCGAAAAGTGGTGGTTGAACACCGTTTTCGTCAAAAAATTATACTGTGTATATAGAACATCATAACTGAATATATTGGTAAGAAGTTATACATATAGTTCAAATCTTGTTCATATATAGGTGAAAATTTATTTTTTATATTTACATTTAGTCTTGAAGATATATACTTGGTGGATTAGCACAAGCTGACCATGACAATACCTTCATAAAAAAATAGTATATTCCTCAATTTGCTGCAAAGGTCTTGAAACATGGATCCTTTTAGCTTTATTTTTCAGTTACAGTAAACTAAATCTTTTGTTGCCTTATTTTATTATGAAGATTTGTGTGCACATGAGGTGTTTTCAACTTTTGTGTTGGCAGGTCTGCTTTGTGATGTAACCTACTTTTACTAGTTGAGTAAAAAGTTAGGGGAAAGCTTTCCATTTTGAAGTCATCTTGTCATAACTAGTAAGGTAGTTTAATTCTTCACGTTGATAATCGATATAGCTACCTCATTACCCCCTAAACTTGGCATGGTTTATTCAGTGCACTCCTAAACTTCTCGTAGTTCTTATTACCCCTAAATTTTTCTATATAGTAGAATTATCCGAGTTAGTTTTCTTAGGTTTGTATGAGTTAAGGTTGACATAATAACGATATGAATTATGACATTGAAGTTAAGTGGTGGTGATCAACCAGCACCACTGGATTGTCCCCTTTGGAACATGAATGAGTCATCCATGAACTTTGATTTGCTGCTCGAGGCGAAGGGAAAAAGTAGCCATTCAAAATATTTCAGTCTATTATATAGGGCCAATAGTTCTAGATTATATATATTAACTTCTCTTTTAAGGCAGGGGGATCAAAGAAAGGTAGCTTGCTTCTCTCCTGGACGGATGGCGACTTATGTAGTGGTCGGCCTTCCTACCAGAATGCCTTCTTGGTCGAAGAGCCCCTTTTTTACTAGTAAGGACGCAGGAAGCAAAAAAACTTGCGCGAAGGACGTTTTCTTCTCTGCCCTCTCCTCTCCAAAGGCCAAAGGAGAGACTGCATCCCTTTCACCTTATCTTACTTTTTTTGTTATCTCATGTTGAGGTGTAAAGGCAGGATTTGTAGGCCATTGATGCTGACTTTATGTGGAACATACCATACATGGATGACAAATGATTTAATTCTTTAGAGTAAACTAAATATATTTTCTTGTTGACCATCTCTTGCCTTTGAAAAATCTTGGTAATTTAAGCACATAAAGTAATTGTATTTTGTATTAGAATAATAGGAACAACATTGAAGATAGAAGAGTTTGACATGTCAAATTTACTGTGCTTGTAGAGATATTTTCCATGTATTCTTTAGGGGAACCCAAGTAATTTTGTTTACGATTCGATAAAGTCTAGTAAATTGCAAGCTAACTTGCATTACTTCAAGAGAGTGCTTACATTTATAGAACTTGAGAAATTACTTAAAAGAAAATGTCGGTTTCTCTCACGAGCAGATGTGTCTGTTCTATTTAAGCCATCTAAATGTTAGAAACTAACTGGAATGGCATTTTGTGTGGACAAGAGACACTCAAGCATGCTTTTCCTGTACTATATAGTCTGAGCCAAGCACAAGAAGCAACAACGGCAGAATTAAACTGTCTCTGAGAAGGAAACTAAATGATTGGGAAATGACAACATAGCAAGATTTCTTGACACGATGAATATGGCTACCGTTCTGATAGAAGAGGACGATAGACTATAGTATGGAAGGGGGAGAGAAGGGGAGAATTCAGAGTAAAATCTGCATACAGAGAACTCAGTTCTTCTGAGGTACAGCAAGCAGGATAGCCCTGGAGAATGGTTTGGAGAACGGAAGTTCCCTACAAGGTTAATTACTTCAGATGGATTTTGGCAAAGGAGGCAATCTTGACACATGAGAACTTGAACAAGAGGAAATTCAGTCTACATTCAAGATGCTATCTATGTGAAGAACGGGCAGAGACTCCATCTTGTTTTACACTTCAAATGGACAGATCAATTGTGACAGATGTTCATCCATAAGAGGAAGATCAAGTGGATGAAATCTAAAAGAATTATAGAAGTCCTACAATGCTGAACAAGGATGGAAATGCAAGAAAAAAGGAGAAGAGATGGCTGATTGCCTCAACTTGCATTTGGTCGACAATTTGGAAGGAAAGGAATCAAAGATGTTTTGAAGGAAACAGAACAATATTCATAAGATAAAGACAAACCGCCTAGGGCTTTACTATTTTTGGTATAAACAAGTAGTGATAGGAGATACTGAAAACGTGTTTATGTAAAACTTTTTGGAAGGGGACTACACTTTGATACAGTATACCTGTGGATATATAGAAGTAAAAGTTACCTTTCTCAAGAAGAAGAAAAAACAAATCCCCCAATAATTTGTCATATATCTTGTAAAATCATACATAGAAAGTATCTTGTATAGATTTGAACTTTCCATTAGTGTAAAACTTTTAAAGTTTGACTAAGTAGATGGTATCCTAAGATTTGAATGTTTTATTATATCAAGCTGGGAGTACCACAAGCGTAATAATATTTAGTAGCGGACTAACCAGCATTTGCTCTTAGCACTTTTAAGACCATCTACTCAATCTTGATCCCGTTAATTTTTACAAAACCGACCTTTTAGATCTTATTTGAAGCGGTACTACTTCAATATTTATATAAGTGGAGTTAGTTGTTATGTCCCCGCTACTCTAGACATCTACTAATCCTTTAAGAATTTATCCAACTTTTTCTGGTAACAGTTTGCGTTATAGAGTTTGTCACTTATTTAACAATACCTGAGCTCCTTACAGTCATTTTCTATAAGAGGGATAAGTTCTATAACAACAAAAAGTACCTTGTTATTACTCATTGAACTTGTTATGTTAGATTGTACACTACCTCAAATTTTGGGCCCCGTAACGATCTGCTACTCAAATGGTCAAATAGGAAGTGATGGCTATGCCAAGTCCCAAAAGATGAATCTGACTGCATTAATGTTACAATAAGTTTATACATTTGTGTTGACAGCTATGACTCAAAGCCTAAAAACTCTAAAGCATCAATGAAGGAATGGAGCTAGTTACATGTTTGAAGAGATCTGTACATTCATTGATGAATGGGCGTATTAGGAAACAAAATGAAAAAAAAAGTTTTGTCTTGTTAGCTGCTTGAAGTACTTGAAATTGCATGGTGCAGATATCTCAGAGTCTTTTGATGATTAAGGAATCCCATGAACCAGAACTCAAAATCATCCTCTGTAATTACTTGTATATACTTCTGTGATGGCTTTTCTCTATTTTCACTCTCTTTTGCTTTCATTGTCTTACTTATTGGGATCGATACCTGCAATTGTGAACCGGCTTATTAGATTATGCTTACGTGGATACAGAATTAAGAGTTGGAAGAAAAATGGAGCAGAGTGGTACCTTATAATACATTCTAAGCAACTTTCCAGTTGGAGATAAGAACTTTATTGATCTCTCACTGCGGAAAGCAATTTTTTCGGTAGAGATGAAGAGGAGGCCTGCTATTGGACCAGCTGTAGTTGATAAATAGCATTGACAAACACTCAACAGCTTTTCATCATCGTTAACACTAAAGTTCTGCTTGAATATTTTCTCCAACCCTCCTACTTGAAGAATTTTTGCTCCAAGGCTCAATTTTCCCTTCACAGTTTCCGTTAGCTTCGGACTAAGGCTCACTGCACAATTTAAGTTAAAAATTAAGGACTTCACGATCGGTACTTTCTGTCATACATATTTTTAGTGCTTATTGCACAAAATTTTGTACATCTAGACTCCCTTTATCTGTTGTTCATGAGATTTACACTTGTGTATGGCCATGATTTGGCTTGCTAAAACTGATGTCATTATTTGCAAATTGATGTTTGGCGCCATATTTATAAATATTGAACTTCAGTATTTGAAATAGTGGTGAAAGTAATAAAAAAAAACTTGTTTAAGGAGTTTTTCTAGTGGGATGATGCTTTTCATTCACAATACTTCAATTTTTTTCGTTTCCTCCTTATGTCCGTACACAATTTCAACTTCGAAATACTAATTTTTGACTTACACAAATGATTGTCTCTGTAAATTTTTTATTGTTATTTTTGAGTGTTCATCATGAATATAAGTGCTCACCATGCTCACGGATCCCTTGTGCAAGACAGTCCATCCTTTCTCCAAGTTTGTTCATCTTACTAATTACAGATTTTCCTGCATATTCAACAATATTTAATTTTAATGATCTCTTCTATCAAATAAAAGAACAAGTCGATTACTCTTCGAGGGAAGATACTCACTTTGCTTTATTTTAGGTAAGTGTTTTGAAGTTGCACATGTAAGATGGTCTTGACAGGCAGATAGAGACAGTAGTCTTTTTGGCTGCCTTTCAAATGAGTATACTGCTGAACTCATGGAAACACCAACCTCATTTCTACCGAGTAAGTTCTTCATTGTGACTTCTGATTTTGAAGAGAATTGATGTATTGTGAAGGTAACTGAGATATTATTATGTTTTTGGTTGATCGATTAAGAACATTCCTTGCAGCATTATATAGACACACAGCAGTTTGGGACAAGTTGATGATCTTTTAACTACTAGTGGTGCATGAGTCAGCTAGGGTCATCAATGTAGAATATTTTTCAATTTGCTGCAAAGATTTTTAAAATGTCTTCTTTTATCTGTCTTTTTAATTACAGTAAACTATCTCATGCTGTCTTATTTTATTATCAAGATTTGGGTGCACATGAGGTGTTGTCAACTTTTGAGTCAGAAGATTTGCTTTCTGATGTAAGCTACTTTTACAAGTTGAATAAAAGTAAGAGAAGGCTTTTGGTGCATAGTAAAATTATCTCAAGTTAGCTTTATTAGTTTTGTATGATCAAGGTTGACAAGATAATAACACGGATTTATGACATTAAAGTTAAGTAGTGGTTGTTGATCATGAATGAGTCATCTATGAACTTTGATTTGTTGCTTAATATATCAGGCAAAGGGGAAAAGTAGCCATTCAAATATTTCTACCTGTTACACAGAGCCAACTGTTCTACATAATATTAATTTCTCTTTTAATGCAGTTACCTTATCTGAATTTTTTTTTTCCATCTCATCATCTTGAGGTGTAAAGGCAGGTTTTGTAGGCCATTTCTGAATTTATGTGGAACATACCATACATGCATGACAAATGATATAATTTTTTTGAGTAATTTAACTTGATCTTCTTCTTGACCAACTGTTGCCTTTGAAAAATCATGAAAGAAACGTCAAGTATTTTATTAGAAGGTATATTTAAGAACAGAAAGTGCTTGTATTTTCTGTTTAGAGAAATAAGAAACAACATTGAAAAAGAAAGTGCCTAGTTTGTTGCAATCTATTTTACGAGAACTTTCTGGAAAAGTTATTCTCTTAATAGAGAAATGTGTATTCAGTTTAAGCCCTTCACGTATTACCAACTTACTCAGAAGCCATTCATCTTGTGAGTTGACTGGAGGAGAAGTATTGGAATGGAAGAGGGACTTACATATGGTGTCTATTGACCTAGAAAAGGACAGACTAAGTCCCGAGGGAAGTCACATGTAGAGGTTGGGAGGCTAAAAGTGTCTTGGGGGATTACATTAAGGAGATGAAGGACATGTATAATAGAGCCAAGACTCGGATAAGAAAAGTGGGAGACATGTCGCTTAAAGTTGAGTTTCCAAGCTTTTATTGGATATCTTGTCAAAGGGAGGCGGTAGGTAACAGATGTCCCCGAGGAGAGGCAGAAGTAACGTTTTGGGATTTGAGGTTCAGGAGAGCTATCCAGGATTGGGAGGTGAATGAGTTTGAAAGAATGCTACAGTTACTCCGTCAGCATTGTGAGGCAGTTGACAGAACCAATTCTATAAGATGGAGGTTGGGAAATGATGGTGTTTTTCCTATCCAGTCTTCAGTGAGAAGCTTTTACTGAGGGTTGAGGAGGGTTTTCCTGTTAAGTCTATTCAGATTCCCAAGGTTCCGAGGAAGATGTGCTTTTTCACTTGGTTAGATGCTAGACGGGTGATCCTGAACCTTAGGAAAACAAAAGTTATTTGCATCAGCTGGTATAACTTATGCAATGAGGTGGGATGAAGACGTAGATGATCTTCTGCTACATTGTAGCTTGGCCACGAGACCCTGGTGAGACATGTTAAGCTGGTTTACTGCAAAGCTGGAAGAAGCAGGGCCTAGAATGTTGTTCCTAGGGCATTGATGTGGATCGTCTGAGAGAGAAATTTGAGGTCTTTCAAAGCTGTAGAATTGAGTTTTTGGTGCACCCGTGTAGTTACGGGTTGTATAGAGGATTGGATGTCCCTTGGAAAGAACCATATCTTTGTGTAGGTCCTTTACTGGTTGTTATACCTCTTGTATATGGCCTTTTTCGGCCTTGTTAATAATGAAAAGATTTACCTGATAAAATGAATAAAATTTATATCAAATCACAATGCCAAGTCCCAAAAATTGAAATAGCCTTCTGACTGCATTATTTTTACAATAAGCCTATATATACATTCGTGTTAACAGCTACAGTTCAAAGCCTAAAACACCTAATCTCTCCTTTGAACAATGGAACTAATTACAAGTTTGAAGAGATCTGTACATCAACATTTGACATTGATGAACGGGTGTAATAAGAAAAAAAATTAAAAAAAGAAAGTAAAATATGCCGTCTTCTAGCTGCTTGAAATACTTGAAATTGCGTGGTGCAGATATCTCAGAGTCTTTTGATGATTAAGGAATCCCATGAACCAGAACTCAAAATCATCCTCTGTAATTACTTGTATATACTTTTGTGATGGCTTTTCCCTATTTTCACTCTCTTTTGCTTTCATTGTCTTGCTTGTTGGGATCGATACCTGCAATGTGAACCGGCCTATCAGATTATGCCTTACGTGTACAAAAAAATTAAGAGTTGGAGAAAAACGGAGCAGAGTGGTACCTTATAGTAGATTCTTAGCAACTTTCCAGTTGGAGATAAGAACTTTATTGATCTCTCACTGCAGAAAGCAATCTTATCGGTAGAGATGAAGAGAAGGCCTGCTATTGGACCAGCTGTCGTTGATAAATAGCATTGACAAACATTCAATAGCTTTTCATCATCTTTGACACTAAACTTCTGCTTGAATATTTTCTCTAACCCTCCTACTTGAAGAATTTTTGCTCCAAGGCTCAATTTTCCCTTCACAGTTTCTGTTATTTTCGGGCTAAGGCTCACTGCACAATTAAAGTTGAAACATTAAGGACTTCACATCAGTACTTTCTGTCATACATGGAAATAGTGCTTATTGCAGAAAATTTGTACATCTTGACTCTCTTAGTCTGTTTTTCGTTAGATTTACCCTTGTGTATGGCCATGATTTGATTTGTAAAAACTGATGTAATTATTTGCAAGTTGATGTTTGGCGCCATATTTATAAATATTGAACTTCAGTATTTGAAACAGTGAGATGATGGTTTTCATTCACATTTTCTTTCCAAAGTAAACTCATGTCTACACTCAATTTCAACTTCGAAATACTAGTTTTAAACTAAAATAAAATAGTCTTGGTAAATTTTTGATTGTTCTTTTTAAGTTTTCATCATGAATATGTAAGTTCTCACCATGCTCACGGATGCTTTGTGCGAGACAGTCCATCCTTTCTCCAAGTTTGTTCATCTTACTAATTACAGATTTTCCTGCATAACCAGACATATTTAATTTTAATGATCTCTTCTTAGTGGTCATTAATACTCTTTATAACTAATACAAGAACAAGTTAAATATTCTTCGAGGGAAAATACTCACTTTGCTTTATTTTAGGTAAGCGTTTTGAAGTTGCAGATGGGAGATGGTCTTGGCCAGCATATAGAGACAGTAGTCTTTTTGTCTGCCGTTCAAATGAGTATACCGCTGAACTCATGGAAACACCAACCTCATTTCCACCGAGTAAGTTCTTCATTGTGACTTCTGATTTTGGAGAGAATTGCTATATTTTTTTGAAGGTAACTGAGATATTATTATGTTTTGGTTAATGGTTTAATAACATTCCTTGCTGCACTATATATATATACACGGCAGTTTGGGCAAAGTTGATGAATCTTTTAACTACTAAGTGGTGCATGAGTCAGCTATGGGTCATCAAAATAGAATATTTCTCAATTTTCTGCAAAGGTTTTGAAAATGTCTTCTTTTATTTGTCTTTCTAATTGCAGTAAGCTATGTCATGCTGTCTTATTTTATAATTATCAAGATTTGTGTGCACATTTGGTGTTGTCAACTTTTGAGTTAGGCAGATTTGCTTTCTGATGTAAGCTGCTTTTACAAGTTGAGTAAAAGTAAGAGAAGCTTTTGGTGCATAGTAAAATTATCTCAAGTTAGCTTTATTAGTCTTGTATGATCAAGGTTGACAACATAATGACACGGATTTATACATGACATTAAAGTTAAGTAGTGGTTGTTGATCATGAATGAGTCATCCATGAACTTTGATTTGTTGCCTAATAAATCAGGCAAGAGGGAAAATGTAGCCATTCAAATATTTCAACCGGTTACCTTATCCTACCTTTTTTGTTACTCATCTTGAGGTGTAAAGACAGGATTTGTAGGCCATTTCTTACTTTATGTATAACATACCATACATGCATGACAAATAATATAAATTTTTTTGAGTGAATTAACTTATTTCTTCTTGACCAACTTTTTCCTTCGAAAAATCATGAGAGAAATGTCAAGTATTTTTAGAAGGTAATTTAAGAATAAAAAGTGATTGTATTTTCTGTGAGAAAAATAGGAAACAACATTGAAAAATGAAAGAGTGCTATCTTATGCTAACTTTTCGGAGAAGTCAATCTTCTTCTCAGACAAATGTTTGTTCAATTTAAGCCCTCCAAATATTACAATCTTACTCAGAAACCATTCATCTTATGAGTTGACTAGTTGAGAAGTACAGAGAATGGTGGCGGGACTTACATATGGTGTCTACTAACTTAGAAAAGACAAAAGAAATAAGATAAAGTCTCGAGGGAAGTCCTATGTAGATGTCGGGAGGCCAAAAGTGTACTAGGGCCTTTACATTAGGGTGATGGAGGACATAAATAATAGAGCCAAGATTCGGGTAAGAACAGTGGGAGCAGTCTCAGAGCACTTTCAAGTCGAGATGGCATTGCACCAGGGATCAACACTTAACTCGTTTCTATTTTCCTTGGTGACTGATGAATTGATGCAGCATATTCATGGTGAGGTGTGATGATGTATATTATTGGTATATGACATAGTACTGATATGAGACTCGTGGCCGAGTAAACATTTGGTTGGAGGTGTAGGGACAAACTCTGGAGTGTTAAGGGGCCTATGTTGTTGGAACAAAATAGAATATTTCGGGTGTGAATTCAGTGATGCAGCGCATTAGGCAAGCACGGAACTGAGGCTTGATATACAGGCTATCCCCAAGAGAGAGAAATTTTGAAGTATTTTGGGTCTTTTATTTAAGGAAATGGGGAGATCGATAATGATGTCACACATCCTACTGATGCGATGGGGAAGATATTGAGGTTTACCTCCAGAGACTTGTGTGATGAAAAGGTACTATCAAAACTTAAAGGTAAGTTCTATAGAGTGGTGGTTAAATTGACTTTGTTGTATGGGTAGTGTTTTGGTCAGTCAAGAACTCTCATGCTAAGAAGATGCAAGTTGCGGAAATGAGAATGTTGAGATGGATGTGTGAGAATATTATGAGAAGTTGGACATAGTGGGTTCGAGGAGAGGTAGAGGTAGATCAAAAAAGTATTGGGGAGAGGTGATCAGATAGAACATAGTGCAACTTCAACTTACTAAAGACATGACCTTAGATAGAAGGGTATGAAGGTCGCAAATTAGGGTTAAAGGTTAGTAGGTAGTGCAGTGTTATCTTGATATTCGATAGGATTAGGCTTGGTGATAGTCTGGAGCACCATGTCCGTCGTAGTATTAGTCTTATTCATGTAGATTGTTGCTTTTGTTATCTGTTACCTTTTGTTATTTATTGTGTTCATATTATCAAGGGGCACTCCCTTTGTTGGGAATTTGCCATAATGTTTTAAATATTTCTTTCGAGGAGCATTACGATCTGCTAGGAAGTGATGACTATGCCAAGTACCAAAAGATGAATTAGCCTTCTGACTGCATTACTATTACAATAAGTATATACATTTGTGTTAACAGCTATGGCTCAAACTTTTAGAAACCTAAAATCTCCTTTGAACAATGGAACTAATTACAAGATTGAAGAGATCTGTACATTCATTTTGCATCAACATTTGACATTGATGAACGGGTGTAATAAGAAAAAAAATGAAAAAAGAAAGGAAAATATATTGTCTTCTTAGCTGCTTGAAATTGCGTGGTGCAGATATCTCAGAGTCTTTTGATGATTCAGGAATCCCATAAACCAGAACTCAAAATCATCCTCTGTGATAACTTGTATATACTTTTGTGATGGCTTTTCCCTATTTTCACTCTCTTTTGCTTTCATCGTCTTACTTATTGGGATTGATACCTGCAATTGTGAACCGGCTTATTAGATTATGCTTTACGTGGATACTAAATTAAGAGTTGGAAGAAAAATGGAGCAGATTAGTACCTTATAGTAGATTCTAAGCAACTTCCCAGTTGGAGATAAGAACTTTATCGATCTCTCACTGCAGAAAGCAATCTTATCGGTAGAGATGAAGAGGAGGCCTGCTATTGGACCAGCGGTAGTTGATAAATAGCATTGACAAACATTCAATAGCTTTTCATCATATTTAACACTAAATTTCTGGTTGAATATTTTCTCTAACCCTCCTACTTGAAGAATTTTTGCTCCAAGGCTCAATTTTCCCTTCACAGTTTCCGTTAGCTTCGGACTAAGGCTCACTGCACAGTTAAAGTTAAAAATTAAGGACTTTACGATCGGTACTTTTGTCATACATATTAATAGTGCTTATTGCAGAAAATTTTGTACATCTAGACTCCCTTTATCTGTTGTTCATGAGATTTACACTTGTGTATGGCCATGATTTGGCTTTGCCAAAACTGATGTCATTATTTGCAACTTGATGTTTGGCGCCATATTTATAAATATTGAACTTCAGTATTTGAAACAGACATAAATTATTCAAAAACTTATTTTTGGAATTTTTCTATTGAGATGATGGTTTTCATTCACAACACTTCAACTTTGTCTTTTCTAAGTAAACTCATGTCTGCACTCAATTTCAACTTCAAAATAGTAGTTTTTAACTATAATAAAATTTGTCTTGGTAAATTTTCGATTGTTCTTTTTAAGTCCTCATCATGAATAGAAGTGCTCACCGTGCTCGCGGATGCCTTGTGCAAGACAGTCCATCCTTTCTCCAAGTTTGTTCATCTTACTAATTACAGATTTTCCTGCATAATCAGACATATTTAATTTTAATGATCTCTTCTTAGTGGTCATTAATACTCTTTGTAACTACTGTTGTTGATATTGTATTTCAAACATACTTAGAACAAAACTTTGAACATCTTTGTAAGAAAACAAAGTTTAAGAACATTTTCACAACTAGAAAATTAAAACTAGTAGCAAAACTAAAATCAGAAACAGATTTTAAAAAAAATATACGAAATATTTTTCTTAAAGAAGAATTGTTGTTAATATGTGTCTAAAGAATCTTACTGATTCCAACAAACTTTGCAGAAACACGAAGTTACCAGGTTTAATGAACCAGTGAAGAACAAAAAGAAGAGAAGAACTGAAATTAATTCACAAATCTAAAGTTTGTAAAACACGTACCAGAATCTGGAAAAATTTTAATAGGAAAAAGATCAAGTCCACTGAATTCACAGTGTCCCCTTAAGGAAATTATTCCCCTCTAGTATCCGAGGTTTGATTTGGAATATGACCTCCCAGGGTAAAATGATCTCAATCACCAGAGTATAGATACCAAAAACTCCGGTGTCAGCAAACCACTCAACAGCAGTAAAGTACACTTAGAATACTAGATTTAGTAGTTGAAGAAGAAGTCCATGAATTCTATTTTAAAATGAAAGGAAATCCCTCAATTTATAGAAAACACAGGGTGGTGCGAAAAGGTTCTTATTGTGCCTTACCGGAAAGGTCACAAACCTTTGGAGAAGTCACAATCTTTCAGAATGGTCGTCACCTTTCATAAAAGTCACAACTTTCCATAAAAGTCACAACTTTTCATAAAAATTGCAACTTTTCATAAAAGTCACAACTTTTCATCAAAGTCGCAACATTTCATAAAAGTCACAACTCTTCATAAAAGTCGCAACTCTTCATTTTCCATTCACACCTTTTTTTAAAATCCAACAATCCCCCGCATGAATGGGGAATGACTCGAAGACAAAGAAACGAACAAGTATGTGTACTTTACAAGCAAGAATTAATTGCATCTGGATAAGTAGGTTTCCCCTTGGACTTTCTGTAGTGAACATATGTCGGATATACTCGGTCAATCGGTAGATGCGATATCTTTGAACCGTCGAACTTTGGTATATACCTAGACAACCATATGTCACACAATTAACCCTTTACCATCTATGGTTCTTACGGTTGTGTTCGTTTTAGCCATGAACACCTCCTGGTTTCATGAGTGTATAGAGAGATGGGCTTTTGACAATCATCTTCTTGAAGCGGCTTACACTTCACACTCACATAGGTGATTTCTAACCATGTTATCGCGTAGATACACTATTTGGTCAACTCTTCCAAAATTAGTAAATCATTAAAACCATTAAGCTTTTATTAACTTATTAACAAGCCTTAATGTTGTATCCTTGTCCCTGAGCATTGTCTTCATCATGAGAATGGATTGAGTTTATTGACAATGCCGAACCGTTATTCACAACTTTGTTTTTCTCCTTGAATCTAGCTCTTGGGATCTCGAGTCTGCTAGATAGAGTTACCGCCATGATGACTTGTCCTAAGCCGTAAATTCATTCCCTTAGATGATCTTTTAAGTTTCTCTCTAGTTAGGCCTTTTTGTAAGTGGATCCGACACATTATCCTTTGACTTTACATAGTCAATTCTGATAATTCCACTAGAGAGTAGTTTTCTAACAATGTCATGTCTATATCGTATATGACGAGACTTTCCGTTATACATCATGCTCCATGCCCTACCTATTGCATCTTGACTGTGAAAGTGTATGCATACTAATGCCAATGGCTTGGGCCAAAATAGAATATCTATCAAGAAATTCCGGAGTCTTTTAACTTATTCACCGACCTTATCTATAGCACCTAGCTCAAAGATCATTGTAGAGCTAGCGATACATGTCTCTTTTGAAATATTTCTAAGAGACTGCTCCTCTACCAATAGTAAATAAATATCCACTCGTAAATTTTACTTCATTCTTCCGATGATTCAATTTGCATCACTATATCTTTCAATATTGTTGGATATTGTTATAATGCAAGACATAGTTTTAAGTATTATTTTAAATACTCCAAAACTCTATTTATTGTCATCTAATGAATTTATTTGTGATCACTTGTGAACGGACTCAGTTTAAAATAGCAAATGCTATATCAAATCGCACACACTATATGATATACATCATGCTTCCCAAAATCTAGCACAATCCCATTGTGAGTCACTTTTGTTTTCACTCTTTTGAAATGCAAAACTCACATTTATTGGACACTTGACAATATTGACATTCAAATATTTGAACTAGTTAAGTACCTTTCCAATGCAATGAGACCGTGAAATGCTAAACATTATGGAGTTCTACGACTCTCTTATATCTAAGATCGCATTAGCAACTCCAATAATTTTCATTCCACTTGCTTTATAGCATACGTTTATTAGTATTTATGTCATTAGTGTCTCTATTGATGATCAACATATCACCAATATACAAACAAACAATGACCTTATGATTTTAATGTGAACACATTTATCACTTTCATCATTCTTCAATCCATTTGCCGACATGGTTTGATTGAATTATGTCATTGTTTTGGTGCTTCCATAATGTGACTTAACAAGTTCACATACTTTCTTTTATTTACCAGGTACCACAAAACCCTCGGGTTGTTCCATGTAAATTTCTTCCTCCAATTCTACATTTAAGAAAGTTCTTTTCACATTCATTTGATGAATTTAGAGGTCATATACCACAGTTAATAATTTTTGCATCCGAATGGATGTAATTCTAATTACTAACGAGTATATATATCGACAAGATCAAAATCTTTTTTTTTCTAAAGCCTTTGACTTAAAGTCTTGCTTTATATTTTTCAACAGTTCCATCAACTGTTATTTTTCCTTCTAAAGATTCCTTTTGAACCCAAAGGTTTATTTTCTTGAAGAAGATCAATTAACTTTCAATATTGTTTATTGACACCATCTTTCCAAAGGATGAGTCTACAGAAGACACAGAAAATGTTACAAAATCATATTTGAAGGAAGTAAATGACATTTAACATTTTACTAAGCCTCTGAATCTCTTTATTAAGTACATTATCCTTTTTCATTTCCTAGGCCTTTTAGACCCTTCTCTAGACTACTCAAGTCTAATTTTACAGTCCATAGTCATGGGTCCTATTTTAATTCTTTTAGGAATAGGATCTTGGACTTTGACTAGATACCCCCACACTTTGAAATATTTCAAGTTGGATTTCCTTTCTTTCCATTTCTCATATGAAAAAGATTGTATTCTGATCAAACAAAATTGCTTTCTTTCTAAAAGGACAAAACTTTTTGTTGATCCCTTTTGCAGTAAGGATAGTTTCTCCACACAAGTTTTGTGTAAACCCGAACTTATAAATAATGCATCCATCATTTCTTTCAACGTTCGGTTTTTCATTAGATTGAGGTGAATATGGCAGTAGTTTGATATTTCACTTTCCAAACATATTTCTGCACAATGAGATTTATACTCTTCATTCTTATCACTTATTATATATTTTTTCACACTGATTTTCAACTTCGATATTATATTGTCTAGACATTTCTATTGCTTCATCCTTACCATTTAGCAAATAGACATAGTCATTTCTAATGCAATTCTCAATAAAAGTAACAAATAATTTTTCCCACCATGAGATGGTGTTAACTTCAGATCATAAATGTCAGTGTAAATTAATTCTAAGGGATTAGAATTCCTTTCAACAGATTTATTAGAATGCTCAACATACTTAGATTCCACAAAAACTTGACATTTTTATTTATTGCACTCGAAGTTAGGCAAAACTTCTAAGTTGATCAGTTTTTCTTACAAGGTTTTGTAATTGACATGCCCCAAGTGTTCATGTCACAAACATTGACTCAAGCAAGTAAGAACAAATAAAAACATTGAGTTTGAAAAGCTCTTCGCGAGATAGCTTTTTCCTCACTAATATTTTGTTCCTATTTCTTACAATTTTGTGTTGTGTGATACAAACATTGTTTAGATTGTCAAATATCCTTTTCAGAAGGACATTTCCATAACTTTCAATGTGATTGTTATAGAACTACCTATGATCAAAGTTTCATCGGGTTCAATAAAGACAATATAGTCCAACTGTTATTTTTACAAAAACATAAAAAATGACTATTCACCAATATTCATGTCTACACAAATACTTTTATTATAATAGACATATCTTTTTATGAAAAATCACAACATTTTAAGTGATTTTTTTTTTATAAAAGAACACAATTCTTTTGAACAAGTATATATATAATTTGGATGTTTGATACTAGTCACACTATATACTAGTAATAGAGAAACTCAACAACCACAATACCAAATATACTTCAAGAATTTTGTGGGTATAACATAATACAAAAGTATCATTGAATTTCATATTTTTTGCTCCAAAGTTTAATTAGACACCAAGTCTAATCATAAGCAAATAACCCCCACATTTCAAATGTGATCTCAAAAATAGTTTTTCCACATATTTTAATGTTGGAAACATTATTCTCCGAAAGAATTATAGTGCTGCAATTCTCTTTGACAATGTTTACACAATGTCAAAGTTCATTCCATAGAGACACAAAATCACAAATTCTAAGTCATCGGTATTTTTCCTCTATCATAAATAGACATACCACTTAGTTTAAATACTAACACTTAAGTTTATAGAAAATCAAAAGTACAATATTGACTTATTATGTGAAGTTTTCATATTCTTCAAACCAATTGCATAGTCCAATTTATCCAGAGTATAAAACCACAAAAGTTTTTAGTCTACAAAAATCAGACACACTAACATTTCTCATGGAGTACAAAACTACAAAAGTCTTTTTTTTTCTCCAAACAGAATAACACATATTCTTTATCACATAGAAATGGTTTTTTATCAAATAGTCTTCCAACTATAACATTTTGACATACTATTTTATCAAACAAAAATATGCATCTCTCATTTTTGCAAACTAAAGAATTTTAAAAGCAACAATATTTGCGAAGTAAAATTCATTCCACAACATATGGTTTGCAGATCTTTTTCCAAAGATATACATAATTAAAAAAAAATCAAAGATGATAATTCTTAGAAACTATTTTCCTCCATAAATAATTTAATAAGAAGGTTACCTGGTAATCTTTAAACGGAATACCGTAAAAATTTTCTGTTTACATTCTCATTTCGACGTTGCTAAACAAAATAACGAATTATGAAGAAGTAACGCATTTATCTTCTACTTCCATAATTAGATTCTCTCAATCAGTAGAATACAAAAATACTAACAGTATAATAATTTCCTTAAGATTGTTGTTGATATTGTATTTCAAACATACTTAAAACAAAACTTTGAACATCTTTGTAAGAAAACAAAGTTTAAGAACATTTTCACAACTAGAAAATTAAAACTAGTAGCAAAACTAAAATCAGAAACAGATTTTAAAAAAAATATACGAAATATTTTTCTTAAAGAAGAATTGTTGTTAATATGTGTCTAAAGAATCTTACTGATTCCAACAAACTTTGCAGAAACACGAAGTTACCAGGTTTAATGAACCAGTGAAGAACAAAAAGAAGAGAAGAACTGAAATTAATTCACAAATCTAAAGTTTGTAAAACACGTACCAGAATCTGGAAAAATTTTAATAGGAAAAAGATCAAGTCCACTGAATTCACAGTGTCCCCTTAAGGAAATTATTCCCCTCTAGTATCCGAGGTTTGATTTGGAATATGATCTCCCAGGGTAAAATGATCTCAATCACCAGAGTATAGATACCAAAAACTCCGGTGTCAGCAAACCACTCAACGGCAGTAAAGTACACTTAGAATACTAGATTTAGTAGTTGAAGAAGAAGTCCATGAATTCTATTTTAAAATGAAAGGAAATCCCTCAATTTATAGAAAACACAGGGTGGTGCGAAAAGGTTCTTATTGTGCCTTACCGGAAAGGTCACAAACCTTTGGAGAAGTCACAATCTTTCAGAATGGTCGTCACCTTTCATAAAAGTCACAACTTTCCATAAAAGTCACAACTTTTCATAAAAATTGCAACTTTTCATAAAAGTCACAACTTTTCATCAAAGTCGCAACATTTCATAAAAGTCACAACTCTTCATAAAAGTCGCAACTCTTCATTTTCCATTCACACCTTTTTTTTAAAATCCAACAACTACTACAAGAACAAGTCTATTATCACTCGAGGAAAATACTCACTTTGCTTTATTTTAGACAAGTGTTTTGAAGTTGCAGATGGAAGATGGTCATGGCAAGCAGATAAAGACAGTAGTCTTTTAACTACCAACTGTTGCATGAGTCAGCTGTGGGTCATCAATATAGAATATTTCTCAATTTTCTGCAGATCTTTTCAAAATATCTTCTTTTATCTGTCGTTTTAATTACAGTAAACTATGTCATGCTGCCTTATTTTGTTATCAAGATTTGTGTGCACATGTGATGTAGTCAACTTTTGAGCTGGAGGATTTGCTTTCTGATGTAAGCTACTGTTGAGTAAAAGTATGAGAAAGCTTTTGGTGCTTAGTAAAATTATCTCAAGTTAGCTTTATTAGTCTTTGTATGATCAAGGTTGACAAAGATAATTACATGGATTTATATATGACATTAAAGTTAATTAGTTGTGGATCATGAATGAGTCATCCATAAAACTTTGATCTGTTTCTTATTATACTAGGTAAAGGGAAAGAAAAAAAAAGGAGCCATTCAAATATTTCAACCTATTACATAGGGCCAATTGTATTAACTTCTCTTTTAAGACAGTTACCTTATCTTACTTCTTTTTGTAATCTCATGTTGAGGTGTAAAGGCAGGATTTGTAAGCCATTTGTGCTGACTTTATGTGGAACACACCATACATGCATGACAAATGATTTTTAAATTTTTATATTTTTTGAAATTTTTTAACTGATTTTCTTCTTGACCATCTTTTGCTTTTGAAAAATCATGAGAGAAATGTCAAGCTTTTTTAGAAGGTAATTTAAGAACAAAAAGTGATAGTTATTTCTTACTTATTTTTAAGTATTTATCATATATTATTATAAGCATGAACCTCAAAACATATAAGTTGAATTACCATTTTATCCCTACATTTAATGAAAAGGCTATAAAATATTTAATTAAATTCATCTTATATAATTAATTAAACATTTTTATCTTTAAATAAAGAAAATACTTCTTTAATAATTTGTGTAAAAAAAGATGTAAACATATGTTTAAATAAATGTTAAGTATCATATTGACTACCATACAATAAATGTTTTAACAGTTTCAAAATTGGTTCTTCATATTCTTTTATGTGTATTAGTACATATGTTGAATACTTATAGTCATACGTTTTAACTTTAAAGAATAACAACAAATTTGGATTTTAATAGTTTTGGAAATCTAACCATTTCTAAAGAATAAAATATAAAGTGTCCTTTCACTTCTTTAATAAAGAGATTTAATGATATTTTAATGATCTTTTTCTAACTTGACTTTTGAGTTTTTATATATCTTGGCTATAAATATCACTGTGTGCTTCACTAATTTTCCGATCTGTAAATTATGTCATGATATTGTCTTAGTTTTGATGATAGCTACTTCTCTTCATTTATTGTATCTTAATATTTATTTGATAATTTTATTGTAGATTAACTAAGATCTGCTAAGATTTCTCTATTATGTGTTCAAGTGAAATTTTTATTTTGTGTTATTATATTAGAAATGAAGATATTATACATTTGTTGATGTTCATAATAATATACTTGTTACTTTCACCTTTCATCCATGAAATGGGTTAATGACATATTCATGACAATCCTTTGAGTCCCTCAATTATATCCTATGGAAGAGATTTTGAATAATTGGAAGAGAATAAAGAAAGTTGTCATCTCTTTTTTTTTCACATTGTTACTACTTTTTTCTTTCACATTGTTAATTTTAGCTTCATTTTATAATTTTTTTGTTGATTCTTTAGAGGTGTTCTTTTATTTACCATTAAAAGTTTTCTATTTTCTTTCCTATTTGATAAATAAATAACTACAAATAAAATATTATTGTACACAATAAGACTTTGAGTTTTATGATTTAAGTCTTTGCATGGTTGATAATTGTTCTTGCTTTGATAACCACATAAGTTGTATAGCTTTTAAAGTACTTTTTCTTGATTTACTATTTTATTTTACAAACTTTATAGTAAAAATAGAATTATTAGTTTTATTAAAAGTGTGAAGCAACAAAGTTAAGGTTAGATTACTAGAATTATCCTATAAATTTGTATAGAGTATAACACTCTTTGAAATTATAAAATTTGAAGAAATTGAAGGGTTACTTAATAATTAAATACACTTAATTTAATATATTGACCATATTCATCTACTAAAAGTCTCTAGCTACAGGTGAAATATGCAAAGATGTTTGAGACTTTGAGTCCTATCCTTCATTTTCTTTCATTTAATTCATTTTAATTCTATTATGAAGTTTAAGTTCAAATTGTCCAATTTAATTAATTACTTTTCTCTTAGTTAAGTTAAACCGTCTTTACAAGAAAAACGTACATATATCTTCCATTACAAAAGAAAGACTTTTTAGATTTTCTTGAAAAGAAAATTTGAAAGTTTTCTTATAAATGTGAGTTTTCTTATATAATGGTATGCCTTCTATTTTTTGCCTAATATTTTCTTAAAAATATGTGAAAGTTTTCTATATATTTTTCTTAATTACTTATTTTAATTTGTAATTATTTTTTTGTTGATCTATTTTTATTCTATCAGCAAATTACTAAATCAAAATGTACGCACCATTTAACATATAATTATTTTTATTTCACAATATTTGTGGTTTCTTTATCTTTAATATCAAAGAGTTCATACAAACACATCGTTACAATAACTTCATGCAGTTTAGCTTGGGGAACACGTGCAACGCACGTGTCTGAAACTAGTAATTATATAAATAGAAATCACTGTCCTCCACACTGCAATTTTTACATTTTGTTTTGTTATGATTATTTTCGTGTAATTACAGATAGGCGAAGGGAAGAAAGTAGTGTTATCTATAAATCAAAGAAATGATGAAATACCTATGGATTTGGACAACAATACATGCATCAAATCTGCAATCATATTCAAAGTAAATGTGGGGCTAAGGAAATCAAATTGTTGTACCTAATGTTGAAAGTTGCATCAATGAATTGGAGAGAATAAAAAATGTAGCACTAAAGTGCTATAACTACGACCTTGACACTGATATTGTTGATAATTTTTTAGAACTATTGTTATTTGATGGTTGTTTTGTGATTGAATTTATTCGAGAGGACTATAAAGAAGAGGAAAAACAAGACGACGTCATCAAATTGGCGTGGATGAAGAATTAAGTACGTAGAGACATGTTGTTACTAGAAAACCAACTCCCTTTCTTTGTGCTTGTCAGACTTTATCACATGACAAAACACGAATTCTAGCACGCAAATCAAATGTTGCAACATAAGTTTTTGGAGTTAATACCTCATATGGTCACTCAACTATGCACTCTTCTCTCAGAAAGTCACTCAACTTTCAATTTTCACTCAAAAGTCACTCAACTATGCACTTCTTTCTCAAAAAGTCACTCAACTTTGAATTTAACTCAAAAGTCACTCAACTATTCACTCTTTCCTCAAAAATCTCATGACCTATGAACTCATGTGGATTGTTGCATCAATGAGTTGGAGGTGGAAGCAAGGAATTGTTACGATGATATAGAAGACCTCAATATTGGAACCCGCAAACTTTGCGAGATGTTATTACTTGATGGTTGTTTTGTGGTTGAGTTTATTCGAGAGCGTTTTGAGATAGGCCCAAGACAAGAAGACGAAATCATCAAAAGTGACATTGGTTGCATATATAATCAAATACTCCGAGATTTGATGTTACTAGAAAACCAATTTCCTTTCTTTGTCCTCGACAAGCTTCATGAGAAGACAAAGCAAGATGATGAACTCCCATTGGCAATATCAAACATTTACTTCATGCAGTACACATACTTTCATGTTATGGGAACCCCACGAAAACATCAAAAGACGACACAATGTGGGAAAAGGCCATGCCAAATGCAACTGAGCTTTCTGAAGCTGGAGTTAGGTTTTCAAATCATAAAAATAGTAATAAAAATTTGTTTGATATTAAGTTTGAGGATGGATTGATGACAATCCCTTGGTTTAAAGTCGCAGATGAAACAGAATCCTTCCTGCGAAATCTCATTGCTTACGAACAACAATCATCTGAAGTACAACCTAAATATTTCAGTGACTTTGCACTTTTCATGGATCACCTTATCGACTCAGACAAAGATGTCAATTTACTTCGCAAGAAAGGAATCATAGAACACCTGATGGGAGAGGACAAAGAAGTGGCTAGCCTCTTCAACAAACTCGGAAACGGGGTTATTGTTTATCCCAACTTCTATTTCAAACAAGTATTCACAAATGTAGTTAAACATTGTGATGAAAATCCATGGAACAGAAGGTGGACAAGTTTAAAGCACAATTATTTTAGTAGTCCTTGGGTAGGAGCTTCAACTCTGACAGTCATTATACTCCTCATACTCACAACTATACAGACTGTTCTTGCTATCGTAAGTATAATTAAGTAAGTAGTAATTCTAGTATGTTTACTCCATTCAAGTAATTTTCTTATGAGTTTTTCAATACTTGTCAGATGTGTGTTTGTTTTTCTTAATGTCTTCTTACTTGTTAATTTTTTATTATATCGTGCTTTCACATACAAAAAATAAAAATAATTGGATAAATAGTATTAACTTTGTAATACAATTGGCTTTAACTTCAATAAGGTATTTCCGGATATCATACCAATTACCAAACCAAAGTTTATTTTAAAGGTTACCGAATTATCTAATCAAAATTTAAAAAATTTGATGGATGATACCTATTTTTAACTCAAATCTAAATTTGAAAACCCCAAGTCGAATATTGAATGCCACCCCTAAAGGCAAGTATAGTGAAACGGAGCACATTGTCAATTCTTGGATCGGATTCTTAACTAGGAAAATCAACTGCTCAAAATGGTTTCTTCTCTCCAATCTAAGAAAATATATCGTAGATAGTTCTTTTCAAAATAATCCACTTATCCTATTAAAATTTAGATACATACGCCTATAGTCATCATCCCCACTACCCTCACATCCTTAACCCACATGCCGATCTTAATTGTGCTTGCTTTGATTTTATACAAATATTATTTTCAAATATTACATTGAACTTATTTATCAAACATTAAAAATAAATAAGAATCTTACATATTTTCATATAAAATAGCAAATCTTCCATCATACTGAACACACCCTAAACACTTACCAAATTTTAGAATAAATAGTGGCTTGAACACACACTCAAAGTGTTATTCTATGATACTTAAAACTTTATTTATTCCATTATACTTTTCTCAAAATGCACACAATTTCATGTTAGTAATATAGGCAGGTTTGCAATTAATCTATATATAGTATACCCATATACAATTTAATATTCACCATCTCTCATATTCCTTCACTTTCATAAAAGTTGAGCAGAGAAAAAGAATTTAAAAAGAAACTCAAGTACAATTCAACTAGTCCATTTTGAATCAGGTAATTTTTAAATGTCGTATACTTACTAGTATGGTCACACTCTTACCTGCTAATATTCTACCTTAATTTATGTCCTACACATCTTTCTATCAGTACATTTTAATTTAAAAAAATACATTAAAAATTAACTAAATCGCAAATAATAAAATATTTCAAATTTCAAATTTTTGATTTTTTTTAATTCCATGCCTTCAAGATATGTATACAGAATAAATAAATAAGTTTTCATGAATCTACCTGAATTCATTTGCAAATCATGGTAGTCTTTTCACGGAGATTATTGAAAACAATAAAGATAATATGAATAAGTGGTCATTGGTAAACACCATTTATGGGTTGATATGTTGACACAAAAGAAGAAACAGCCAAACTAAATTGGTAATTTTCTGCATTTTCTCGTTCTTTGCTAAAATAATATCAATTTATTATAGCTAAAACGTTACCCATAGTAATGTTTCTTTAGAATTCTAGTGATTTTTACATATATATATATATATATATATATATATATATTATTTATTAAGTCTATAGTCTACTCCGTAGAATATCAACTAAATTTTCCTATGTTCACAAAAAGAGGATGAATTCTCAAATCTCAACCTTGAGTCTATGAATGATCCTTTAATTTGCCTTTGCCTTTGCCTCCAACGTTATTACAAGTAACGTAATTATCTAGAAAACGTGTCTCAGAGTGACGAATTATAGAACCTTATTAATAATAACATTTTATATTTATTTTACTCTGTCAGACCTTTATCTTTTTGTCATTGAATTCTATTGAATGAAATAAAGCCAAAACATTATTAAGAAATATTTTTCTTCTAATTTTGTAAAATTTAAACAACTCTCAACTATATAAATTAATTTTTTTTATTTCATTAACTCATTTTTCTTTTGGCAATTAACAATATAATCTTTTGCTATATAAGTGCATGAATTTCAAGAGATTATAGAATTTTTTAGACTATTTCCTTTCATATAATCGTGGTTTTACAATTATTGGGTTCTTTTTATTTGAGTCCGGTTTGGAGGGGTAATTTTTTAAAGTCACGTGATATTTTTAAAATTAAAAATTAATAATATATATTTTTTAATTCATTCTATTTACAGGGTAAATATGCATCATTTACACTATGTTTGGATCATTGTTATCTATTGTATTGTATTGTGTTGGTACTATACCTACAATGTTTGTTTTGATTGTTACTTAAAATGTATTGTACTGTATTGTTAAATTTCGTTGTTACGTAACAATGAAATCCCTATTTTATGGAACAACCAATTTGGTGTGTTCCCGTTGTTACTTAATTTCTTTTTTCAGTTATATCTTTACATCATATTTTAAAATACTATTTTACCCTCACCTTAATTATTTAAATCTAGTCAAACCTCTTACCCTAGAATAATTAAGGACAATTAAGTAAATTTATAAATTACAATACAGTACGATATAATCAAACCAAACAATTAAAATGTTACTAAACAACAAATAAATAATATAATCTAGTCAAACATTGTATCTACCATACAATACAGTATATTTGAGTTCAATACAATACATACACTATTAAACGGTAACAATGATCTAAACAAAATGGTAAAGGGCATGTTTGGCAACACTTTAACTTTAACTTTCCACATGACATGTTTAAGACCACAAGATTAAAGGGCATTTTGGTACATTTGACATAACTTCAATTTAGAACCACAAGATTAAAAAGTTTTCTTTCTTTTTTTAAACTCTGTTCCAAGTCAAACTAGGACATTCTTTTTGAAACGAAAGAAGTATGTAAATTTCCTAATAAGTTATAACTAATCCATACATTACTCATACATGCATAACTTTAATATGCTACCAAACAACCCCTTTAAGGTATACAATACACATTATTCTTTTAAAATTTTTTTGCAATTAAGTGTCTAATACTCCCTCAATTTTCCATTAATGTATTACTTTGGATAATAACAATAATAGTCATGGTATCTAATTACAAAGAATGTGTCTTTTGTAGGATTTATCGTTCAAGAAAAAGGGATGGAACACTCCATTGAAATTAATGTGTCTACCCTCACATCCTTAACCCACATGCCGATCTTAATTGTGGTTGCTTTGATTTTATACAAATATTATTTTCAAATATTACATTTAACTTATTTATCAAACATTAAAAATAAATAAGAATCTTACATATTTTCATAAAAATAATAGCAAATCTTCCATCATACTGAACACACCCTAAACACTTACCAAATTTAAGAATAAATAGTGGCTTGAACACACACTCAAAGTGTTATTCTATGATATGTTTTCTTAAATATAATGTCTATATACACTTTATTCTATTATACTTAAAACTTTATTTATTCTCTTATACATTACTCAAAATGCACACAATTTCATGTAAGTAATATAAGTAGGTTCGCAATTAATCTATATATAGTAAGCCCATATACAATTTGATATTCATCATCTCTCATATTCCTTCACCTTCATAACAATTGAGCGGAGCAAAATAATTTAAGAAGAAACTCAAGTGCAATCCAACTAGTCCATTTTGAATCAGGTAATTTTTAAATGTCTTATATAACATCCTATCCAATACACTATAACAAATAAAAAAAATTTGTGAGAATATTAATTATAATTTCTATTATATTATATTTAATGGTAATAATATAATATGGATATTTAATAACCAACATTATAGATAAATTTGATTAAGTAGTAATTGTCTCAATCGTACCTAAAGTTCCATCTCCTAAACAAAATACTAGTATGCTACTTATATTGATTACGAGGTATTTTATTAATTCGAGTAGTAAGTTGTAAGATATTAGATATCTTTATTTTAATATAGGGGGAAAAATCTGATATATCCCTCAACTTTGTCATTTAGAGCTAATATACGCCTTGTTATGAAAGTGGCCCATATATATCCCTACTTGTAAATAAATGGCTCACATATACCCTTTTCCTCTAACGGAAATGAAAAAAATATTAATTTTAATCTAATTTTTTATTAATTTTTTCTAAAAATATAATCCCATATGAGTAATTTAATCCTCGTCAAACATATTTTTTTTGATTTTTTTTTGTTTCAATGACTAATTTATAATTATTATTTTGATAATCAAATTTATTTATGTTTCACTAATATTCTTGTAAAACTTATTGTAGATGATCAGTTTTTTTCTTCGAATACGAAATTAAATTACAATACACACAAAAAAATAGTTTAATTTTTTATTCTTTAAATTAAGGAATGAAAGAAAAAAACAAAATAAGAATAAGAAATTCAAATAATTATGATATAAGAAGTCAAAAAATAATTTATGTATTAAAAAAATTAAAATATACCTTGAACTTTGATAGAAGAATCATATGTACCATAAATATTTTTTTAAAAAAAATTAGAAGTAATAAATATAAATTTAAAACTAATTTTTTAACTTCCGTTAAATGAAGGATATATGTGAGTCATTTTCTAACGGCAGGGCTATATGTGAGCCATTTTGTAACGGCAGGGGTATATGTGAGCCGTTTATATAACGGTAAGGGCATATATGTGCCACTTTTATAACGAGGGGTATATCAGCTCCAAATGACAAAGTTGAGAGGTATATCAGACCCTATTCCCTTTTATGTATGTATTAATATGTAAAGATTAGCTATTCTGCATAAGTTATTCTATTCTATCTTGCATAAAATAATACATAGATTCTCTCATATCTTATAATACATATATATCATATACGAGTTTCTAAGTTGTCAATCAAATGTCATATTAATATCTACCTACCAATTAACACCATATAAATTATAGAATAATTAATAAGTGAATAACTTTTTTCTTATAAATTGATATTATTACCTCTTTGGTTTGGCTGTTTCTTCTTTTGTATTTATTCAACTCTTGCTTCTCCCGGATTTTTCATTGCTATGAAGTACTTATTATGTATAGAGAAAAAAAAGAGAGAGATTGATAAATACTGTTAATTGTAGGGTAGGGGGTGTCAATGTTAGGTTCGATCGATTATTTTATAAAATTTATCCAAAGGTATAGTATCATCTTCAACTTCATCATCTCATTATTTTTTTGGGTGGTATTCACAATTTCTTCTATGTTCTGGACCTCTTAACATGTTTCACTGTCACTCGGATAATCCAACAGGTTATTGACATCCATTTTATTTTGGTAACCGAGACCATTAATCAATGACCTCAAGTTCATTAGTGAGGTTTTCACAAGTAGGTTCATTATAATTCTCTGAGATTACATCCCCTGAACGAATTTTACATTGTCGAAAAACTATTTGTGATTATCTCTTGCTGAACATTTTTTGTCCAAACAGGGATTGCAAAATTGACAACATCCAAAATATTAATCTTTAGTGGATTAGTTTGTTCCACTACATAGTCTTCTAATATTCTACAATGAAATATCTTGAAAACTCTTATTATCCCAACATCACAAGAATGAAATTAGTAAGATACAATAATTTGATATATTCGTTGTATTTATGTATCACATTTTTTAATGTGAAATCAATAAATTAAATATGATACATAAACTTGTAAGATACAATGATTTTGATATATTCAAAATTAACCTTCATTAAAACTTAAATCATTCTTTAAATTAATATATATATATTATCGATTACATAATATCTCTATAATATAATAAAATGTCATGATCCAACTATATTAATTTATATAGATTTTACCGTAGTAAAAAGGACTACATTTTCTTTGTTGCTGTTAATAAAAGTCGTAGGACTATTCTTGTAATTTCTTATTCTTCGACTTCTAGCTATTGCTATTTATGATTTCGTGTAGTTCAATTATAATATTATTTTGTTGTAGTACTGTTATGCTATACTATTTTTTTTATAAAAAAAACTATCTATTGCTTTTTGTACTTAATTTTATTACGTCTTTTCTGAATTGTTTTTATCTTGAGCCGAAGATCTATCGAGAATAACCTCTTCATATCACATAATACCAAGTATACTTTCGTAGAATAATTTTAAAAACTCTCTAGACACTTTTACAATTTAAAAAGTATGAATCAAATAATATAATCGGAGGTAACAATAAATATTCATCCCACTATTTTACCGTAATGTAAAATGGAGTTAAACAAAGATAGAAAAATTGAAACGTATGGGCTCAAGAATTAGGTTTACTAAAATTAAGTATCTATTTAATAAGAGATTTAGTATCGTGGCTTTTCGATATTTAATATTTTATATTTTTATTGGGTGTGTTTGGTAAGAAGGAAAATGTTTTTCGTTGAAATTTTTTTCTTAAAAAACATGTTGATTTCTAACTTATTTTCTCATGTTTGGTTGGTGAGTGAAAAAATATTTCCTATTATTTGATTAATGAATGAAAATATTTTTTTCTCCAGAATTTATCTTTTATTTTATGAATAGAGAGTAGAAAATCTCTTTAGGAAAATAATTTCTAACATAAAAATCAACCCCACCCCAACGACCGATTCGAGACTGGTCCCCATGACCGATTCGGGATCCGACCTTAATCCCCAAATTAGGAGACCCTAACTCCTAATCCAAAACATGGTATTCGAATTGAGACCTGACCCTGACCCTGACATCTGATCCAAGACTTGACTTCAACTCTCGATTCGAGACTCGATCCCAACCTCGACACCCGAACCAACACAAGACCCCAACGATCTATTCAAATTCCAACTCTAAGACCTAAACCTAACTTTTGCCCGAGACCTAACATTCAAAAAATGACCCCACCCCGACACTTGCATCGACATTCGATATGGGACCTAGCCCCGACTCCCAATCTAGAACTCAACTTTCGAACGGGGACGGCGGGACCCAACTCGACTTCCGACCCAAGATTCAACTTCCAAATTGAGATTCGACCCTGACTATCAAATCGGGACTCGGGTCCACCCTGACTAGGAACCTGACTTCCGAATCGGGATTTAAATTTCTTATTTTAAAAAAAATAATTCTTTTTTGGCGGTGGGGTGGTAAGGAGTTGAGATAGGAGTGGAATAAAAATAACAGAAATAGTTAAAATTTGAAATATTTGTAAAAAAACAAACTGGGTGGACCGGTGGGGGTAAAAATCAGAAATTTTTAAAATTTGAGGTTTTTCAATCTTTTTACGTTGGGGGTTGAGGCTAGTTTAGAGGTAGGCATTAATAAAATGAAATTATTTTTAAAAAAAAAAATTAAAATTTTTAAATTTTAACTTGGAGAAGAGTTTAATTATTTACTTTATTTTTAAAGGTAAGTTATTTTTTAAAATTTTAAAAAAAAAGTTTGAATTGAAAAATATTTTCCAAATATTTAATCCAACCGAATATATCACTCAAACACACCTGTTCTTGGCCGACGACTCAAGTCAATGACTAAATATTTTCCACTATATTTAACTTTTGAGTACGAAAGTTAGGTCTAAAATTAATATCACAAAGATAAGGTAGTTGAGAAGGTTCTTTAATACCACAACAAAAAGTACAAACATATTATTTAATTTTAGTTTCAAGAAGACTTTATTTCTCTGTCTCCTTTTGAGTAAATTAATTATCAAGTATATCATCAACGAGGATCTATTTGAAGTTGAGAGTACTCTTTATTTTTAATCAAAAGTCTTAACTGTTAGGGAACACTTTACTTTTTTTCTTTTAGCCATTAATATGAAACTTTGTTCACACATTTTCAATAATCGAACAGGCAAAGAAACTAAGTTGAACCCTATCCTATCTTGCCAAACCACTTACCAATATGAAATAACATATATATATATATATATATATATATATATATATATATATATATTAAAACTCTATAAAACGTGTTTAATTCAAGAGAAAAGGGTCTGATATACTCCTCAACTTTGTCATTTGTAGCTGATATACCCCTCGTTGTGAAATTGGCTCATACATACCCTTACCGTTATACAAACGGCTCACATATACCCCTGCCGTTACAAAATGGCTCACATAAACCCTTCATTTAACGGAAGTTTTAAGAAAATTAGTTTTAAATTTATATTTATTACTTTTAGGGGTATATATGATTCTTCTATCAAAGTTCAAAGTATATTTTAATTTTTTTAATACATCAATTATTTTTTGACTTCTTTTATTATAATTATTTGAGTTTCTTATTCTTACATTGTTTTTTTCTTTCATTCCTTTGTTTAAAGAAAAAAAAATTAAACATTTTTTTGTCTATATTGTAGTTTGATTTTTGTATTCGAAGAAAAAAATTTGATCATCTACAATAAGTTTTACAAGAATATTAGTGAAACATAAATAAATTTGATTATCAAAATAATAATTCTAAATTAGTCATTGAAACAAAAAAAAGTCAAAAAAATATGTTTGACGAGGATTAAATTTACTCATATAGGATTATATATTGTAGAAAAAATAATAAAAATTTAGATTAAAATTATCTTCTTTTTTTTTCATTTCCGTTAGAGGAAAAGGGTATATGTGAGTCATTTGTTTATAAGTAGGGGTATATATGAGTCAATTTCATAACAAGGGGTATATCAACTCCAAATGACAAAATTTAGGGGTATATCAGACCGTTTTCCCTACATAAAATAATATTCCCTTTGTTTCAAAAAGAATGTCCATATTTCATTTTTAATTTGTTTAAAAAAGAATGACCCCTTTTCTTTTTTGACAACACTTTAACTTTTCACGTAACATGTTTAAGACCACAAGATTAAAGGACATTTTGGCACATTTGACATAACTTTAATTTAGAATCACAAGATTAAAAAATCTTCTTTCTTTTCTTAAATTATGTTCCAAGTCAAACTGGGGCATTCTTTTTTAAACGAAAGAAGTATATAGATTTCCTCATAAGTTATAACTAATCCCTACATTACTCATACCTGCGTAACTTTAATATGCTACCAAACAACCCCTGTAAGGTATACAATACACATTATATTCTTAATTTTTTATTTTTTTTTGCAATTAAGTGTCTAATACTCCCCCAATTTGCCATTAATGTATTGCTTTGGATAATAACAATAATAGTCATGGTATCTAATTACAAAGAATGTGTTTTTTGTAGGATTTATCGTTCAAGAAAAAGGGATGGAACACTCCATTGAAATAGATGATCAAATTCCACTGCTTTCTCAAACTTATCAAGATGAGGTTTTTTTTTTCTCTCAACTATACAAATATATAATTTTTTAGATTATTTCCTTTCCTATAATTTTAGGGACAAAGAACATAGATGAGTAAGTTTTTAAAGTCAAATGATATTTTTAGAATTAAAAAATTCTTAATTCGTCGTGTTTATAAAATGCATAAAGAAAGAAAGAAGGTATATATGCACTAATTTTTTTTTATCGAGACATATATTCGATCTACAAAATTGAGACCTTTTACACTTAACAAAAAAAAGTTGTTTCTAATAAACATTTTACCCTTTTAGTTACAGATAGAAGGAGGGATGAAAGTGGATCCTTTATTTGAGAATTTATTCAATTCGCGTGTTAAACCAATTAGCATATTCAAAGTAAATGTGGGGCTACGTGAATCAAATCCAGATGCTTATACACCAAAGATGGTCTCTATTGGTCCTTACCATAATGGAAAACCTCAATTTCGTCCAATGCAAAAGAACAAACTATTGTACCTACGACGGTTTCTTAGACGAAAGGAGAGTCTTGATTTGGATAGTTGCATCAATGAGTTGGAGGAGGAAGCAAGGAATTGTTACGATGATATAGAAGACCTCAATATTGGAAGCCGCGAATTTTGCAAGATGTTGTTACTTGATGGTTGTTTTGTGGTTGAGTTTATTCGAGAGCGTGTTGAGATAGGCCCAAGACTAGAAGACGAAATCATCAAAAGTGACATTGGTTGCATATATAAGCAAATACTCCGAGATTTGATGTTACTAAAAAACCAACTTCCTTTCTTTGTCCTCGACAAGCTTCATGAGATGACAAAGCAAGATGATGATATCCCATTGGCAATACAAGCTGTGAAGTCGTTTACTTCTTTTGTTGACATAGAAGAAATTATCCATAAACATTCCGATTCACCCTTAATAAAGATAGCATCTAACGCAGGTGATATCAAACATTTACTTCATGCAGTACACATACTTTCATGTCATGGGAACCCCACGAAAACATCAAAAGACGACACAACGTGGACTAAGGCCATGCCAAATGCAACTGAGCTTTCTGAAGCTGGAGTTAGGTTTTCAAATCATACAAATAGTAATACAAATTTGTTTGATATTAAGTTTGAGGATGGATTGATGACAATCCCTTGTTTTGAAGTTGTAGATGAAACAGAATCCTTCGTGCGAAATCTCATTGCTTACGAACAACAAACATCTGAAGTACAACCTAAATATTTCAGTGACTATGCACTTTTCATGGATCACCTTATCGACTCAGATAAAGATGTCAATTTACTTCGCCAGAAAGGAATCATAAAACACCGGATGGGAGAGGACAAAGACGTGTCTAGCCTCTTCAACAAAATCGGAAATGGGGTCACTATGTATTCCACCTTTTATTACCATAATGAATCCTTAAAAACATCTCAACACTGTCAAAAAAGATTTAATAGGTTGATGGCAAATTTGTTGCGCAATTATTTTAGTAGTCCTTGGGTAGGAGCTTCAACTGTCGCAGCCATCATACTTCTCATACTCACAACTATACAGACTATTTTAGCTTTCACAGGGTTCATTACATATCAAAAAAACATCGAGAAGATTTCATATCTAAAATTATTTAAGTTGATAGAAATTAAATAGTCAGTGTATACTTCATCTATATCAAGTTTATTAGGTTTCTAGTTGATTTGCTACAAACAAACTTCGTTTTCAACTAACATGTTAAATTACATTAATGTAGTCACAAAAACTCCATCATGTTTTCTTCCTCTTCAAAAATGTTAACTTCCCAACCTATATCACTTGAGTGAGAATAAGAACAAATAACTCAAAGCCCTGACGACGAATAGTAATTTGTTTTTCTTGATGTCTTTTTAATTACATGTTAGTTGTGTCAATTTTGTTCTTCTTAATATCTTCTTGCTTGTTAATCTTCTATTATCGTACCTCCACATATAAAAAAATAAAAATAATTGGATAGATCGTATTAACTTTGTAATACAATTGGTTATAACTTCAATACGGTATTTTTGAATACCGTACCATACTAAAGTTGAATTTAAAGGTTACCAAATTATTGAACCAAAATTTTAAAAACTGATGGTTGGTATCTATTTTTAACTATCAATTACCGAATTAACAAATCTAAAATTCGAAAATCCCAAGTCAAATACTGAATGCCCACCCCTAAAGGCAAGTATAGTGAAATAGAGCATATTGTGAATTCTTGGATCAGATTCTTAACTAGAAAAATCAACTGCTCAAAATGGTTTCCTCTCTCCTATCTAAGAAAATATATCGTAAATAGTCCTTTTCAAAATAATCCACTTATCCTATTAAAATTTAGATACGCCTATAGTCTTCATCCCCACTACCCTCACGTCCTTTAACCCCCAACCGACCTTAATTGTGCTTGTGTAGATTTTATACAAATGTTATTTCCAAATATTATATTCAACTTATTTATCAAACATTAAATATAAATAAGAAACTCACATATTTTTTTAATAAATAGCAAATTTTCGATCATACTGATCACACCCTAAAACTTTTGTTCTTCAATTATACTTGATATCAAATTTTAGAATAAATAGTGGCTTAAACACACACTCAAAGTGTTATTCTATGATATGTTTTCTTAAATATAATGTCTATATACACTTTATTCTATTATACTTAAAACTTTATTTATTCTATTATACTTTACTCAAAATGCACACAATTTCATGTAAATAATATAGGTAGGTTTGCAATTAATCTATATATAGTATGCCCATATACAATTTGATATTACCATCTCTCATATTCCTTCATCTTCATAAAAGTTGAGCGGAGCAAAATAATTTAAGAAGAAATTCAAGTGCAATCCAACTAGTCCATTTTGAATCAGGTAATTTTTAAATGTCTTATACAACATCCTATCCAATACATTATAACAAATAAAAAAAATTGTGAGAATATTAATTATAATTGCTATTATATTATATTTAACAGTAATAATATAATATGGATATTTAATAACCAACATTCTAGATAAATGTGATTAAGTAGTAATTGTCTCAATTGTACCTAAAGTTCCATCTCCTAAACCAAATACTAGTCTGCTACTTATCTTGATTACGAGGTATTTTATTAATTCGGTAAAAATATTAGATATCTTTAATTTAATATATGATTTAAATTTTTCTTATTGCATGTACTTTGTATTTTAGTAGACACTCAGTTTTTGAATTCCTCATTTCAATTTATCTTTGTTTAATTCCATATTTTACATCACTGCATGTAAAATAATGGGATAGAATTTCATTATTCTATGATATGTTTTCTTAAATATAATGTCTATACACTTTATTCTATGATACTTAAAACTTTATTTATTCCATTATACTTTTTCTCAAAATGCACACTCAAAGTGTTATTCTATGATATGTCAGTAATATAGACAGGTTTGCAATTAATCTATATATAGTATACCCATATACAATTTAATATTAACCATCTCTCATATTCCTTCACCTTCATAAAAATTGAGCAGAGAAAAAGAATTTAAAAAGAAACTCAAGTACAGTTCAACTAGTCCATTTTGAATCAGGTAATTTTAAATGCCGTATACTTATTAGTATAGTCGCACTCTTACCTGCTTATATTCTACCTTAATTTATGTCCTACACATCTTCCCATCAGTACATTTTAATTTAAAAAAATACATCAAAAATTAACTAAACCGCAAATAATGAAATATTTTAAATTTCAAATTTTTATTTTTTTTTAGTTTCGTGCCTTCAAGATATGTATACACAATAAAATAAGTAGACTTAGATGATACATACTTGGAAATAAGCAGATCATAAATAAGTTTTTCATGAATTTACCTGAATTCGTTTGCAAATCATGATAGTCTTTTTATGGAGATTATTGGGAACAATAATCATATAATATGAATAAATAAGTAGTCATTAGTAAACACCATTTATGGGTTTATATGTTAACAAAAAAGAAGAAACAGCCAAACCAAATTGGTAATTCTCTGCATTTTCTCGTTCTTTGCTAAAATACTATCAATTTATTATAGCTAAAACGTTACTCATAGTAATGTTTCTTTAGAATTCTAGTGATTTTTACATATATATCTATTTTTCTTAAAAAATTATTAAATCTATAGTCTACTCCGTAAAATATCAACTAAATTTTCCTATGTTTACAAAAAGAGGATGAATTCTCGAATCTCAACCTTGAGTCTATGAATGATCCTTTAATTTGCCTTTTCCTTTGCCTCCAACGTTATTACGAGTAACGTAATTATCTAGAAAACGTGTCTCAGAGTGACGAATTATAAAACCTTAATAATAATAACATTTTATATTTATTTACTATGTCAGACCTTTATCTTTTTGTCATTGAATTCTATTGACTGAAATAAAGCCAAAACATTATTAAGAAATATTTTTCTTCTAATTTGTAAAATTTAAACAACTCTCAACTATATAAATTAATTTTTTTATTTCATTAACTCATTTTTCTTTTGGCAATTAACAATATAATCTTTTGCTATATATGTGCATGAATTTCAAGAGATTATAGAATTTTTTAGACTATTTCCTTTCATATAATCGTGGTTTTACAATTATTGGATTCTTTTTATTTGAGTCCGGTATGCAGGGGTAATTTTTTAAAGTCACGTGAAATTTTTGAAAATAAAAATTAATTATATATATTTTTAATTCATTCTATTTACAGGGTATTTCCGGATATCATACCAATAACCAAACCAAAGTTTATTTTAAAGGTTACCGAATTATCAAATCAAAATTTAAAAAAATTGATGGTTGATACCTATTTTTAACTCAAATCTAAAATTTGAAAATCCCAAGTCGAATATTGAATGCTCACCCCTAAAGGCAAGTATAGTGAAACGGAGCACATTGGCAATTCTTGTTTCAGATTTTTAACTAGGAAAATCAACTGCTCAAAATGGTTTCTTCTCTCCAATCTAAGAAAATATATCGTAGGTAATTTTTAATTATTTTATACAAAGAATTTTTTTTAAATTTTTGAGATGCATGTATAAAAAGAAAACTCAATGAATAGTTAAATTATATTTCTATTACATATGTTTTTAACAATCCTCCATAATTTTTCAATAATATAAAATGTGGTTATATATCTAATAGTCCCTCAACTCAATTTGCCATTAATTTGGTCTTTTGTAGGAATTAGAGTTGAAGAAAAAAGGGATGGCACACACTATTGAGATAACTTCAATAGATGACCAAATTCCACTGCTTCCTCAAAGTGAAAATGATGAGGTCTCTCTCTCAACTATATTAAAAAGTTTTTTTCACATTCTTCAATGTGATTTTAGGTCTATCTCATCATCCTAACACATTCACTAGTCATGAAATTTTAACATATGCATCGATCTTTACAAATATTCATGGTGTGAATGTGTTGAATTTTAGCAATGACTCTTATCTTGTTACAGATAGAAGAAGGGAGGAAAGTGGATCATTTAATCGATATAAAGGAAACAAGTGGTCATGATCTAGTAGGGTCACAAACAAAGAAATCTATAAATCAAATCTTTGATGAAATGTTTGAGGATTTAGACAATTCGTCTATTAAATCTTGTACCATATCCAAAGTAATCGTAGTGCTATGTGAGTCAAATCCATATGCTTATACACCAAAGATGATCTCTATTGGTCTTTACCATAAGAAAAATCCTCAACTTCGTCCAATGGAAAAGCACAAACTATTATACCTAAGACGGTTTCTTCAACGAAAAGAGGGGCTTGATGTGGAAAGGTGTATCAATGAATTGAAAGAACTGAAGGAGGAAGCAATAAAGTGTTATGAAGATAAAGAAGACCTTGGTAATAATAACCAATTTTGTCAAATGTTATTGCTTGATGGTTGTTTTGTGGTTGAGTTTATTCGAGAGCGTTGTAAATTATATCCAAAAGAAGAAGAAGAAATCATTAATGTTCATGATTGTTACATATTTCGAGATTTGATGTTACTAGAAAATCAACTTCCTTTCTTTGTCCTCGACAAGCTTCATGGCATGAAAAAGCAAGATGATGAATTACCATTGGAAATACAGGTGAATAATGTGTTTACCTTTCTTGTTAACTGGCCAAAAATGACCCTTGAATCCTTTGGAGAGATAGAATATGATGCAGAAAATATAAAACATTTACTTCATACACAAATTTTTATGTCATGGGAATCCAATGGAAGACTCAAAAGATAGCACAATATCTCATAAGGTCATGCCAAATGCAACAGAGCTTTTCGAAGCTGGAGTTACCTTCGTTAAGGAAGATAAACTTGGCGATAACACAAATTTATTTAATAGTATAAAGTTCGAGAATGGATTGATGAAAATCCCTAGTTTTCGAGTCGAAGATGATACAGAAATCCTCCTACGGAATCTCATTGCTTATGAGCAACAATCATATGATGTGATGCCAAAATATTTCAGTGATTTTGCAACTTTCATGGATTATCTTATCGACTCGGACAAAGATGTGACTTTACTTCGCCAAAAAGGAATCATAGAGAACTGGATAGGAGAGGACAACGAGGTGGCTACCCTCTTCAACAAAATCGGAAATGGAGTTTTCATCGATTCCGAATTCTATTTCAAAGAAGAATGCATAAAAGCAATTGAACATTGTAAAAAACCATGGAATAGAATGAAGGCAAATTTGAAGCACAATTATTTTAGTAATCCTTGGGTAGGAGCTTCAACTGTGGCAGCCATCATACTCCTCATACTCACAGCTATACAGACTATACTAGCTTTCACAGGTTCCGTTAAGAAGTAATTCTCATCATTGTCTCAATTGTAATTTTGCAAGTATACATGTTGATGAGCTTATGTGTTTTTCATGTCCACCCCTTTTGTACTGTGTTCTAATAGTTGAATGTTAATTTAGTTTATTTCAAGTATCTATTCATGTATATAGAATCTTGTAGCTGCAAAACATGTATATAGAATCTTGTATTTCACTTGATTACGATAATTCACCTCAGAAATTTTCTTTTCTTCGCTCGAAAAACTTAGTCTTTATTAGAAATGAAAAAGTTAAATTTTGAGATATATTTCTTACTTATTTTTAAGTAATTATAATTACACTAGTTCTCGAACACGTACGTTGCACGTGTATCTCATGTTATTTAATACCAAACATTTCAAATGATATAATTATTTTAGAATAATTGATGCATTATACAATATTTAAAGGATAAAAATGATGTTTCTGGTAAAACATTCAACTAAGGTTGCAACTTGCAAAGATCAATAGAATTTGAAGAATTTTTGATTGTATTGATAAAAAGTATTTATTTTAATCATGTGGAATACACTATATTTATTGGTAAAAAAAAGATTACTACTTCAACTATATGATTTGTCAATATTGTCAAATATCTAACACTATATTTCCATACAAATGAAAGAAGTTAATTAAACAAAGCAATATATCAATAAAAAAAATGACCAATGAATAAAAGATTACATAAGAACTATAAGATGTGAAAAATATAAAGTGTAATGGACTAATATTTTCTATTTAACTTATAAAGAGAGAAATTGTACGTGTATATGAAAGGTTGTGAATGAATATATTTAATTGTAGAAGCTAAAAAGTTAAGCAATTAAAGTCATTAAAAAGTGAAAAATAATAAATGGTGACATCTAACCATGTATTCTCTTCAATTAAATATTGATATTGTATGAATCTCTCCATATGCTCTAACCTCTCTCTTCATATGCTCTAATGTTAAGTTTTTTTATCTAAAACGGTAACTATTTTAAGTGCTCAAAATTCAGCAATTAAGAAGAAAAATTGTTAATGCAACTCAATGATAATGGCAAAAGGAATACTCATAAATGCACTTAGTGGTATGTAAAAAGTTTTTTGTTATGAAACTTAAATTACTATTTAATAATAATAATAATAATAATAATAATAATAATAATAATATAATGGTATTATTGTAGTAACTCAACTATATAAGGTTATTTTGGTATTTCAACTTTCAACTTTTTTGTTCCCATTTATAATAATTATAATTACATAAATAAAATTCTGTCCTCCACACTAGACACACTGCAATTTTTACATTTTGTTTTGTTCTGATTACTTTAGTGTAATTACAAATAGGCGAAGGGAAGAAAGTAGTGTTATCTATAAATCAAAGATATGATGAAATACTTAAGGATTTGGACAACAATACATGCATCATAATCTGCAATCATATTCAAACTAAATGTGGGGCTAGGAAAATCAAATGAAGATGCTTATACGCCAATGCTAATATCCATTGGTCCTTATCACAAGAAAAATCCTCAATTTGGCTCCATAAAAAAGTACAAATTGTTGTACCTACGACGGTATCTCCGGAGGGAAAATGGGCTTAATGTTGAAAGTTGCATCAATGAATTGGAGAGAATAAAAAACGTTGCACTAAAGTGCTATAACGACAACCTTGACACTGATATTGTTGACAATTTTTTAAAAATATTGTTGTTTAATGATTGTTTTGTGATTGAATTTATTCGAGAGGACTATAAAGAAGAGGAAAAACAAGACGACATCATCAAATTGGTGTGTTATACAGACTGTTCTGACTTTTACCGGTTATGTTAATAAGTAATCTTTGTTATGGGTTGTAGTTATTTATTGACTCATCAAATGATTCCTCGTTATGAAATTTGTGTGTTGATGAGCTTAATATTGTCTCACCTCCATTATGGGGTACTACTGATTAAAGCTAATAATTTCAGCTCATATTTATAAAATTCATATTTCTATTTGAGGCAAACTTGCTTGTGATTTGAGGTAAATTTTTAATCTTTAGTTCATTCTCAAAGTATGTAATAAAATGCATTTCGCCGATAGAAAAAGGTCTATGCATGTAAAGTAGCATTTTTCTCATTATTGTTCCAATGTTCATATGGAGCCCTACTAGCTAGGGGAGTTTGGAATCGACTAGCTGAAGATGGAAATCTCCTTGAGTTTCATTTGGTACTAAGTACTTTTCCAATAGCAAAATTGAATTGATCAACCGCTTCACTCACAACAGTAACATATATACTTTGTGTGATCTCACTTGTGGGATATGGAAAAGTAATATGTTTACTTATCGCTAATGTTATGGCAGACAGAATTAAATAATACTCCTGGTAACATTATTTGTCAAAAAAACCATGTTATATATGTAATGTGTCTATAGAAAAATCATGATTATACATTTCTAGATCAAAAAAGGAGTAGTTCTCTGGATAGTGATTCATATTTGGAAAAAATTATTTAGAAATATCAATTACGTTTGTTTTAGTATTACAATATCATTTAATGTTGTTTTTTTTTTATGATATACTTGACATAAAAAATACATTACTTCTCTACTTCTAGAATTCCGTATCACATTTTTAATTTATTAGTAATTTTTTTTTTTAATTTTTTAAATGACAACTTGTTAAATGTATCTATAAGAGAGGATTAATCCATTCTATATGAAAATCTACTACTTCAATTTTATAGTGTATACTATGTTCATTTACGAGGATTTGTTGTTATATCAATACGAAAATTTAGTCTTGTTGTCGAGGAAAAAAATTAACTAGTTCCTTGAAGCTGACGAAGAAGACAATAGATATAGTTGGATACTTAAAGATAAACTAGATATTAGGGACATTGATTTTTACACAAACTATAAACTTTTGTGGCTTGTTCATGGTAAAAAAAGAATTTTTTTTGACATACTATAAACATTTGTTTAAAGATTAGGCAAATTTAAACAATAGAAATATCGATTAAAAAACAAGCAAGAAAAAAAATCTGAATATTACTCCAAAATAAAACAATGTACTAAGAAGAGAGTATATCGAAGAGGAAGTAAGCATTTAAAAAACATGTGTGAATCATGTGTATTAATACATTATTAATGGTGGACAGGTTGTAAAATTAATTTTTGCACCTTACTTTCTAGCACTGAAAGTGAAATATTTGAGAATATAATATTTTTTCTATTATGAAAATAATGACCTAATTTAATTTAACATAAAGTTTTTTTAAAGAAAATAATAATTTAGTAATTCTAAATTAAAAATATGTCAAATATTTTTTAATATTATTATCTTAAATATATCACGTGAAAAATTGAAATTAAAGTATTGTTATCAAGAATATAATAAAAAGTCGTTCTTTTTTTTAAATAAACGGTAAAAAAGTTAATGTTTTTTTTTAAATGGAAGTAATTTATACATGAGGAAATGAACAATATAACTAGACATCAAAACGAAGTGAAAGGGGAAGCTTAAGTATTCGCTTATAATTCTACGTTGACTAAATACACCTTCAAAAGTTTCAATTTGAATTAAACAAGTCTTGTAAAGTTCGATATATATATATATATATATATATATATATATATATATATATATATATATATATATATATATATTATTTCATACTGGTAAGTGGTTTGGCAAGATAGGATAGGATTCAACTTAGTTTCTTTGCTGTTCGATTAATGAAAATGTGTGAACAAAGTTCCATATTAATGGTTAAAAGAAAAAAAAAAGTAAAGTGTTTCTTAACAGTTAAGACTTTTGATTAAAAATAAAGAGTACTCTCAACTTCAAATCGATCCTCGTTGATCACATACTTTGATAATTAATTTACTCAAAAGGAGACATAGAAATAAAGTCTTCTTGAAACTAAAATTAAATAATATGTTTGTACTTTTTGTTGTGGTATTAAAGAACCTTCTCAACTACCTTATCTTTGTGATATTAATTTTAGACCTAATTTTCTTTTTCGTACTCAAAAGTTAAATATAGTAGAAAATATATAGTCATTGACTTGAGTCGTCGGCCAAGAACAGGTGTGTTTGAGCGATATATTCGGTTGGATTAAATATTTAAAAAATATTTTTCAATTCAACTTTTTTTTTCAAATTTTAAAAGATAACTTACCTTAAAAAATAAAGTAAATATTTAAACTCTTCTCCAACCTCAAATAACGAATCTTTCCTTGCCTCGCCTCGTATCCCTACCCTTCCCATCCAAGTTAAAATTAAAAAAATTAAAATTTCTTTTTAAAAAATAATTTCATTTTATTAATTCCTACCTCCAAACTAGCCTCAGCCCCCAACGAAAAAAAGATTGAAAACCTCGAATTTTTAAAAAAAATTGGGATTTTTACCCCCACCGGCCCACCCCTACCATCCCCAGTTTGTTTGTTTTTTCAAATATTTCAAATTTTAACTATTTTAGTTATTTTTATTCCACTCCTATCTCAACTCCCTATCACCCCACCCCAAAAAAAATTAATTTTTTTAAAAAATAAGAAATTTAAATCCCGATTCGGAAGTAAGGTTCCCAGTTGGGTAGGAAGTCGAATCTAGGGTCGGAAGTCAAGTTGGGTCCCACCGTCCCCGTTCGAAAGTTGAGTTCTAGATCGGGAGTCGGGGGCAGGTCCCATATCGAATGCTTGTGCAAGTGTCGGGGTCGGGTCATTATTTGAATGTTAGGTTTCAGGCAAAAGTTAGGTTTAGGTCTCAGAGTTGCATTTTGAATAGATCGTCGGGCTCTTGTGTTGGTTCAGGTGTTGAGGTTGGGATCGAGTCTCGAATTGGGAGTTGAAGTCATGTTTTGGATCAGATGTCAGGGTCAGGGTCGGGTCTCAATTCGAATACCAAGTTTTGGATTAGGAGTTATGGTCTCCTAAGTTGGGGATTGATGTCAGATCACGAATCGGTCATGGGGATCAGTCTCGAATCGGTTGTTGGGGTGAGGTTGATTTTTATGTTAGAAACTATTTTCCTAAAGAGATTTTCTACTCTCTATTCATAACATAAAAGATAAATTCTAGAGAAAAAAATATTTTCATTCATTAATTAAATAATAGGAAATATTTTTAACTCACCAACCAAACATGAGAAAATAAGTTAGAAATCAACATATTTTTTAAGGAAAAATTTTCAACGAAAAACATTTTCCTTCTTACCGAACACACCCAATAAAAATATAAAATATTAAATATCGAACAGCCACGATACTAAATCTCTTATTAAATAGATACTTAATTTTAGTACACCTAATTCTTGAGGCCATACGTTTTAATTTTCTATCTTTGTTTAACTCCATTTTACATTACGGTAAAATAGTGGGATGAATATCGATTGTTACTGCCTTTCATATTTTTTGATTCATCACTTTTTAAATTGTAAAAATGTCTAGAGAGTTTTTAACAATATTCTACGAAAGTATACTTGGTATTATGTGATATGAAGAGGTTATTCTTGATAGATCTTCGGCTCAAGATAAAAACAATTCAGAAAAGACGTAATAAAATTAAGTACAAAAAGCAAAAGATAATTTTTTTAAAAAAAAATAGTATAGCATAACAGTACTACAACAAAATAATATTATAATTGAACTACATTAAATCATAAATAGCAATAGCTAGAAGTCGAAGAATAAGAAATTACAAGAATAGTCCTACGACTTCTATTAACAGCAACGAGAAAATGTAGTCCTTTTTACTACGGTAAAATCTCTATAAATTAATATAGTTGGACCATGACATTTTATTATTTTATAGAGATATTATGTAATCGATAGTATATATATATTAATTTAAAGAATGATTTAAGTTTTAATGAAGGTTAATTTTGAATATATCAAAATCATTGTATCTTACTAATTTATGTATCATATTTATTGATTTCACATTAAAAAAATGTGATACATAAAGTACAGCGAATACATCAAAATTATTGTATCTTACTAATTTCGTTCTTGTGTTGTTGGGATGATAAGAGTTTTCAAGATATTTCATTGTAGGATATCAGAAGACTATGTAGTGGGACAAACTGATCCACTAAAGATTAATATTTTGGATGTTGTGAATTTTGCAATCCCTGTTCGGACAAAAAATGTTCGGCAAGAGATAATCACAAATAATTTTCGACACTATAAAATTCGTTCAGGGGATGCAATCTCAGAGAATTATAATGAACCTACCTCACTAATGAACTTGAGGTCATTGATTAATGGTCTCAGTTACCAAAATAAAATGGATGTCAATAACCTGTTGGATTATCCGAGTGACAGTGAAACATGTTAAGAGGTCCAGAACATAGAAGAAATTGTGGATACCACAAAAAAAAATGAGATGATGAAGTTGAAGATGATACTATACCTTTATTTAAATTTTATAAAATAATCGATCGAACCTAACATTGACACCCCCTACCCTACAATTAACAGTATTTATCAATCTCTCTCTTCTTTTTTTTCTCTATATAATAAGTACTTCATAGCAATGAAAAATCCGAGAGAAGCAAGAGTTGAATAAATACAAAAGAAGAAACAGCCAAACCAAAGAGGTAATAATATCAATTTATAAGGAAAAAGTTATTCACTTATTAATTATTGTATAATTTATATGGTGTTAATTGGTAGGTAGGCATTAATATGACATTTGATTGACAATTTAGAAACTCGTATAAGATGTATATATATTATAAGATATGAGAGAATCTATGTATTATTTTATGCGAGATAGAATAGAATAACTTATGCATGAATAACTAATCTTTACATATTAATAATACATACATAAAATAATACTCCCTCCGTTTAAAAAAGAATGTCTCTATTTCCTTTTTGGCAACACTTTAAAACCACAAAATTAAAAAGTCTTCTTTCTTTTCTTAAACTTTGTTCCAAGTCAAACTAGGGCATTCTTTTTGAAATGGAGAAAGTATATAGATTTCCTCATAAGTTATAACTAATCCCTACATTTCTCATAACTTTAATATGCTACCAAACAACCCCTTTAAGGTATACAATACACATTATTCTTAATTTTTATTTTTTTTGGGCAATTAAGTGTCTAATACTCCCTCAATTTGCCATTAATTTATTGCTTTGGATAATAACCATAATAGTCATGGTATCTAATTACAAAGAATGTGTTTTTTGTAGAATTTATCGTTCAAGGAAAAGGGATGGAACACTCCATTGAAATAGATGATCAAATTCCACTGCTTTCTCAAACTTATCAAGATGAGGTTTTTTTTTCTCTCAACTATACAAATATATAATTTTTTAGATTATTTCCTTTCCTATAATTTTAGGGACAAAGAACATAGATGAGTAAGTTTTTAAAGTCAAATGATATTTTTAGAATTAAAAAATTCTTGTTGGAATTCTGACCCCCAAATTCGCCTTAGGAACAGGTTTATTCTATATGTTCCTTTGAGAAATTACAGCAATTACGTTTTGTGAAGTAAATAAAATAATGACACAATATTCTATCGCGGAAAACCCCAACTCACAAGGGTAAAAATCACGACCTACACCTCTGTAGGATTTAACTCCACTTTATTAAATTTCAAGTCTCAACAAAAGATTACAAAGTTATGTAACCTAAGGAATTATAAACTCTAATTCCTAGAGGAATTATAAACTCTAATTCCTAGCTAAGAAATTATAAACTCTAATTTCTAGCTACCCAAAGACACAAAAACCCCCGGTTTAATATCTTCCAATGTTCTTCAAGTTCTACAACTTGTTGAACAACTCCTACTCACAAAACTCAGATTGTAAACAAGACTCTTGAATACAATCTTACAATTTTTCCTCACAAATTGCTACACTCTCAATAAATCTCAAAACTCTTTCAAACTTCTTGATCGTGTTTTGATCTTCTCTTTATGTAAGTGCGCAATTTTTTTTGATGCAAATAGCTCCCTATTTATAGATCAAAACTTCAACAAATCCTTGAATAATTCAACTTGTATTTGCCTTCTACAAATCTACTTGGACTCCTTTTCTACAGAATTTCCTTAATAAATAAGAATACACAATTTCCTTAAATAGATTTCCTTAAATAGGAATTAGTTTTCCTTCTTTCACTTGGCTTTGAACTCCTTTATAAAAGGAAACTTTTTGTACTTTTTGCTTGTCGAAAAAATAATAATTCCACAGCTTTATAACTTCTAATTCACGTGGTTGACGTTCTCCTTATCCAAGTCGGATTCGTTCTGTAAGGAACACGTTTGTTTCTTTCATCTGTTTTTGTATTTGTCAATTATCAAAATCTTTATCATTCTAACAATTCTTAATTCATCGTGTTTATAAAATGCATAAAGAAAGAAAGAATGTATATATGCACTAATTTTTTTTTATCGAGACATATTCGATCTCCAAAATTGAGACCTTTTACACTTAACAAAAAAAAATTGGTTCTAATAAACATTTTACTCTTTTTGTTACAGATAGAAGGAGGGAGGAAAGTGGATCCTTTATTTGAGAATTTATTCAATTCGCGTGTTAAACCAATTAGCATATTCAAAGTAAATGTGGGGCTACGTGAATCAAATCCAGATGCTTATACACCAAAGATGGTCTCTATTGGTCCTTACCATAATGGAAAACCTCAATTTCGTCCAATGCAAAAGAACAAACTATTGTACCTACGACGGTTTCTTAGACGAAAGGAGAGGCTTGATGTGGATAGTTGCATCAATGAGTTGGAGGAGGAAGCAAGGAATTGTTACGATGATATAGAAGACCTCAAAATTGGAAGCCGCGAATTTTGCGAGATGTTATTACTTGATGGTTGTTTTGTGGTTGAGTTTATTCGAGAGCGTTTTGAGATAGGCCCAAGACAAGAAGACGAAATCATCAAAAGTGACATTGGTTGCATATATAATCAAATACTCCGAGATTTGATGTTACTAGAAAACCAACTTCCTTTCTTTGTCCTCGACAAGCTTCATGAGATGACAAAGCAAGATGATGAACTCCCATTGGCAATACAAGCTGTGATCTCATTTACTTTTTTTGTTGACTTAGAAAAATTGATCGATCAACATAAGTATGAACCCTTAATAAATATAGCATCTAACGCACGTGATATCAAACATTTACTTCATGCAGTACACATACTTTCATGTCATGGGAACCCCACGAAAACATCAAAAGACGACACAACGTGGACTAAGGCCATGCCAAATGCAACTGAGCTTTCTGAAGCTGGAGTTAGGTTTTCAAATCATACAAATAGTAATACAAATTTGTTTGATATTAAGTTTGAGGATGGATTGATGACAATCCCTTGTTTTAAAGTCGCAGATGAAACAGAATCCTTCCTGCGAAATCTCATTGCTTACGAACAACAATCATCTGAAGTACAACCTAAATATTTCAGTGACTTTGCACTTTTCATGGATCACCTTATCGACTCAGACAAAGATGTCAATTTACTTCGCAAGAAAGGAATCATAGAACACCTGATGGGAGAGGACAAAGAAGTGGCTAGCCTCTTCAACAAACTCGGAAACGGGGTTACTGTTTATCCCAACTTCTATTTCAAACAAGTATTCACAAATGTAGTTAAACATTGTGATGAAAATCGATGGAGCAGAAGGTGGGCAAGTTTAAAGCACAATTATTTTAGTAGTCCTTGGGTAGGAGCTTCTACTCTGACAGTCATTATACTCCTCATACTCACAACTATACAGACTGTCCTTGCTATAGTAAGTATAACTAAGTAAGTAGTAATTCTAGTGTGTGTACTCCATTCATGTAATTTTCTTATGAGTTTTTCATTACTTGTTAGATGTGTCTATTTGTTTTTCTTAATGTCTTCTTACTTGTTAATTTTTTTATTATATCGTGCTTCCACATACAAAAAATAAAAATAATTGGATAAATAGTATTAACTTTGTAATACAATTGGCTTTAACTTCAATAAGGTATTTCCGGATATCATACCAATTACCAAACCAAAGTTTATTTTAAAGGTTACCGAATTATCGAATCATAATAAAAAAAAAAATTGATGGTTGATACCTATTTTTAACTCAAATTTAAAATTTGAAAATTCCAAGTCGAATATTGAATGCCCACCCCAAAAGGCAAGTATAGTGAAACAGAGCATATTGTCAATTCTTGGATCAGATTCTTAACTAGGAAAATCAACTGCTCAAAATGATTTCTTCTCTCCAATCTAAGAAAATATATCGCAGATAGTTCTTTTCAAAATAATCCACTTATCCTATTAAAATTTAGATACATACGCCTATAGTCATCATCCCCACTACCCTCACATCCTTAACCCCCATGCCAATCTTAATTGTGCTTGCTTAGATTTTATACAAATATTATTTTCAAATATTATATTTAACTTATTCATCAAACATTAAAAATAAATAAGAATCTTACATATTTTCATAAAAAATAGCAAATCTTCCATCATACTAAACACATCCTAAACACTTACCAAATTTAAGAATAAATAGTGGCTTGAACACACACTCAAAGTATTATTCTATGATATGTTTTCTTAAATATAATGTCTATATACACTTTATTCTATGATACTTACAACTTTATTTATTCCATTATACTTTTCTCAAAATGCACACAATTTCATGTTAGTAATATAGGCAGGTTTGCAATTAATCTATATATAGTATACCCATATACAATTTAATATTCACCATCTCTCATATTCCTTCACCTTCATAAAAGTTGAGCAGAGAAAAAGAATTTAAAAAGAAACTCAAGTACAGTTCAACTGGCCCATTTTGAATCCGGTAATTTTTAAATGCCGTATACCTATTAGTATGGTCGCACTCTTACCTTCTAATATTCTACCTTAATTTACACATCTTCCTATCAGTATATTTTAATCAAAAAAATACATCAAAAATTAACTAAACCACAAATAAGGAAATATTTCAAATTTCAAATTATTTTTTTTTTAATTTCATGCCTTCAAGATATATATACAGAATAAAATAAGTAGACTTGGATGATACATCTTGGAAATAAGCTGATCATAAATAAGTTTTTTCATGACTCTACCTGAATTCGTTTGCAAATCATGATAGTCTTTTTATGGAGATTATTGGAAATAATAAAGATAATATGAATAAGTGGTCATTGGTAAACACCATTTATGGGTTTATATGTTAACACAAAAGAAGAAACAGCCAAACCAAATTGGTAATTTTCTGCATTTTCTCGTTCTTTGCTAAAATGCTATCGATTTATTATAGCTAAAACGTTACTCATTGTAATGTTCCTTTAGAATTCTAGTGACTTTTACATATATATATTTTTCTTGTAAAAGATTATTAAGTCTATAGTCTACTGCGTAGAATATCAACTAAATTTTCCCATGTTTACAAAAAGAGGATATATTCTCAAATCTCAACCTTGAGTCTATGAATGATCCTTTAATTTGCCTTTGCCTTTGCCTCCAACGTTATTACGAGTAACGTAATTATCTAGAAAACGTGTCTTAGAGTGACGAATTATAAAACCTTAATAATAATAACATTTTATATTTATTTACTCTGTCAAACCTTTATCTTTTTGTCATTAAATTCTATTGAATGAAATAAAGCCAAAACATTATTAAGAAATATTTTTCTTCTAATTTTCTAAAATTTCAGAAAAAAAATGTATTATTTTGATAAACTGTTTCCAAATAATGCCTTATTTCGATCAATTTTTATAAAATAAAAAAAAACAAACAAACTTTCAACGATATAAATTAATTTTTTTATTTCATTAACTCATTTTTCTTTTGGCAATTAACAATATAATCTTTTGCTATATAAGTGGAACTCTTTTTCAAAGAACTGGCGATATTCCCTTAACTGCAGATTCAATAGCACCGATTATGAACCTGGAAAGAGAAGAGCACCGTCTACTCATACTGTCGCAGACCCAGAGTAGGACCTAAACAATGAACTCTTCTCTTTGGCAACAAACAATCAAAGTCAAACAAACCTTTATGAAGACGAGCATACGATGTGACTTGAACCACGCCCTCACTTCACGTCTTCTGACAGCGATTAGAACGGCAATGACTCTCATGAATTTCAAGAGATTATAGAATTTTTTAGACTATTTCCTGTCATATAATCGTGGTTAGAGTCCGGTTTGGAGGGGTAATTTTTTAAAGTCACGTGATATTTTTGAAATTAAAAATTAATTTTATTTTTTTTTAAATTCATTCTATTTACAAAACGGGTAAATATGCATCATTTACTAAACAACGAAGGTATATGCATTACTTTTTTTTAACGAAATATATATTTGATCTATACCGCAAAGTTAAGAAGGGTATACTCAGTTAAAGGGGGAAATTGGATCATTGAATCGACATGAATGAAAGAATTGATGAAATGTTTAAGGATTTAGACAATTCATCTATAAAATCGTGTACGATATTTAAAGTAAATGTGTGGCAACGTGAATCAAATCCAGATGCTTATACACCAAAGATGATCTCCATGGTCCTTACCATGAGAAGAATACTCAAGTTGGTCCAATGGAAAAGCACAAACTATTATACCTACGACGGTTTTTCAACGGAATGAGAGACTTGATGTGAAAAATTGCATAAGTGAAATGGAGAAAGTGAAGGAGGAAGTATTGAAGTGTTACGAAGATATAGAAAAGGTTGGTAATGATAGCCATGAATTTTGCGTAATGTTGTTGTTTGATGGTTGTTTTGTGGTCGAGAGTGTTGTGGAATATATATCAGAGGAGAAGACGAGTTTATAGATATTAATGATTGTTACATATTTCGAGATTTGATGTTACTAGAAAATCAACTTCCTTTTTTTGTCCTCGACAAGCTTCAGCTTCATGGCATAACAACAGTGGCGGATCTAGGAATTTAAGGTTGTGGGTGCTCTAAAGTGAAAATATAAAAAATATGTGTTAACAGTGAGATTCGAACCTTGGTACAACAACACTAAAAAAGTCTTAAGTACCCATCCACGAGCCATTGGGCCAACTAAATCATTCATTCATTGGGTACTCTATGTTAATTTTATACAAATACCTATCAATTTCTACATAGATAAATATATTTCGTAACGAAGTTAATGGGTGCTCGAGCACCCAGCGAACACCACGTGGGTCCGCCTCTGCATGACAAAGCAAGATGATGAATTACCATTGCCAATTTTGTATTGGGTTTTCTAGTTGAATGTTAATATGTATTATATTTCGAGTATCTATATTTGTAACTTACCACCATCAAAAGTCGTTAAGTAGCTCAATTCATAAATAAGATATTCAAGTATCATCTCCTGTCGTATCAAGCACACCTTAAAAGTGTTTCATAAAACTAATTCAATTCAAACATTACAACTGAATTCCTACCAAAAACTAACAAGCACTACTACAAAACAGGGTTATAGTGGCAATTATTATGGGTAAGTCTTCCGCTAAAAGTTAAATCAGGCAAAGGGTTAGATTGGGCCATCAATGATTCACAAGTATCTGTGTACAGGGTGTAGGCTCGGGCATGACAATTTGTATGTTCAAAACTCTAAATACACAAATCAGATAGCTACAAAACTAAACTCGACGTTTTAAACTTAAAGTTCCTTGACCCGAAACCTTAGAAAATTACAATAAACTAATTTTTATTTGGAAATACCAAAATACCCTCTGAACCTCTGAAATTGAAACCAAGACCTCACCCAAGGGTAAAATCATCCTCTAAATCCAATGAAATAGTTGATAACTCCATTCGAGCGTCTGAACTCCAAATGTTGACCAAAATTAATTCTTGACCTAAATATAACTTAACTTCCAACTTTAGGGTCCAAATCCTCATAACAACTCTGTAACAGAAAACAATTATACTCCTATATCAAATTCTACATTTTGAAGTTGATAGATATAACGAACTCTCATTATGAGACTCGTAACTTCAATTGTTACTAATATTCACTCTTAATCACTTGAAGTCTCCAAAACTCTAAAACATTCAAAATAATCTCTACTTTCTAATCAAATTTCAAAATCAACTTCATAAACTTATCAAATATGACTTGAGACAACTATCGGGAGGGTTAAAATGATGATTTTCTAACATTTCCAAAAATGACACTTTAGAATCATTACAACTAATTATTATTTTTATGTAGATAATTATCATATCAATTGGTACATAATTATTCCTTGTTGACTTTTAATTTAATTTAAACACGTCTGGACTTTAGTTGTTATTAAATATAGGGAAAAAGAATAAATATATTTCTAAAATATCATAAATGATTTGTTAATACCGCTTACGTTATACTTTAAGATTGTATATACCCTTACCATCAATATTTTGGATCGTCTGTACCCTTAAGACTAACAGATGACACATGACATCATCTAAATAATTTACCTGATTTTATTTTTTATTTTTTATCCAAAAAATTGAAAACCCGCTCATTTTTCATAACAACCTTGAAAATATTAAAGTACAAAACACCCAATAACCTAGATTCCTACTAAGCTAAATGAGGTCTCTTAAATTTGAGGGCCTAATACACATGTCTTTTTTTTATAACACTGTCATGCCATCCCTGGTGAATTATATGGGAGATGTCAATAAAGTTTCTACCATCTTCAACAGAAGAGAAAATAGGATCGATGTTAATTCCAACTTCTATTACAAAGAAGAATTCAAAAAAAACAATTGAACATTGTGAAAAGTCATGGAATATATAGAATGAAAGCAAGTTTGATGCACAATTATTTTACTAGTCCTTGAGTAGGAGCTTCAACTGTGACAGCCATCATACTCCTCATATCATCACTATACAGACTATACTAGCTTTCACAAGTTTCGTTAAGTAAATAATAATGGTCTTAATTGTACTGTTGATGAGCTTAATCAGGATTGTCACAACAAGTTTGGAGGCCTAAAGCCAACATTATGTTTAGACTTTTTGCATCGGAAAAAAAAAGAGAGGTGGAAGGTACGGGAAAAAATTGTGTTTAGACGTTTTGCCATTTGAAATTTTCAAGTCAGCAAAATAAATTTATATTATGTGATTTTTCTAATGACGTGTCATTTGTTAGTTTTGAGAGGTAAAAGTGAGTCACTAATCTATAATATTTTTACCCTAAAATTAAACAAAGGATATATTTGATCTATTTTCAATAATTGAAGGATACTTTTAACCCTTTGGCCTTTTTCGAATATTAAAAAATGGATAAGAAACTCATTCATTGTCCAAAACAAATAACATATTTATGTATCGTACCAAACGCACCCTAAAAGTGTCCTTAATAAAAAACATTGATGTCAAATTCTTAGAATAAGTGGTGGCTTCAAGACAAACTTAAAAGTGGTATTCTATGATATGTTTTCTTAAATATAAATGTCATTACACTTTATTCTATGACACTAAAGTTTTATATTATATGACACTTTTCTCAAAAGGAACTTTATTTCATGTTAGTAATATAGACAGGCTTGCAAATCACCCAAAGGAAAATCTATATATAATTTTATTTTCTCCATCTCTCATCCTTCACCTTCATAAAAGTTGAGCAAAGAAGAATTTTAAGAAGAAACTCAACTACACTCCAACAAGTCCATTTTCAATTTATAAATGAAAGGTAATTATTTTTAAATGTTTCATACATTGTATATATATTGCACCTTAGCTTTAACATATGCACCCTTTATATTTTATTAATTTATGCTTAATTTACTACCTCATGTTACATTATTTATATATTAGGCCATTATGTAAATATTCCTTCCTGAAATTTTTATTTTATAAAGATTATAGTTAATTTTTTAGATGTTATGACAAGGCATGTATATAGAATTCATAAATCCACTAATTTAACATGAAAATTGAAATTAATTTCCCTTTTTTTTTCCTTTCTCTTCTCCTTTCACAAATTCTGCAATGATTTGTATTAATAACATATAAATAAAAAAAAATTTAAATTTTTTTATTCGTTTATTTTTTTTTGTAGAAATTAGAGTTGAAGAAAGAAGGATGACACACTCCATTGAGATCACCTCAATAGAAAACCAAATTCTATTGCTTTCTTCAAACCAAACAAGATAAGGTATCTCTCAACTATATATATAAATTAGTTTAAATAAAAAAGTTATTGTTAGATTTTATTTTATTTTAATTTATCGTGTTAACAAAAAGGGTAAATTTAGACAATTTATCGGTTAAATCATGTACTATATTCAAAGAAAATAAGTGAATACCATAATTAAATCCAGCTGTACATATATATTTTTGATTCACACTGTTAAGTGTTTATCTATCATATGTTTTCTTAAATATAATAATGTCATTACACTTTATTCTATGATCTGTAAAATGGAATGTCATTACACTTTATTCCATGATACTAAAGCTTTATTTTTTCTACTTATAGTTTTTTTAAAATGCACATTATTTCATGTTAGCAATATAGGTAGGCTAGCAATTACACAAAGGAAAATCTATATATAAGTACTCATAGAGAAGTTTATATTCGAGTACCCTCCAACTAGTCCATTTTCAATCTAAGAACAGCCAAATCAGGTAATTTTTAAATCTTTTATACAAAGAATTTTTTTAAAATTTTTGAGATGCATGTATAAAAAGAAAACTCATTGAATAGTTGAATTATGTTGAAAATGTCTATTACATATGTTTTTAACAATCCTCCATGATTTTTCAATAATATAAAATGTGGTTGTATATCTAATAGTCCCTCAACTCAATTTGCCATTAATTTGGTCTTTTGTAGGAATTAGAGTTGAAGAAAAAAGGGATGGCACACATTATTGAGATGACTTCAATTGATGACCAAATTCCACTGCTTCCTCAAAGTGAAAACGATGAGGTCTCTCTCTCAACTATATTAAAAAGTTTTTTTCACTTTCTTCGATGTGATTTTTGGTCTATCTCATCGTCCTAACACGTTCACTAGTCATGAAATTTTAACATATGCATCGATCTTTACAAATATTCATCGTGTGAATGTGTTGAATTTTAGCAATGACTCTCATCTTGTTACAGATAGAAGAAGGGAGGGAAGTGGATCAGTTAATCGATATAAAGGAAACAAATGGTCATGATCTATTAGGGTCACAAACAAAGAAATCTATAAATCAAATCTTTGATGAAATGTTTGAGGATTTAGACAATTCGTCTATTAAATCTTGTACCATATTCAAAGTAATCGTAGGGCTAAGTGAGTCAAATCCAGATGCTTATACACCAAAGATGATCTCTATTGGTCCTTACCATAAGAAAAATCCTCAACTTCGTCCAATGGAAAAGTACAAACTACTATACCTACGACGGTTTCTTCAACGAAAAGAGGGGCTTGATGTGGAAAGTTGCATTAATGAATTGAAACAACTGGAGGAGGAAGCAATAAAGTGTTATGAAGATATAGAAGACCTTGGTAATAATAACCAAATTTGTCAAATGTTATTGCTTGATGGTTGTTTTGTGGTTGAGTTTATTCGAGAGTGTTGTAAAATATATCCAGAAGAAGAAGAAGAAATTATTGATGTTCATGATTGTTACATATTTCGAGATTTGATGTTACTAGAAAATCAACTTCCTTTCTTTGTCCTCGACAAGCTTCATGGCATGACAAAGCAAGATGATGAATTACCATTGGCAATACAGGTGAATAGTGTGTTTACCCATTATGTTAACTGGCCAAAAATGACCCTTGAATCCTTTGAAGAGATAGAATATGATGCAGAAAATATCAAACATTTACTTCATGTAGTACACATATTTTCATGTCATGGGACTCCAATGGAAAACTCAAAAGATTGCACAACATGTCATAAGGTCATGCCAAATGCAACAGAGCTTTTCGAAGCTGGAGTTACCTTCGTTAAGGTAGATAAACTTGGCGATAACACAAATTTATTTAATAGTATAAAGTTCGAGAATGGATTGATGAAAATCCCTAGTTTTCAAGTCGAAGATGATACAGAAATCCTCCTACGAAATCTCATTGCTTATGAGCAACTATCATATGATGTGATGCCAAAATATTTCAGTGATTTTGCAACTTTCATGGATTATCTTATCGACTCGGACAAAGATGTGACTTTACTTCGCCAAAAAGGAATCATAGAGAACTGGATAGGAGAGGACAACGAGGTGGCTAGCCTCTTCAACAAAATCGGAAATGGAGTTTTTATCTATTCCGAATTCTATTTCAAAGAAGAATGCATAAAAGCAATTGAACATTGTAAAAAACCATGGAATAGAATGAAGGCAAATTTGAAGCACAATTATTTTAGTAATCCTTGGGTAGGAGCTTCAACTGTGGCAGCCATCATACTCCTCATACTCACAGCTATACAGACTATACTAGCTTTCACAGGTCCCGTTAAGAAGTAATTCTCATGATTGTCTCAATTGTAATTTTGCAAGTGTACATGTTGATGAGCTTATGTGTTTTTCATGTCCCCCTTTTGTACTGAGTTCTAATAGTTGAATGCTAATTTAGTTTATTTCAAGTATCTATTCACGTAACCTCCTACCAACATGTATCAGATAACTTTATCCACTACGCAAGCCAACACATTAGAACCTTCAATATAGATTGGCCCTACCCAAGCACAATGTGGTTTTAAGCCCTCAGTGTGATATTTCTAGACAGCAGCTGGCCATATGGATATTTTGGGGGGTTAAAGTTCAAATATTCCAACTGGATTTCTACCAAAAACATTTACCACAACTATATAGCAGTTACTAGGTGTTCGACACATATCTTACGCACTTGAGCATGAAAAAAACAACTAATGAACTTAAAATGCATATATATGTTAGTTGAACATGGAAAAAACAACTCAAAATGTGCTTTGCTAGATCACTCAGATTAATACAAGTCAAATCTTTGATATCAAATTAAACTTACATGTTATGAACGGGAGATTAAAGCAGCAAGGTTTAGGTCTGAAAGGGTGCTACCTGTTGCAACTCTTAGTCGTCCTCCCTATCAGGTGGAAGACCACAAGGCAAAAGCATTTTCTGCACAAGTAAATACGGGATTGTGAGTAATTGTGGAAGACCAAAATCAAGGATGCATACTCACAGAACATATATTCATAAAATAAATTAGCGAATATTCAGGAAACTATGTCTTATACATGAAACAGCTAAGGCTTCCATCGACACTTAAATTTTCAGGAAGTGATTGGCCCTCCATATTAGTAGCTCAAAAGTTATTGCATTCAACAGCTGGTCATGCAAACATTCACAAGTGGGATTATGTCGAGAATCTGACTAGCTTCATGACAACTGCATCTGCATGTCTACTCTGTCCTTTCCGAAAGTGTATACATTAGAGAGAAGTCTCCTTTGTTTATATTTTTTGAACAACCTCTGTCCATTGAAATTTTTTAAGTGGCAACATAGCAAAAGAAGTTGTGTTTAACGAAGTATAATCTCTAAGATGACAAGAAGAGAAACAGGTAGTCTAATGGGAGCTCTACCATCATTGTAGTAAAGACTTTCGCAAGATGGTCATTTTTCAAAACTTCTACCTGAGGAAGGTTGTACAAGCTAGTATGTACTCCCAAAAACTCCATTTTTGAACACTTCAGTCAAAAGGACTTCATGTTTAATTCCTTTCCAAAAGATGTTCCTTCCACATTAGATGTAGCTACCCTGTGTTACTTACTACTAGAGTTCATATCTTTCTGTTATCTTGATCACTTGATGATTTCTAACAAACAAGTTGACTATATCTAGCTTTTTATTATGAACTTCATCATTTATACCCTTAATATCAGCAAACATGGATATGTTTGTTTTCTTGGGCTAAAATGGGACAAAACTTCCATTATTAAGCCAGAGAACAAACACTTAACTCATGACTCCACACAAGCATCTGAAAATGCAATAAATCCATCTGTTTTGATCAAAACCAAGTATTCCATCTTTTCCCAAAAGTAAAAAAAGAAAAGAGAGCAAGCTATACAAAAAAAACATCACTTTGTTTCGACACTCGCTGAACGAAATTCCCAGGTACAACTACACAGAAAATGAAGATGAGAACCACAAAAGAGTACAATACAGCATGAAAAGTCCAAGTATGTGCGTATTTTGAGTCTCTAAGGAGTTATGGACTTGCGCCAAATATGTGACAACCTTTTTGTAACGATTTTTCTAAAGCTATTGCTGAATCTTTAGTTACTTAGTAGCCTCAAATGAGTCCTAGTCTTTATATTAGTTACTTACTAGCCACGTCTAAGAAGCCATTACGCTTGAGCATCCTTTAAGTGCAAAATGTAACACACGGTAGTCAAATCCTAAAAAAAAGCACTAGAAAACCTTGCATTGAATGGCTAAATACTTTCACTGAAAGAGGACTCTAAACAATAAAGGGCATCAAGAAGTGCTACAACTTGTTCTGCAATGCAACCTATAGTCTTAACATCAAAGCAGCAACTTCCATTAACTAGTTGGTGAATAAAAAACACAACTGTACACTAAAAGCAGTTAAAAACCTGCCTTACGCAAACCCAGCATATTAAGATCTAAGAATCAAAGTAACTGCAAAACAATATAAGCATCTTTAAGACTTTAACAAGTACAAACCTGCATAAAATTGTAGCGCTCTCTTCCGATTGATTCATTTTCTGCAATGGCAAAATATGCCAACATTGGGTAGTGTCCGACATAAGATGCGTAACTGTCACGCTGAATGTTCACTGCCCACTCACTAAGACAAATAAAGAAAATCCAAAAACATCAGTATCTCCGAAGTTGTCAAGACTAAAATAATAAACTCTAAACATAGTCAATAAATGTCAAACAGAGACTATAGATAATCCACCTACAAAATCATAGTTACAATAAAGAACCTCAATTTCAAGGAAAGCAGAAATAGGTAGTTACAAACATGTCAAAACAACATGTGACATCTCGTGATTCAGCAGTTCATAAAGAGGGCTCTAATTCCTTGGAAAATCATTTTCAAGAAGTGTGACATCATGATTCAATTTCAGTAATATTTCCATCTTCCGATTCACTAATAAACACATACCTTTGAGTGTTCTGAGTATCATATAAAGATACATTTCTTAGAAGTCACTTTTTTTAATATGTAGGTTGCAGTCAATAAGGCATTTTTCCAGAAGGAGACACGGTAAATTTGCTTTCATGTCCAATAGTGTCCTATTCCTCCTTTCTGTTACACCATTTTGTTGAGGTGTGCAAGAACAGTTAACTGTTTAGCATTACACAATTCTTCAAATTGTCTTGACATATATTCATAGACTTCATGAATTCTTAAGATCGTTATCCTTTTGTCTAATTGATTCTCAACTTCATTCATATATTCTCTGAGGCATTCAAATGCTTCATATTTATGATTAATCAAATAAAAATAACCAAAAACGCATGAAAGCATTCAAGTGCTTCAGATTAGACTTTAGAGATGGTTACAAATTCCCTTACTTCCATCAACAAAGAAAAAAAAAACTTACAATCGAGTCAAGTCGGCATGTCCTGTTCCAACGTATTTAGCTTGCAAGTGCTCAAGCTGAGAGTTGATATTGAACCTATCACTAGCCTGCATCGAGAAAATTAAACACACTTTAATCACATAGTCATCCAACAAACTAACAAACAGAGTAACATTTCAAACAAAATCAAATAAACTAGGGTTTTAGGTGGGGAAAAAATTGGTTCTTGGTGGAAGATAACAATAATCAAATATATAAACAAATTGAAACTGAAATTGAATTTGAAAAGTTTAGCAAATAACAACAACAACATATCCCATATAATCGTAACGAGCATAGAGCGTAATCGAAACTGAAAATACTAATTTATGAATTTACCTGCATTTTTCGCACAGTTGAAAAACAGAGAGCGATGATTTAGTTGAAAGGGTTACAGTTTCGGCATATTTATAGATATAGAGCTGGGCTTTTATTGGCGGCAAACGGGTTGGTTCACAGAACAACCCGACCCGTTTGATCATTTTTATATTTTTCGAGATTTTTTTTTATTATTATTTGAATTAAAAGTCGTATATCAAATTTAGAAAATAACTTATGAAGTATCTTTTTATATTTTATATAATAAAAATGAATAATCACTATTGTGTTATTAAAATATTACTTATATTATAAGTTTTTAAATAATATATTATCTAGTTCTGTCAAACATATATTAAGTAACTTAATTCAATATCTATCAAATTTCAGATGAATGGGAAAAAATAATTAAAAAAACTAATTTACAACTCGAAAAAATAAGACAAATAACATCAATTCCATAATTACTATTGTTGTAGTTATCAAAGTATTTGCGGCAATCGAAAGCTAATCTTTAGGGATATAAATAATTGATCTTTATATATAAATCGAACTGCAAAACTATTGGGTGTTTACTTTTCTCATCCAAATGTTTGTCGAAACATACTTCTAACTATTGGTTGTTCACTTTTCCTATCTAAAACATCACACCATTATTCGGATAAGTGAGAGGCTGATAACTGAGATGTGTTGATTCAATAAATATTTGGTGATAGCGTAATTAGGAAACTCGCACACCTGATAGTTACAGATATGAAATTCTAAAAAACTGAAATATTTTAGATGTGTTTTTGATCCTTTCACTCGTAACCTTTTGCAACAATCAACCTCTCATGATATCACAAAGATCTGGCTATGGTTTTAGCATATTCACATCCTATTGAAACATTGCAGCCTGCAGTTATCAACTCAAAATATTTACCAAGTCTCTTAAGGAAGTGAGTGAAGCCTCATTACCATAAGTGACTTCTTGAACAACAAACTGATTTCTGGAGTGTCGTTCCTCGAGTAAGAATATGGTTTTATTGAACCCTTTGGTGGTAACGTTGCAGAAAGTATCCGTTAAGAGGCACTTCATCCATCTCGACTTGAAGAAAGCATCTTTGCAAGGGCTTCTACCCGCAGCTTAAGCATTACATAGAGCTTGTCACCTGAAAGCCAACTCGTATGGCTACTCTGACCTTCCAGCATTTCTCAGAAAACCACAAAACATGTGCTTGAAGCAGCAGATGGCTAATGATCTATCCTTACGCCAGCATAACCGCCAGCTGCTGGCCCTGAGCTATGCGGAGGTCTTGAAAAAGGACTCGAACAAAGTTGAACCAGTTTACTGTTTTTTCTTCTAGCACGATCACATTGTGGAATCTTCTGTTAGTCACATTTGCTCATTACTGCATGGCAAAGTGGGACACCAAAGTGGATAGACTTAACTGCATTGACAATTACCTCCATTCTTATTTGACGACTGCCTTTGACTAGGACGACATCACCACTATTTAGATAATCGATGATTTTAGAAGCCATTTGGTGAGCATCAGTAGTGTAGACCAGTTTTGTATCTGGCCCAAAGTCTATACTGTCAGCTGCACGTACAAACCTTATTCCAACAAGTGCAACCACATCAAACTGAGCATCGCAGCAACTCTGTAGCATCAACTCATGAAACTTGAATTCTGTTGAACCAAGTTCAAGCATGTCTCCGAGTATAGCAACTCGTTTACCTTTGCAGTCAATGTTTCTTAACAAGTCAATTGCAGCTTGAGTACTAGCTGGACTTGCATTGTAAACATCATTGATTATTGTAATCCCATTCTTGGTCACTTCAAGCTCTGATCTTCGGTGAACAGGTATAAATCTGGATAAGGACTTTCCAGCTAAAGCAAGCGGAACACCAAGAGCACTAGCGACAGCAGCAGCTGCACATGCATTAACGGCCAAATGCAAGCCAGGACTGGAGATAACAAATTTAACCCTGAATATTTACCGACATGTCAAGTAAATAGAACTGTAAATACTAGTAAATAACAGTGGATCAATTGTTTTAATGAATAACGCAAGTTATACTATGTTTCAGATTAAAATAGCCTAAATGAAGAAAAGGCATTTCCTTTATAAGACAATTTCTAAGAATATTTCGTCAACCTAAATTCTTTAATCTGTGGTAGTACTGACCTTGCACATTGAAAATTACATAATATATTTGTTTTAAGAAAGTAAAGTTCATTTTGTTCAAGAATCGAGTGTAGACTGTAGCGCTAACAACAGATGTGTAAGAATTACCAAAGTCTCTTCTCTATTAGCTATGAAAAGAAGGGATGGTGACACCTGTCGCACTTTATATCTAATTAATAACATCTAAGTCACACCAAAGAGACAAAAGATAAAGGCCTGCTTGTATAAGCCCATCCAGATAAGGAACACAAAAATATTACATCAATAACAGAAAACCATATTTTTACAATTATTTGGAAAATATGACAATATAAGGGGATTATAAAAGTTTAGTATTCTGAAAATGTTCAAACCAGGTTGTAATAGTTGAAGTTTTGTGCCGATGTGAATAGCATGCTCTACAGAATGGTTGGAAAAAGGTTCTGATGAACTTACATCTCGTTGAACCCCTCTAGAACAATTTCTACTCTGCGACCTCCGTCTATGATTTGTGAAGAAACTAAACGAACATCACAGCCAAACTGTCGACCAAAAACCACCTTGAGCAAGAAAAGAAAAAATGAAATCAAGAAAATAACCAAAAGTAGATCATAGTTTCACAGTATATAAAAATAAAAAGCAACAGAATTCATGTTTTTTCGGCTCTTATCTCCTTAAGTAGAACTGTATCTAACAAATAACAAGGATTTAATGAGCTACGTAGCTAGGATTCACCCCCGTAGACACAACATGGATGTTGGATCCATACCACATTTGGTCAACTCAACTCGAGTGCTTGACCAAATCCACTATGGATCCCACACCCATGATGGACTCACTTGGTGCACATTTTATGAGATTTCTTATCGAGAACGTCTAAATTGGAAGAAGTGTTCTCTGTCCTTTCATATGCAAGATTCAAAGTAGAAATTTCCATTTCAAGATTACCTACCAATACTAGAATGCAAGGAAAGAACAGTGGTATCTGCATCGCATGTAACTCATATCAGCTAGTTCAGACGTTGAGAACTAATTCAATGACCAACACAAAAGAAGCTTGATCACAAACAGTGGTGGAGACACCTTGTATCCAATCAACATAATTCACTCTGTTTAGATAGGTAAATTTTCTTTTAATGTATACACTATATGTTGAATCCCACCTTCACCACCGATCACAAAAATATCAATATAAAGAACAATTTTAAAAAATTAAATAGTAGTCACCTTCTTAACTCCAACTGGAACTGGGAGGCTCATGACAAGGGGATCATCACCATTCAATACACACACATTCCCTGGCATTGCTTCTCTTAAAATCTCTCCTTTCGCCATGGAAACCTCCTCCAAGTTCGCGAAGTTCTCCAAATGTGCAGCATTCACATTCAAAATCACCCTTACATCTGGTCTACACATCCTGGACAGCTCCAAGATCTCTCCTTTCTTGCTCATTCCCATCTCCAAAACACCAAACCCCACATCCCTCGACATCCCAATAAGCAATAACGCAACCCCAATCTCGTTATTCCAGTTCCCTGGACTATAATAAACAGTTCCAACACTCTCCAAAGCTAACGCCACCATAGTCTTTGTAGTTGTTTTCCCCACACTTCCTGTTAAACCAATTAAACAACCAGTAAACCTGTTTCTTGCATAAAAACCTAATCTTTTTAAAGAACTCATAGTGTCACCTTCTACCTGTACAAACCCATTGTTCCAACCCTCACAAACCCAGTTCCCAATCACTCCAACACACCCTTTTGTGGCTAATTTAGGAGTAATGAAATTATGGGCATCAAAGTTTTGTCCAACAAGGGGGAGAAACCATTGTCCTGGTTCAAGGGTTCTGGTGTCCGTACAGATTGTTCCAGGTGGACCCCATCTGATGATTCTGCCATTGACAGCCCTGGCTATCTCTGAAATGGTCCAAAGAGGAGAATTTGATGGAGAAGAAAATGTAGCTTGAGGAATCAAGATTATTGATCTGTTGGGTAAAGTGAAAATGGTGATTTGGGGTTTTGCTGGATTTGTAAGTGGGAATGGAGAAGGCTGAAGTTGAATGGTCAGTGGACTCATTGGAGCAATGGAAACAAGGCAGCAGAAAAAACTCTGTTTTTCTCAACAAAAAATAGTTTCTTTCATCCGTATAATACATAAATTTATCTTTTAACATCCCATTTGGATACGCATAATAGACATTTACATCTTACTCGACGTCCTGTATCACAATTTGCATTTTACGTGACGTTTTATGTCTATTATGTCAAGCATGACATGTTTCCTGTTTATTCAATTCTATATACTTTTTTAAGTGTATACTTGTGATGTGAGTTGAAATCATGTTAAATGACATATTTATATATTATACCTTGTGCATATATTATTGTACTTTATGCAAATATTGTTGTACCTTGAACTGACTTATTATTGGTTCCTTTTTTGATTTTGGGATAATATGAGACTTTAGGTCTCTTTCACCTCAATTTATATACCCGTCACATCTCATCATATTTGTCTAGATTATATACAAATATTTCTTGAATAGTATTATATGCTCATGTACCAAACACGAGAAATAAGTAACAAACAACTTGTTTTTCTATTTTTTCAGGTCTAAAGATCAATTTTATTTTAAGTCATAGTGTACCCTTTTTCTTGTGTAATGTGGGTATAAATAAAAAAAATGCAAGAAAGAAAGACGAAAGACTCAATATTATTACAACAACAAGGACATATCCAGTGTAAATCTCACAAGTGAAATTTGGAGAGGATGGTGTGTACACAACTTTACTCCTACGTCGTAAAGATTCAATATAAGATAATCTAATATTATATTGGTCTTACCACTGGATCAAAGTCCTGAGTGAATGCTTATGTGACATTGAGAAATAGTAATAATTCATGCACCATTGAAGAAGACTCTTCAGTTTGCCTTTGTACACTTATTGTTTCTAAAAAATGTCACTAATGTGTAGATGTGTGTTCCATCAGAAACATCACCGGGCTCGTGTTTGTAGGTGCACCAGCAAGCATTGCTTCTTGTATTGGAGGTTGGACACCGAATGACTTGTATGTCGGAGGAGAAAGATTCACTATTGTACCAACTGCAGAGGTGGATGTAGTGTTGAACTTGTGGTTTCATCCAAAGCCAATAGTAGCTTTGGGCTCGAATTCTATATCTGTGTTGAAAAGTTACTAGATGTACCAGAAAAGTCAAGGTTGGTCGTAGTAATATCCCAAACTTGAACCCATAATGTCCAAATCCTGAATCTGCCTCTGATCAACTACGTTAACCATTGGTCCTGTTACTGGTTGTCCGATGGTGGTTGCTCCATATATACCAACTCCAATGGGAGCAATTGGTGCTGTTGGAGATAGTTTGTTGGATTTGCCAGAAGAACCAATTGTTTGGCCAGTGATTGGAACTCGAGGTACGGAGACATCTCCGTTATTAACACTAGTAATGTCATGTATACTTGTTCGTCTTCTGTCCTTGTTCATCGAGTTTAAACGTATGAAATATTTTTGGGCATGACTGGCCACTTGTGTAGGAGTTCTTGTCACAACAAAGTTTCGAGAGATACTTCTCCAATCACCTTTCCCATATTTTTCCAGTCCAAGAAGGAACAATCTGCATACCAACAAAGATAAAGCAAATGAAGCAAAACTCTGTCAGTACAAAATATCGGGAGGATGTTAAACGGTATCTAGAATGCAGAAGACGTCAGCAAGAATATGCATCTTCAATTATTTTCTCTGCAGCCATGGTTCTTACAGCCAACAAAATGAGAAGTCCAATTGCTACAAAACAAGATCCAGTTTCAGGAATTTCAAGTACAACACGCAGTTTAGGATGGAAAGGTGAATCCAAGTGAAAAACCATTGTCCGATTAAAATGCAGGTAGCTTGAATTGGACAAAAAAAAAGCTCTAGAGATTAGGAAAAGATGCATCAGCCTGTAATTACTGTACTAATGCATAAACAGACATCTTTAATCTTAACATTCAGACACGCGAAAACCCCTGAATCACTTAGAATGTTTCTCTATCGATCACATCTCCCATCGAAAGAGAATTTTCTGAAAGTGACAGCAGGATAATACAGTTTAACAAATGTCTGCCAACAGCTTAGTTAGTCCTATTACTTCATGAAGTACACCCTCATAACGACAGTCGACAGTCACTACGTTTCCAGGCAAAGAAAGTTTTCGGCAGAAGGCGCATAAAGCTAAGTTTGATAAGATTATATTCACTGAAACATGAAGGGAAAAAAGAAACAGAAAGTACCACTGCACTCTCCTAAATGACATGTAGCAACCTCAAACACAAGGTATGAAACTCATGAGTTAGTGTTCTGACTTACACTCCAGCGTTACCCGACCCTCAACCTATCGAATGATGGTGGAGGTGCTCGACCACTTGAACAAGCCTCAATTGTCTCAAACAAATATACAATAAACAAGCTTAATATTGTATTGAAATAACTGAAGTTCAACGGTTACTGACCTGTGCTCATCCTCCGTCCAAGCAACCCCTTTACGCCGGTCCTGCTCCAATTTAGTAGATTTACCTCCATCATTTGACTCACTATTTAGCCTCCCTGAAACCCCACTCTTCTTGCCAATTCTTTCACCACCAACATCATTGCACAAAGACCTGTCAAAAGTAGAGTTGTACCAAGGCAAAGGAACATAACCAGACTCGATTCGACTCACATCATCGAGTAAAATTTCGTAATGATTCTTAACCTCTTGTAAGGTTTTCCCTTGAACATCAGCTGCAATTTTCTCCCACCTATCTACACAATCCTCAGGATAAGTTGCTAATGCATTCTCAAATTCTATATCTTGCTCTCTGCTCCAAATTGAGCTTCTTGATTTATCTACTGTCATTCTTGAAATTCACTATCAAACTTTTTCACTGAGACATTTTATCAAACAGGTACTATGCATTCCCATAAAAAAATCTTGAAAATTCATTTCTAAGCACATATATATACACCAGTACACTGCAACAACAACTACGCCATGCTAGTTGGGATCGACTATATGAATTCGATTTAAATTAGCATAATACATAAATATAACCTTTAATTTGGTTTCGAATCACTTTTATCTCATTCAACTTTCAGCGTGCACAAGTAAACACTTAAACTTATATAAAGTTGAACAAATAGACACACATGTCTACATGTCATCCTACATATCATTTTTTATCCTACGTGTATAGTATCATGTATGCTCACGTGTTTATTATTTAAAAATTTAATAGTTAAATAATTGTTTGAGCATTTAAACTCAAATTTAAAATCTAATATATATATTATGTCATTTAAATTTATCTCAACCTAACAAATATTATACTAAAAAAAATTAAAAAATTATGATTGGAAACAATGTATTAGACCAATGAGGTCAATAATAATAGAAACAAAAGGGTACCAAAAATAGAAAAATATACAGTTGAGCAACTCAAATAAATATTATTGGGTACCACAACTTTATTTATAATTATTCAAAATTTTGACATTTTTGGACTGGTGACCCTATTGATTAAAAAACGCACCAACTTTATTGAAAGACTGAAAAATACTACAAACATTTATGTAATGTTCGTCTATTTTTAATTGTCATAATTTTTATTTTAGAATCAAAGATAAGTATTTAGATTAATATTTTATGATATATTTTTTCATCAAATTAATATGTAAAAAAATCATAAAGTATAGTATTTTTAAATTTTTTGTTTAAAATATTAAATTAATTCAATATAATTTTACTTTTAAGATTAGTTAAATTGACTTTCGAAAAGTATAACATGATAATTAGAAGTAGACGAGAGGAGTAGCTTTAATAGCTACATCGTTGGTACTATTAAAAAATTATATATCGAATGTTTGTGCATTTTTAAAGGATCTGTCATAATTCAATGATAATTAAGGTTGTGAATTTCGAATATTTGAGGTCTATAAAGGAAATAGATAGATTTAATAGTTACGTGGTTCGTTCTTTTCAAAAATAATATATTGAATGTTCGTGTATTTTTAAAAGATATGTCATAATTCAATGTTAGTTAAAGTTATGAAATTCGGATATTGAGCGACTAAGTGAAATTTCGTGGAGTTTTGAAAGAACTTATTGATTTATTTAATGTTATTTTTAGGAAATGAAAATGCTTAAAGAATAGTAGTGAGTACAATGAATAAGTTGTGCAAAAGAGATATTTTGGATTATAATACTACAGGACTAAGGACGGCATACACTGTATCTTCTTTAACAGTAGCAGATGTTTAGGACAACGAAAATGTCCAAAGAATGAAGTTGGTGTATAATGATTACGTAGTATTAAGGTCTGCATTTGAAATTTGAACTTGACGTGAATTTTAAATTTTTTGTACCACTAAGTCAGTCTCTACTTTATATTTAGCGAATTCAAAATCTTTACATATATATTTAAAAGATTACCTTATATCTGTATCGTGTGTTTTTTAAGAGGTTCAGATAAATACTTTATAAGACTCTAAAGTCGTTCGTATTTCCTAAATTCAATTCATAAAATTATATTGAATATATTATGGTAATTTGATTAAAGAGAAGTGAAAGGGACTGCAATGAATGAAACCAATAAAAAAAACAGTATTCAAATAATCATCAACAGGCAAAAATCCCATGTTGATAACAACTGTTTTGCCAGTAGTACAGGCCCCACTTTCTCATCTTACTGCAGTAAAACTAACCTTTTCTTTTTATCGAGACATGGTATGATATATATCGAATTATTATATCATATTAAAAAAATTTAATATTATAATTTTTGTATTATGATATACATTTTAATTTTTTTTTTATATTTTGATATGATATCTGATATTTAAAAATTGAAGTATGTAACAAATATGCAACATAGCATAATATAATTGAGATATTTTTTTGGATATTGTTTAAGTCATAAAAATTTTATTATACAAGTATATATTAGTCCAAGTTGAATAAAGTATGGTTATCAATTTACCATACCACAAAATATCTAAACTGGACTTTAAAATATCGAATCATACAACATTAAATTGGCATAGTAATAGTTTTAATAGTTTTAGAAACTGAACATTGAAACTACCGTATCGAACTTTCAAATATTGTATCACATCATACCATATTCATCCCCTAGTACCATCATTCAATAGAGGATAGAGTCAAAATATTTGATTTATGAATTTCAAACAAAATATTTATACATATTAAATCAATCATAACGATAGTGATGGGAGTTCAAACACCACAGTATTGGAGCCCTCACAAACAAATGAATATCTTGAATATGAAATTTAAATCAAAATTTATGTAATTTGATTGCATTCGTAATTATTATTTTCTGAATCTATAATAACTCATATAATTGACTTCAAACTTACTAAACTGATTATGTATAATTTGTAAATAAAAACAACGGTACGATAGCTAAACCTAATCAAATAGCTCTTAAAACAACCTTTTTTAAAAAGATTTTGGCCATGGTTATAGGTGAGTGTTTATCTAAGTTCTATAGACTAATTATTAAAATGAGATATTATGATCGATTTGAATTATGCTATCAACCATTATAACAAAGGAGATAATTAGACGGATCGTAATGAATTAATACAATGATCGAGTTAATAATCAATCTAACTTAAATTTGCATGGATAAAAATGATTGGTTAAAATGGATTAGATAATTAACTATATAATGGGTTAAGATCTGTTTCAGCCCAACTCAATTTTTATTAAGCTTAATTAATTATTATTTTTTATTCTTTTAAACTATTTTAGTACTTGATAAAATTGTATTTTTTTTAATTATAACTATATATAACATATCAAATTAAAAATAAAATTGACAAAAGTTATAAATTCAAATAATATATCAATTTAATTTTTAATGAATTGTATTGATAAATAAGTGTATCAATAACTCACCTAAATTTAAACGAATTGGACGAATTAAATTTGATTTTGTCACCGTATTTACGACTAGATATGAACATGTTGGAGTGTGATTTTGAAAGGTGAAAATAGTTTTAGAAAAGTGGACCTATCCCTATTGTACATCAACTTGCAATAGAGTGACAACTAATAGGATGATAAATTAGTTAAAAGGACAAACAACAACTATATCAAAACTGAATTCTGTTGTCCCCTTAATTTCTAACGTAAACATAACAACTTTTTTGATGAGGGATAAAGCGTTGACGATTTCGAGAGAATGAATGTATTATTATAGAATAACGAATTTAATATATAATTTTGATTGATTTGATATGTAGATTCTTGTTATGAATTTGTTGCAACTTTTAAAATTATAGGTTTAAAATTAATTTGTATCAATTCAAATATGTATACGTTATGTATCAAGGTATTAAGAGTAATTGAATTCATTATTTATACGGAAAAAGATCAAAAAAATTTTCGAAGTATTGAAAATGGTACAAAATTACCCTTCATCCATCCATTAGCTTCAAAATACCCTTGTCATCCATCTTTGTATTCAAAATTGACTAATTATTTAATGATTTTAAATTTAAACAATTAACTATTTTTAAAATACGTGACGCTCAACTATTTGTTATAGTTTAACTTATTAGTATAATTTATAAATCAATTCACTTCCCTGCAAGTCATTTTCTGTACTTTGTTTCCATGTTTGACTATAATAAGTACTGCATTGTCTTCTCATCGATGCTAGTTCAGTAACATTTCTTATGCTGGTAAGTTTTGAAAAAATTAACATAAAGTCAAATGTTCACTGTTTTGATTGATTGATAAAAAAAATGATTTTAAAATTGTGTTGTAAAATAAATCATAGATATATATAAATGTGACCTATGAATAATACCTTTAAGATTTTTAACGACAAAATGAGAATTCTGAAAAAGTATTTTAAATTTTTTTTAGCCGAACTTGTATAGAGTAAGTTGTTTTTCTAGTCAACCTCACCCCGCCCCAGGGCTCACGGCCTACTAGTAAAACGAGTACGTTATTTTGAACATTTTTTAATAACGGGTGGGAAGTGAATTGATTTATAAATTATACTAATAAGTTATATTATAACAAATAGTTGAGTATCACTATTTAAACAGTTTAATTTTAAAACTGTTAAATAAGTGGTTAATTTTGAACCCAAAAATGGATGAGAAGGGTATTTTGGAGCCAATATGTGGATGAGAAGGCATTTTGGAGCCAATAGATGGGTGGAGGGTAATTTTGTATCATTTCCAATACTTCAAGAGTATTTTAGGCCCTTTTTCGTTATTTATATGTTGTATTGTGTAGTACTGCTAATTTTAATATACATATCAAGTTTATCTTTATTTGAGCTCTTAGTGCAAGTTTAAGTTGAACCTAGACGTGAAGAGGGATGTTTGAGTGTGAATTAGATGTCCTACATTAGTTAGGAAATAAACTAGTAAATTACTAGTATGAATTTAGACGGGTTTTTTTTTATGAATTAATTATTGAGATTGAATTAGACTCGTGTATCATATCTTTACTAAGCCTACTGATCTAGGACTTGTTCGTACAACTTTATCGATGTAGAGCTTGAACCTACATGTGAGGGAGTTTCACATCTAACTTGGATGGTACATTTGATTTTACTAGCCTTATGTTAGAGAATGATGAGCTAGAACTCAATGACTTGGTTGATCATATCAAAGAAAGGATACATTTTTTTTAACTAAATGAGGAAGAAAGCAAATATAAATGTACATAAGTTTTTAATTATTTAAATTTTAACAAAGACAAAAAGATTTACTTTTTTAAATTACCAAAATTGTATTTAATATACTAATTTTAAACTACACAAGTCAATTTCATTGTCGTCGAGTTGCTTTAAGTCTATCTCTTTATCCCATGTTATTGAATTTGTATTTGTGTAGTGACACAATCTATTAATATTCAATCTAGATATAAGAAAAAGGAAAATTATGCGGATAAACAAATATATATTAGTTAATTAGTTAATATAACTATAATTTGCATTAGTTACAACTCAAAACTTAGTTCTATCTATAATTACATTCTCTCTCGAATCTCTTCCCTCTCTCTGGAATCTCATTTGTCACTCTCCTCTCACTGTCCAATCTCTCTCTTTTCTCTTCAATCAATCTTTTCTCACTTTATACAAACACAAATATATAGTTTGTGTTTGTATATAGCGATAGAAACGGGATATACAAATCATATACATTTATAATTATACAAATACAAATCTTTTGCTGCTTAGTTCTCTTTTGCATTTCTCTCTCGCTT